AGAGACGGCCTGAACATTTCCGTACCGCCGACTGAACTCTCGGAAGTGTCTACCGAAGGCAAGGAGATTTGTGTCCGCAGAGTGATGGAGTACTGGGACTGGCTTCAAGGCATATGGCGACTGGGAGAAGTAAAGAGGAATGGACCCCCGAACTTGCAAATATGAGTAGGCAGGATGAGACGAAGCCCAATCCGGAACCGAGAGAATCTGCTCGGTTTCGACTGTGTTGGCTGTGTTGCCGTCATCATCAACACCACGACGCAAATAACGAAGACCTGGTCGGTTGACAGAGCGTCGAGAAATGAGAGTTAAAAGATAATCACGTTTGCTTGCTTTAGTCTGAACAGCTTCAGCCTCGTTTTTTTCACCGAGGATTCGGCCTTCCGCGAGTTCCACTGAGTCCTGTTTCCTTTCAGCACCAGCGACTGTGAATTCTCGTTGGCCGACAAAGCCTTGAATCAGCGGCAGAACAAATCCATGAGCCCCGTGATCAATGAATGTGTTCATCAAATGTCTGTTCCAAAAATACTGCCACCAAGTTAGCAAGCAAGCTTCACAAAAAATATACCCTCAGTTCGCGCATACCAATGGATCCACAACTTTATGGAGGGGAAGCTGATCTTTGCGAGCTTCCTGCATATGGAAAGAGCGCGTAAGGTCATAATCATATGCAAAGAAGAAGTTATGTGATGCAAACAAGAGTTTCGTATAGCGAAGCAGTTTTGGCAGCAAATCCGCAGCCTGGCTAGGCCGATCAGGCTCGCTTTGAGCCTCAGCCTCTTCAGTTATGGGTTCACCCACAGCCTTATGCTTCGCTTCACCAGCATCACCCGAAGTGCTGGTCGCTTCGTCAAAGGGAGACTCTGTCACATCCTGTTCTAGAGCTCCGGGCCTAGGCAAGCCCAGGTTTTTGCGCGATAACCAATTGGCTGCAAATCTGCCAAAGCGTACTTTCTTCACGATGACGTCTTCTGCAATACTGCCAAAGCTGGTGCCACGGGCATGAGATGTATCGCGAGGAGGTGATGCGGGCAGACTGCCGATCTCCGCCTCGACCTCGGCCCTGTCTGTTTCGTTATCGGGGAGGTCATCTTCATCGGAGGATGATTCGATGGTAATTTCTTCCTGGGAGGATTCTTTTTTGGCTTGTGTGATTGCTCGGGAAGCATCCACCTGTGATGACACGGGAATGATTGCGACGTTGGTTATGGCGTAGATGGGGCGGCCTTGAATCTGTGCCACCTGTTCGCGCTGTGTGATAGAGACGAGAAATGAGTATGAGGCGACGGATAATAGACCTGCAGCAGCAATTTCCCGAGGTTAGTTTAGTTGAATTTATTCAGCTCCCACTTCGCGCGTCAACATACCTACAAGACCGTAGGCCTCTAGGGCGTCCTTTCCGTCGAGGGGCTGCGAGGTAGAAGTGGGCAACGCAGTGATTTTGTGCGTTTTATAGTCGATGCGAATGGAGGAAGCCTCATTATGACTACCGCTATGCCGTGGTCCGTTGGCTTGAGCATGTAGGACTAGGCCGTCGACTGCGGCGACGATGGCCAATTTGCGCAATAAAGCGGGCATCGCGCGAGATCCCCGCTTGAAGACAAAACCACACCCACGTCTATAGGCCCCTAGGAAAGGAAGCCAAGCATTAACGAGACAATTTAAAGAAGTTGAAATTGAAAGCAAGAATCTCGGATGGGCTTGGTCCATAAACAGCTGACCTGCAAATACATCATCGGCCAAGCCCCACCCAGATACGTCTATTCAGAAAATCCCAACTTGAACTATATACAAGTATCGTGCCCAGATCACCAGAAAAAAAAAAAGAAAAGAAAAAGAAAAATCAGTAAAGACATATCGCAACCATCCAGAGAAACCCAGAGTCATATTCAGTCGTTCATACAGACATGTCCAGTGCCTGATGAGTTCGCCCGAGTTCTCAATGCAATGGCATCTTCGGGGAACAGTAAAAATACAAGTGGAGATCAAGCCTATGGAAGGGAAGCTTGCCAGTCGAGAGAAGAAGGAGAATCATTTCAAAGACCTTAGGATTGGAATCAGACCTTGAAACACTCAGATCTGACTGTTCCGCTTGGTGTGTATTGCAGTCTGAGTTTCGGTCGGGAAAGTCGGACCTGGCTCTCCCTCAACTGCTTCGGGCAAGGTGTTCAGGCCGATTCCATGCTCCGCATCGTATGCGTGGATGAGACCTTCGCGGTCGCTGCTTCCATTGAAATATGCACTCGAGGAGCTTCGGCGAGACTGCATTGAGCGTCGAGTCTGGAAGCTCGCCAGACCGTCTGTTGGCACTCCATCATCGTCAAGCTTTGAATTCACCATGGTATGTCCATCGGGGTCATGTCGCGAGAGGTTCAGGAGGTACACTCCGGTGAAGATGATAAGGAATCCACAAAGTAGAGATATGGTGTTGACAGCGTCGGTGGTATTGAATCCCTTGAAAAGGATGAACGAGGCACAAAGGGTCGCGGTTGTGAAAGTGACATAGTAAAGTGGGTTCACGCTATTGAAAGAATCATGTCAGCTTCGCATCTTCATATTGATTGATGTCTACACTCACATCGAAGTCGAGAAAGAGTTCAATGCCTTGTTGAAGTAGTTCATCTGCGTCAGAATGCAGAATAAGGTCACAATGGCAAAGACGTAGGTGGATGCGTGGACGAATTGGTTGTTGCCTCCAATGGTCAACTTCACTGCAATACCAAAGGCCTTGACGGACATGACAGAAACCGATCCAACAGTGGAGCAAATGGAGATGTAGATGAGCGGGTTCTTCTTGCCATAGACTGGCGCAACCCGGTAGATCATCAGAGTTGAGAAGACCGCAACTGCGATACAGTAGAAAAGGAACCCTTGTCAAGTCAGCGGTTGTCTGGCCGACACCGATCAAGTCTTCATACCTGGCTGAACCGCATATCCCAGAATCTCATCAACTGTCTCCACCTGCTTGTCTGGAGGCGCATGGAGTACGATGACGACCGATCCCAACAAGCACAGCGCACAGCCCAGTTTTCCTAATACACCAAGTATCTCGTTGAGGAAGTACGAACTCAGGACCGCACTGCGTTATGTCAGTTATGAGATTATGCACGCCATTGAGGAGATAATCCTACCCAATCAAAACACTCAGCGCACCAAGGGGTGTAACCAGGATAGCAGGCGCAAATGCGTACGCAGCAAAGTTGGCGACCTCACCGAGAGCCACTATGAACCTGTTAGCATCTCCCGAATGTCAAATCTGGCAGTTAATTTCCGTACGTGTCACTATACCACCCCACCACACAGGACTCTTTAAGTATGAGAACCCTTCGCCCTCGAACCCATGTCGTTCGGTAGCTTGCATTAAGCCCTATATTTAGACGCATTAGCGATTCCGCTTCGATGATTGTTTTGGGACCAAATTGCCGCGGGATTTGTTCGGCGCCTGGGATCCAATCGCTCGTTTTCCTAGGATTCGTGGTACACCAACCTTTTTGGTGATAACAAAACTCGTACCGATGGCCATGGTGGAGACAATGGCTAGAATAAGCCCGACATATCTATACGGGCGCAGCGCGCAACCATGTTAGAGCTGGCCAACTTGCGGGGGGCCGTTGGGAGAGTCATACTTATCTGGGACCATGTTGACGTGATTCCTCTGTTAGGAGCCGATTGCTCCTACTGTCGAAAGACCTCCAGCCGGCAATGGATCGGGGAAATGAGATGAGCGAAGGGAGGGATAAAGGTAATAGGCCAGAACTAGGGGGGCAAGGGAGCGAATAATGACAATACAGAAAGACGAGCCAGCCCGAGTTATCTGATGAGTAAGGGAGGATGAAGGTGAGAAGCCAAAGGCCAGATGCGTGCGGTGGGGTTCCGTTTCAAGCCCGATCGGGGGACGCGTAAGAGAACAACGGCTTGGGCTTGGGAGGCTTGGGACTTTTCAAGGGCCGAGGTGCTTTTTAGGTAATTTTTTAATTTTAATTTCCTCTATTAATTTATATAAGAAATTATAAGAAATATGCTAGAAATGTTAAGAAATGTTAGAAATATGTAGAAATTGAATAGGTGGCCTTAATTAGAAGTATTTTACATCCCTAAAACATACTGTCACTGGTCTACAATTATATACATATTGAAACTCTTATTATAATCAAAGTCAAAAACCCTGAAAAATGAGGTCAAGATCGGCGTTTCAGTTTCTTCCGAATGCGGAAGTTTCTATACTTAGGTAGTCTCAGTGACTTGAATTTGGGTCCACTGCATGACATGATTGTGGATGAATATAAACATTGACTATATGGACTACATATTTTGTACACATTACCTAGGTAGACATGTATGCAAAACATATACCAATCCGTTAACCCCGGAATGTTTCCCCTTTGTACGGAGTACCCCATAATCTAAGCGAAACTAGCCCATCAAATCTGGGGGGACAGGGGTACAAGGGGTATGAGATTAAATATATTCTTAGTACTTCTGTTGTTTATAGGGAAATAAATAATTAAGAATACAGATGTCAAGTGTAAAAATTCATGAAAATACTACAAACACGTGGCCTAACCCATCGCGCCGATACGCCCCGGAAAATGCATTGAAAAAAAACAAGGCAACACCGAAGATTTTTAGCCGAAACCAGGCAGTGGTATCTTGCATCGCAATGGGAAAGAGTCAAACATAAAGGAAAACGCAAGAATAAATGGGTAATCGAATGTATCGAACTTGGGGGTTTGATCCGGACGGAAGAGAAAGCGCATACCCCAAGAAAACTGAAGGCGTGGGGGGAAGGAGTCGAACATACCTGTTTCTTGTTAGTAGTCAAACGAGACACTGCGCCCATCGGTCGAGGTCGAGGTCCTTGCTGGCGAGTATGGTTATTAGTAGGGAGGGTCACGGGTGGCGTGGAACGAGCCGTCAAAAGGGCTTGTTGGACACCAGACATGACGGAATGAGAGAGATTGTAGAAATGGCTTCAGGAGGAAAGGGGGAAAAAAGGTGGTTTACGAAGAGCGGCGACGTTTGGGATCAGCGGTGGTTTCCACCAGGTCCCAGTCGTCTTCATCTTCGCGAGATCGTTTGGTAGAGTTCTGGTCGGTTTGGGGGTCTGTCAAGGAAGGGTCCGTTCCAACCAACTCTACAGCCTCTGATTCTTCAAAATGAGCGTCATAGTCGCCAAAATGGTTTTCGTCGAAGTTGTCATTCGCACCATCATTAGCTGAAATATGAGCATCCAGTTCATCCTCAGGCTCGTCGTAGTCTATGCCCTCGAAGTGGTCAAGGGTGTTGTTCTCTGTATCCCTCGGAGGGGTCTGCACCAGACCTCCAGTGTTTCCAATTGAATCATCTGCAGGCTCTGGTGTTTTCTCCTTTTTGTCAGAGCTGTCATGCAAGCCGCTGCCAAGTGATGGCACCGGCTGGTTATGCGAAGGGCGGTTGGTGTCATTCTGCAAAAGAATTTCCGAGACAACTTCGTCTGTCGGCGGGGCATCTAACCCATCTGCGTCGTCCTCATCTTCAAGGACAGACGCCTGATCAGCTGGTTCTTGAGCATCAACATCAGCATTTTCATTGCCAGTGATATCTTGTTGGAAAGCCTCTGAATCATCGACCGAGCCGATGTCTTCGTGCTCGTAATATTCCTCAGGTCCGAGACCATCGTCTTCATGGTCATCTCCATAATAGTCATCCTCGTCGTTGTGATCTGTACCGGCGTCCGCAGCAACATCCAGAGGGGCATGTGGGGTGTGCTCTTTGACCTCGCTTGGGCCAGGCACTGCAGCTACAGTGGCAGTGGAATCACTCTGCCGGCCCTCAGAATCATAGTGCTCTTCGTTCGTATCGCCATGGTCATGATCGTATTCTTGATCTTGGTCTGTTTCGAGATGGTGAGACGCATCAAACTGATCTTGCTCTTTGGTCTCGAGCTGGGCTGGATGAGACTCAGACTCAGGCGCAACCTTGGCACTCCGCCCACTGGAGATAGATCTGTTGTCATCCTGCGTCTGCACAATCTCTGGCTGAGTGTCAGAGACGACTTCAGGCTGGACCTGAGACTGTTCGCTATCTAGCGCCTGCTCTTCTAGAGGCTCTGGCGCCGTTTGCACCTCTGTGGCTGAGAGCTCTTTTTGGGCCTCGGTTGTGTAGTATATTTCATCTTCATGCTCCTCAGCCCCATGGGCGTCAAGGTCATCCCCAGAACCTGGCTCAGCTTCATCATATTCATCCCATGAATGAATTTCAGCATGAAGTTCGGAAAGGGTCTTGCCATCAATTGCAGCGTCATTGAGATCTGCGATCTCAGCCGGGAACGCACGCTTGGTGCTCAGTGTGAGGTAAAGGGCATCGGGCTCGGTAGTGCCCTCGTTACGGCAAAGTCTAAGGTAAAGATCTAGGATCTGATGTAAGGTTACTTGAGATGTATGGAATGAGTCCTGATGAGTTAGTATGTTTGCCAATACGGGATTGAGAAGTACTTACCTCTGTCATTTGGATACCAAGGGTGTCGATATCGATGACCAACACCTCATTTCCTGTCATAGTTTCTTGAAGTACCTGGCGCAGAGCCTTGAATATTTGACCAATGTTGTCGTAAGCTAAACCTTCATCTTCAATAAAGAATGTATCCGCCAAGTCTCCCTCAAGGGGAGGGAACAGGGAGATTTCGGAGTTCTGGTAGAGAATCTTCACTAGATGAAGAGGTTCGTCTACGTATGCGACCTGTTGAACAGATTCATTCTCCTCTGCAACTTGGTGATCTCCCTCAGACACAGGCTGTACCTCTGGGCGCGCAGCGGTATCAACGTGGGAATTTTCGACGGAAGGTTTGGTCTGACTGTTCTCTAGCTCTTCGTTGCGAGATTGCGACACCTCAGTCTCTGACACAGTATGTTGTGATATCTTATTAGCCTCTTCGCCGACATCTGCGTTGCCATGACGATCGCCGGTTTCAGGACTGACGACGCTTTCGGATGGTTCCTCGGCAAGGTCATGAGTAGCCGTGTTAGGCTGAGCCTGAGTGTTTGGGCCCTCAACTACGGAGGCCTGGGCTGCATCTTCAACGGGGGCAACTTCGACGGGTCCACTTGAGGCTTGAGGTGCTGCTTCGAGGGTTTCCACGGGTGTGATTGTGGCATCCTCCTTAATGGGACTGGCAGCGTCTTCATTGCTGCCCACAGGTTCAAAAGGAATAGCGGGGGTGGTGATATTGATGTCTTCGGTCTGATCGGCCTCAATCATTTCTTCTTCGTATAGCTCTTCCTCAAACTGCACGTCAATATCGTTGTCTTCATCGACATAGTTGTCAGCGTCGATCATCGACCCTTCGGAGGGTTCATCGGCCATGTCGGCATCGTGGATCGCATCATTATTGAGTTGATTAGGCTGAGAAGTAATTGTGAATTCATCTGCACCCATCATATCACTGTCCATGTTTGACACATTGTCCTCCATGAGGTCGATGTCGATGTCGAAATCGTCAGCCTGCCCCTGATAGGGCGAGGCCATCTCCATAGAATCACCCGTAGCTGGGATTTCCATCATGGAGTATGCGATCAAGGGAGCTGCTGTCATAGCAAGAAAACGCGTAAAAATGGGCTTCTGAGTGTCGTACGTAGTATTGGAAAGTTTAGCAATGACGTTCCATAAAAGCGGTTGAAGCAGGTTGGAAATGAAAGAAAAAAAAGTTCCTCGGCGATACTCAGGGCAAAAGCCTATGAGTAAGAGCAGAGAAACGATGAACACAGTGTTGGTGGGGTGTATTCAACGCGTGGGAAAAAGATGAAGTGAAGAGAAAGTGTCTGGTTGACGACTAAGCGAAAGGAATGCACGGGCCAACTGCCGCCGAAGTGAACAGAGTAGCTCCCTACCGCTTCCACCATCAACAGGGCGTACGCTTCTAGTCAACCCTACGCTTCTCTATCCTTTTGATATACTCTGTTCTTTGATCACTCTTTTATTGCCATTTGTGTGCTCCTTTTGTGCTATTGTCTCACCATGGTAACCCTTTTTCAATCCAGTTCGCGGGGGAATTACACTAATCAACACACCACAGGTCGTTCTTGCAGCGTCGATATGCACCCGCGGAGGTAAAGCGGTCCTCTCGCGCCAGTTCCGCGAGATCTCGCGGTCCCGAATTGAAGCCCTTCTCGCCTCCTTCCCCAAGCTGGCGGACTCCGGAACCCAGCATACCACCGTTGAGCAAGACAACGTGCGCTTCGTGTACCAGCCATTGGACGAGATGTATATCGTGCTGATTACCAACCGTCAATCGAACATTCTCCAAGACATCGACAGTCTTCATCTGTTCGCGCAAGTCACCACTAGCATCTGCAAGAGCCTAGACGAGCGGGAGATTCTTCGCAACGCCTTTGAGCTCCTGAGTGCATTCGATGAATTGGTGACTATGGGATACCGGGAGAATCTTTCTCTCTCTCAGATCAAGACCTTCCTGGAAATGGAGAGTCATGAGGAGAGAATCCAGGAGATCATTGAGCGGGTATGTTGTGAAATTACCGGGGTTAGTTCTTGGCTGACATACATTGATAGAACAAAGAGCTGGAGGCTACCGAAGAGCGCAAGAGGAAGGCAAAGCAGCTGGAAATGCAACGCAAAGAGGTTGCTCGCACAGGTCGTGCCGCGGCCGCAAGAACTCCATCCTACCCCGTTTACACACCCCCGGCGCGCCCCTCTGTGCCTGACACTTACGATTCATACGAGGCCGAGAAGAAACAATCCTTTGCCAAGTACGTTTGGTCAATTCCTGGATTAACCGTCGTGAGACAGCCACTGACTGCGTGATAACTAGGCCCCTTCCCACTCGCGGCAAGGGCATGCAGCTGGGCAAGAAATCAAAGGCAACAGATATCTACGAAAAGGTCCGGGGTGATATGGGCCCTGAAATCGAAGAAGAGAGCCCACTGGTTGCCCCACAAGCTTCGGTTCCGGTGCACGAAATTCCCTCAGCCCGCGAGTCTCTGAGTGTGGACCGAGAGCCCATCCAACTTACAATCGCCGAGACCATCTCAGCCACGCTTACTCGGGAGGGAGCCTTGAAGTCTTTCGAGGTTAAGGGTGATATGCAGCTCCGTATCACTGATCCCTCACTCACCAAACTCCGACTCGACTGCCAGGCTATTCCCACACATGGCGCACAGTTCCGCACTCACCCCAATGTCGACAAAGCCCTCTTCACCAACTCTTCCGTGATCCAATTGAAGGACACTACTAAGCGTTTCCCTGCCAACAACTCCATCGGCGTCCTCCGGTGGCGTGTTGCCAGCTCGGCTGACAATGCCGATATTCTCCCCATCACATTTACCGTTTGGGTAAACAAGGGTTCTGACTCCACCACGGTGACAGTGGAGTATGAGCTCACCGGCGACGACACTCTCCGCGATGTTGTTGTCACTATTCCATATGGTACGACAGAGCCTGCTGTATCTAGCTTTGATGCGGTCTACGAGGTCTCCGGGGACAGTCTGGATTGGAACTTGGGCACTGTTGATGAGTCGAACGCCTCTGGCAGCTTTGAGTTCGAGGCGATTGATGCTGATGAGAATGAGTTCTTCCCGATGAGTGTGCGATTCACAAAGACTAAGCCTTTCGTGGATGTCGATATCAACAGTGTTTCCCTACTGGAGATGGAGGAGGGTGTTGCGTTCTCTAAGGATATTCGAGGTGTTGCGGAGAACTTCCTCATTGAGTAAAAATGGGCATGGACTGTATAGAGTTCCTAATGATGTTCGGATTGTGGTGTTCTTTAATTGCCAAGATCGTGTTAAGCCAATGTCTTATTTCCTTTCAACTTCTTTTTTTTTCCCTTATAGTATATAGTAAACATCCATATTCTAAGTTATCAAGATGGAAACCTGATAAAACTGGCCAAGACCCAAAGATTAATCATCCGAACGTAATGGAACGTCAGGATTATTCGGGAGAGGTTGGTGAGAATTGCCGTCAAGCTTTTCCCACCTGGGGGATTTCCATCCTCTTTCAGAATGAGGTGGTCCTGGCCTGAATGTGAACCAGGGACGAATAACTTCAAAGTTAATGTCCGCCACTGGTCTAACGTCAGATTGACTTCGAAGTCCCGGGTCTGGGCCACTGGACACTCCAGAGCTATTTACTACTGAACCCGAGGAAAGTCATATATCTTTTTTGAAGGTGGTTGGTTCGAGACTGCGGAAGTTCAGTATTGTTCATGGACTACTCGAAACACATAATTCAGAGTTTTGATGACAGTCATAGGGCTGAAGGTTGACTGCATGAGTCGATTTTTATACCTGGGCATCCTCTTGAATCCTATATCCACAACCCGCCGCATCGGAGTCCAGAGCCAGCCGGTACCAACAACCGAAAGCTGACCTTTGTCAAAAGATGGATCACCGGGGAAAGCAAGCTGATGGTTAGGCCAATACCTCGAGCTCTCTGGAGTCCAGAGTAATCTAATGTAAGTCCACAACTGTTTGGTTGATGGCAAATAGCGTGATAACCAAAAGAAGTTATTTTGGTCATCAAAACGTTGAACTTTCGCCCCATGCCCTACAAGGAGACTGAGGCAAACCCATACACAACTATTCCTGATTTGGCCAACGGGTGGCCAATGGTGCGCGTTTACTCATTACCCTAAACGAGCATTGGATGTCATCACAGAGTATCTAGCTTGACCAGCTCACGATTCCCAACGGTGCCAGAAACCCGAACCTCTTTTTCCTTCATCCTTCCCCGATCTATGCTTCTCATGGGTCCAATTCTGGGGTGTTTTATAAAATCCAATGACCTCCTTCTTGTCTCACACCATTTTATATTGACTATTTGACTTGACAGATGTCACGACAATAAGCAATTGCTGATATTGTCATTTCAATATACATCAAGCTCTTTAAGACCAATATATTTTCCCAAACTCAATTTACTGAAGTAAGTAAACATCTAAAAAAAGGAGTATGTAGTTATAAAATCCACTAACATTTAGTGAAAACAGCCTCAACTGATCATTTTTCCGGTTCACCATGAGTAATATTCCATTCCCCTCGTGGAATGATCAACAGAGCCTCTTCAAATTATCGTGTGCTGATGCAGACACGTGTAATCAGTTGTCCAGTGTGGTAAGTGTGAAATCATGGTCACTCCAAACCAAGAAGGGTTATCTGATAAAGGATCTATAGGATAACCCAATCCCTCATCTTCAAAGAGGTGAATCTGAAGTGGGCACCAAGAAAATGGCCATACCGCGATTAGCGGAAGGAGCCGAATCTGCCTTCACTTCTCCTGGTAGGTTCCATCGTCGACACGTTCGTCGAGCATGCGAGTCCTGCAGACAACGGAAGACGAAATGCACCGGAGACAAATCCGGATGCCGCAATTGTCGAGAGGCTGGCATCATCTGTTGCTATACCGATGGCAAGAGGGAGAAGTCTAAACGGTATGTAGAGCCAATATAAAAGCACACCGGCGTTAGTGCAAGAGCTAACGTCTACAATGAACTATAAAGGCAGTTGGCAAGTCTGTCCGCAAAGGTGCAGGCATACGAAGATGTCATTAGCAAGCTGAGCAATCGGCTTGGTGTCTCTGATGAGCAACTCGTGAACATTGCCCTGGCAGCGGTATGGAGTTTGATCCACATACGATAACTATGTTATCTAATATAAATCAGGAATCGGCCCCGGACTTGGCATTCAACCCAGAAACATGCCTTGCAGCAGCTGGAGAACGGAGAATTTCATGGCATGCGGGTTCTGAGCCACCGCCCTCCCGAGCATCATCCGTCAGTCCCCTGGAGTCTGGCGACCAGACAGAAGAGGACTTCAACAGGGACGAAACTGCGCGAGCAACGGGTTTCATTGGGAAAAGCTCCGAGATCACTTGGCTCCAAAGGCTTAGCAAGGAGGTCAACAGTGAATGTGAGGCCTGGCCTGCAACTATTCCCAACACAGATGACGATAACGGTCTGCCGTCTCCAACTCTGACGCCTCGACCGGAGAACCCAAGTGAGCCATGGGTAGTGGCTTCCAACTATTACCTTGATGACCTGGACATTCCAACTGCAGATCAAAGTGATATGTATGGAGTCCCATCACGAGAGATGGCAGGCAAAATGCTCAATGCATATCTGACTTCGGTGCATCCATCCTTCCCAATCATTGGGGTTTCAACTTTTGTCCCTCAATTTCAGGTCTTTTTCAGTCAACCCTCTCTCAAGCCAGGAAACAAGTGGCTCGCTATCCTAAACCTGATCTTTGCTATCGCGGCTAAATATGGGCAATTGACGAACTCCGACTGGAATGAAGAAGATGATGACCATCAGATGTACTTCTCGAGGGCGCGAGCCTTGAGCTTGGAAGATCAGATTCTCCATCATCCTGATCTACAGCAGTTGCAAGTCGAGGGCCTTACTTCATTCTATCTGATTGCGTCAGGACATATCAATCGGTAAGTCGATAGCCCGCATATCCTGCAATTATATACTCACGACGTTGGTTGATGCAGGGCCTGGAAACTTTCCGGAAGTGCAGTTCGAGGAGCGCTAGCTCTTGGATTGCATTTGCGCAACGTGGGTGCGAGCATATCCGATACTTCCAAGGAGATACGCTATCGGGTGTGGTGGTCGTTGTATACACTGGATCATCTACTTACTATCATGACTGGGCGTCCCTCATGTATCATTGACAGCTCTTGCACTACGCCGATGCCTGTTCCTTTCGATGAAAGTGATTTTCAAAAAGACGAGGTGGCTCGGCTGATAGGCACAGCTGTGCTCCGTACACCTAGTGGTCCCGAGCGGATTCCCACCAACAACAACGCAGACGACCTAGAGTCAACGGCTGACTCTGATTCGAACGACATGCCTGCTGAGGGCGAGACAAAAATGAGCCGAGCCGAGTATCTCAAGAGTCTGCCGCCTTGCACTTCACTTTACTTCCTGCAGCTGGCCTCCTTGACCAGTATTTCCAAGCGGATGACAGTGAAACTGTATAGCCCGGAGGCCCTACAATCCCCATGGGCAAGCACCGAGTTTACCATCAAGAGCCTGATGCTTGAAATTGATTCATGGTTCATGAATCTCCCTGCAGCATACGATTTCACCTCGACACAGACATCCCAATGCCCCATCAGCCAGAGAATGGGCCTCGCCTTTCTGTTCTACAGCACCAAAATCGGAATCACCCGGCCGTGTCTCTGTCGCTTGGATCAATCCCCTTCCGAGGAGGACAAGACTTACGAGTTCTGTAACAAGACCGCAGCAGAATGCGTCGAGGCCGCATGCCACATGCTTACTCTATTCCCGGATACACCAGACGCAGTGCTGCTATACCGCATGTCGCCTTGGTGGTGCACATTACATTATCTGATGCAAGCAGTTACTGTCCTCCTCCTCGAGCTAGCATTCCGAGCCCAGCACGTCCCCGAGAAAGCAACGATGGTCTCCAAAGCTGCAAAGAAGGCCCTGGACTGGCTGTCGACTCTATCAAAAACCAACATGGCGTCAGAAAGAGCCTGGAAGCTCTGCGACGGTTTCCTCCGCCGCTTGGCACCACATATTGGAATCAACGTGAACGATTTCCCCACCACCGAAGAGTCAGACTCCCTCTTCGATGTCCCTGATACCACAGACACCGCAGTACCAGAAGAATCAGCAGCGGATGATGTGGCATTTGATCCGTCCGCAACTATGCCTGCAGTCGTAGCAGTTGACGCCATCTCCGCTGAGCTGGACTCAATTGCCTGCTCCCCGATGAACCAAGCCAACACTACTCCCCTCGGCATGCAGGAACCCTACGGTCTCGAAGCGCCGGATCTACTCGACCAGTTCATCAAGCAAGAGAAGGATCTCTCGGGTCGGAGCTCGTACGACGAATGTTTCCCCTACGACCCAGCCACGGGCCAGCTCACAGGCTCTTTCTTCCCATCTGGTCCGAATATGGAACTTGATATGGGGTATTTCTGGGGTGATCCGGTGTGTTAAGCATCCGTGGTGGAATGGACAATAAAAAAAGCAAAATCAAAATGGACGCAGAATAAAATTGGAACAATATCTCTGCAGTTATCTGGATTCGGGTTCTTTTCTTCTGTCGCTTCATTTGCATGCCAAAAGAAAGAAAATTCAACACCTGTCTTCATATAGACATAGAGAAAAGTGATTCTTGTTTCTCTGGACTTCTCCTACAAGTCGCAATTCGATATTATTGTCTTATGGTAGTTGGTTATATATATTATCTTGAGACTAGTCATGTCTATTGGCATCTGATAATACATCTACACGGAGTAATATATTACTATAATCACAATCCAAGTTGAAGGTTCACATATACTCCTTTGTATCCATAGAACAACCAATATTAAGCCTGTCCCAGAACCAGATCATCCACATCCATGTATATTCCAAAGTCTGATGGAGCCAGCCGGAATACACCCCTGGATAAATGCGAAAGTCTAGACCGGTCGGAAACTACTTCTCTTCTTCTCTTTCTCTTGGATCATTCTGTCGTATCTTCGGACTCGCCGCTAGGGGGCGACTTGTTCTTCAATCATCGTGACGTGAATACGTGCAAGTTGGGAATCAACTGAACTGGGTAACTAGGCATGTGCTCTCTTGTTTTTGTCTCTGTGTCAATATAGGGAGTAGTCACCACAGAAGAGTTACTTTGCCTAGAGCTTTATATATATAAAGCCATCTCGGGCAGCTTTTCTATCCTCAAAGAAAGGCCCGATTACATACTCTCCACTTGATGACCGGTTCCAGTGTAGGTGATAGTTCGGGGTTGACTCGCTTATGATCAGGACACAAACCACAATAATAATCTAGATCTAGAGTTTGGAAATGACAAGCTTCATTTCGAAAGTGTACAAGTCATAATACAGTACGCATGCTCGTACGGGAGCCACACTGGAGTGCCTACATTGCATGGATTGCGGTATAGTCTAATTAATATATAATAGTCAAAACATTAGCCTGAGCCTGCCGCACTCCAATCCCTTCGCGCAGCAGTAAACAATAACCGTGCAAGTTCTTCTTGTGGCGTCGAACGGGTGACTTGGTTTTTCGACGGTGCTGAAGGGTAGTACACGGCCGTGACTCTGGCAAAAGAGATATCGACCGCGTGTTTCTTTCGCGTGAAGTCTGCCCACCGCGTCCATTTCGAGGGTCGAGATGGGTCTGAAACTGTAGTTTCCGAGGCTGGGGTGATACCCAGAAGACCACGGTCATCCCAGACAAACTTCTCGATGCACTCCAAAGCAGGCATGATTCGACGGCGCACGCCGCACCCGGTGTGGGCTTCGTCGATTGAATAATCGGGATACTGTTTGATAGAGGCGATGATGACCGTAATATCAGACGGTGGGCCTGGTGGTTGGGATTCGCCAGCTATGTGATCGCCATCGTTGGAAGTTGAGTCGAAATCCGGGTCTATCAATGTCGATCCCAGGAAGATTGTTCTGGCGCATATTGAGAAAAATCGGATCATCTGGCCGAGTTGGAAGAGGTCGCATTGGCTGGCGTTGTTGAATCCGCCTCGGCATTGGAATTGACGAGATTGAAGAAGCGAATGTGCAGATGCGGTGAAAGCTGCGCCCAATGTTCTGCTGTTGGCTGCGGACCTTGCGATGTCGGTTTCTTCCAGACCGCCATAGACTCGGAGGAAATGAGCCTGTAGGTCGGTTATGGTGTTCAAAACATACTGACGTCGACGATAGACTTCCTCTGCAGAAAGATGGTTTAGCTAACTGGAACTAATTGGGGATGACGCTCCAGAAACCAACCTTCTAAGCCATTTGGTAGATATTTCCAGCGCAAAGATTCTTCCTCGGGGCCATCTAGCCCGTTTATCCAGTATCTGGAGCCCACAACCAGCAACGCATGGGTCATGATTCTAGTGAGTCTTGAATCATCAAGGAAGGCGGATATGAAGATGATCTGTCGAATCCGATCTTCCTTCATTGACAACAAGGTTGAATTAAACCTAGCAAGGAGCGCAGGCTTTGTCTTGCCATATAAATATCCAATCTTCTGTAGAACATCTTGAACAGCACGAGGAGAATTCAATGAATCTGCAAGGTCGATCATCCTCGCAACAAGCGATGTAGACTGGGTCTTCAAGTCATTTTCAAACACAACTCTTTCAGCTTCATCGAAAGAATCCAGACATATGATCTTCAAAAATAACTCGATGGCATCTCCTCCGCACATGCTAGTAGATTGGACACCGGGAAGCCTGACTGTCGGTAGCGCATGGTGCGAGACTGAATCTGGTATTTGCGTTTCATTCCAGGCTTGCTTTTGGGCACTGAATTGCCTTCCCTCAGAGAACTTGGTGGGGTCCAGTAAGGCTTGGAAATATGGACTGTGACTGATAAGAAGCTCACTTGCCACCCGCCATTTGTGCTTGGTGGGTGACGATGAAGAGTCAGCGGGAGCGATGTACTCGAGAATCAGGTCCCCATTGGCAGAGATAACTCTAATATCTGATTTCTCACCACCAGCTTGGGGGCCATTTTGCCCAGAAAGTCCATTATGCTGGCCTGGGGTTTTGGTTGGGTTCATGTCGGGTTCCCCGAAGCTCTCTGTGATTATGATGTAGCGTGAATATGTGGCTGTGAGAGTTACGCATTGGAAGTAAAATAATCACGGAGAGTCTATCCAACAATTGTCTTATGTACTGTCATAGTAAAGTACTGTCCAGTCTCAAAAGGTGTTCATCATGAAGATGACGATTTGGTGTGATGTCAATGGGATCGACTGTTGATCAAACACTAATCTGATCCCATGATCAGATTTATAAAAATAAAAGACAAATTTTAATGTATAGAGGCACCAAGAAAAGATAGAACGGGATAGCTGTACAGCTGAAAACACTTTCACTGTTGACATCCATGTCCACATTTGGAGGCGATCTCGTTCCCATAGGATGACTAAGAAGGACACGTGCTTAGCCTAATCAGGTAATTCAGGCGCAAATGGATATTTGTTTACAATGGAGTGATCTTTTAGATTATTATGCTAGATGGAATCTGTGGACAAGTTCGGCCAGCGATTTATTTGTTCGTCAAATTCATTGGTATATGTATAAGACCTCTTGTTGCAAACGCCGACAGAACCAAGCCATGGAACTATTCGCGAAAAAGTGATGGGTTTATAGCATGCTCAAGTCCAAAGTTGCTAAGATGAGGCCACCAACACTCGCCAACAGCCCGCGAGTATGGGGAATAGCAAACGCTGTGGGATATCATGCAACAACAACCATTGGGAGATGTATGATTCTGGGGCCCACCGGTTGCTTTACACAACCGTTGGCTTCTTGCTCTTTTCGGTTCTTTTCCCGAATAGCTACCGCCTGCCTGACGATATGGTATAGGTGTTGTGCAAGGTATGGAGTTTCAGAGCCGGGGTCAGATGGTCCACTTCCGTCAGCCTTGACGGTAGGATCAAATTCAAAGCCAAGGCTGAGACTAGGCGATACAAGAGAGAATACACCAAGCGCTTTTTGCTGTTCGTTGAGATGAGGCAAAGCAGCGATTTTGGCAGCGCTGAGGCCTAGTTGGGGATTTCCGTTGCCGTCAAATAATGCCAAATCAAAGATATCGTTTCCTCGGTAATTCATGAAAAAGGGTTCGCTCGTTGCGACACCGATGACGAAGTCGGAGTTGGCACATGCGGCGACTATCGTGCTTTGGCGGAATTCAGGGGTAAGTGCGTTTCCAATGGTGCTGGGTAGACAGAGTACGATGCTGCGGGCCAATAGTGGGGCGTTTGGGACACCGTCATCTGAGTGAACGTGTGCTTGCGGAATCACAGACTCGGTGGTGACTGAGATGGTTGACGATTTCCGTAATACTGCTCCCGTACTGTTCAAATAGAATTCTTTCCAACCATTGCTTGTTTCCTCGGAAGGGAGAGAAATTTCCACGTCCTCGCCCGACAAGTGGTTATTTGTCTCAGCAGAGATCTCAGTCTGGATTATCTTTGCAGTTGTTGTAACTGCTTCGCGGGCTGCCAATCTCAAGGTGGGGATCAATATATCATTTTCTTGTTGGTCGACTGGAGCTGCGGGGGCCCAAGAGGTGGCCAGATTGGACCATGTTGCCGTCCTCAATGGGCCGCTGGTGTATGACTTTTTGATCAAGTCTGCCAATGTTTGCCTCGTTTCCAACGGCGCATCCGCTCTGCCCATGAAATTTATCATAGGGTTCAAAACCTTGCTTCCTTCCCACAGTAGGAATCTATGTTTCCTGGACAAATGCTGAAGCTGTTCGATGGTATCGCTGGACCAATCGTCGATAGCGTCGGCTGAAATTTGTAGTATGGCGATGTGGGGACCGATATCTGCGGCCAGCCGCAGGATTGAAGCCGAGTCAGTGTGATTGACGGAGGCATGAGCGATCACGGGCTGCCCATAAGGAAGAGTCTTTTTGGTATCTATCAATGCCTGCACGTAGGCGAGAACGGGGTTCTCGGGGGACCACTCCGCTGTAATCGACATTGTGGACGGTGAAAGAGGGGGAGTGAGTGAGGAAGGATGCATTCATATAAAGGGAAAGAGAAGATTACAAGTACAAAAAGGTAGAGAAATGGGAAGTTAGAGATTGTGGGAAGGAAGAGGGGCTGAAATATCCACTACTAACTAGTGTGGTGTCTAATCCCTGCTTCAAATTGGAATTGACCACGCAGAAGCCGATAAATAACCCATAATATCGTTGAAGAGACTCTTTCCGGCCATAGCCCCGCGTGCCGCGTAGGATAACACTAATCTCTCAGTGGGGGCATACGCCGAGAGCCGGGCGCATACAAAGATTGTCCTACGTGAAATAGAAGTACGGAGTACGGGAAATGTGTACGGAGGATTCCGTAGTATATGGTACTTTGGGCAAATGCTAGGGTGGCCTTTTTTAGCTTAACAGATCTTTCCCTCTGGAGGATCTCGGGGGTTTCGTGTTTCCCCGAAGGATCAGACATGATCCTGTCAGAGGCAGTGATTATGGGGCTCGTCTCCATAATGGAGTCAATATGGGGTTTAACTGCGGATTTTCGTATTTATATTAAACCGATCGACCGGGTGGCAAACAAGAAATCAGTCTGCTAAATAACCAAAGAGAGGATTGCTAAGAAACCTGTCGAAGGAGCTAGCAGATTATTGAGCTTTTTAGTAGTTTCACATGATAGGTCTAGCCTATTTTGGTATAGTTGAACTATCTATTCCTATCTCAGTATAGTCTGTGTGTGTGTGAGAGAGGGCCTTCGATTATATTTGACCAGATGTTTTCTTCGGACATGTATCTACATCTGTACTTTGTACTTCGTACCTTGACATGTTACAAGTATATCATGATACATCCATTGGAATCTTTAATACAGAGTAGTCCTAACATTTCCCTTTCCCGCTGATCCATGACCTTTTAACATTTTATGGATAGACCTTTAAGCTTTTAAGCCCTCTTGCGGTCTCCAGGGCTGCTAGCTCTCTTAAAGTTATATTAGGTAGATTCTTAGCGGGTGCTCTCTATCGTTCGCAATCTTAACAATTTAATCATATCTTTTACTTTCCCTTTATATAGAATGGTTCTAGGTCAAAGTCCTTGATACCTCTGAAATGCAACAGCATTCTGAAGTTAAAAATAAAAAGCCAATAGTTTGCATTTACTTTCGAAGGGTGGTCTGACCAGCACCAGACTCGGAGAATGCAGATGCAATTTAAAGTTTTCAGGCATCTCGTTAAAGTACCAATTTGAAACTTCTTAACACAAAGCCTTTATCTTTACCGAGGTGCATAACTTCCCTGCAACCCTCTGTCTTTTTTAGTTGACTAGCATCCAACTTGCTCCACTTAGCCGTTGGATAGAGGTAATAAAACGCTTTCAATTCTTAATATTAAAGATTCAAGTCTAACTCGCTTATTATTGCTATTTGTTTTCTTCACTATATGACATATCAGAATACTTTGGATTCAATGTATCTGATTTTCAATTGCCTTCTACTGCAGAATTTGATTTGATAAAGAATCCTTATATGGAGTACAACATACTCCGTATATTGTACATTTATCCATCTTCTAATATTTCCATGTCGCAACAATCCCTGCTCTTTGTATCATATCTGCTGCCTACTATTCCATAAACTCTATAGAAACTGAAAACAAGCTAAACAGGACACCGGGAGAATATGAAAAGAACAAATTATAATGGAGCTTAACGGCTTAGCAGTTGAACTAAGGCCGGACCGTAATTTCCTCCCGAGGTCATCAATGCGGCTATAGAAAAGACCCACCGATGAACAGTGAAATATGGAGTGATAATGCATAAGTACATAACTTTTACTTCATGATAAATCCATGGATGAGTTACCTTGGTTAATTAAAGTGTGCATAGGCTATTCGATTCAAACCCGAGATGTGGATCCGAATTTAAAGTGGTCTGATCCAATTGAAGGCCAATAATTCGAAATTTTCCAAGGCACCGGAGCGGGCGGATCCCTGGTTCATTTTTGGTGTCACGCCACGCCCCTGATTAATTCTTATTATCGCTGCCTCACCGGATTTTCATTTTCTCATCCTTTCCCTATTTTCCCCTTCGACCTCTATACTCCGCCCAACATGCCTGGGAGAGTACTGCCGACGTTTACCTCCGCCGAAGTCAAATCTCACAATACCGCCAAGTCTTGCTACATCACCTTGGGGGCTAACGTTTACGATGTCACCGATTTCCTCGAATCGCACCCCGGTGGTGGTGATCTAATCTTGGAGTATGCCGGCCAGGATGTAAAGGATATTCTGAAGGATGAGATATCCCACGAACACAGCGATGCTGCCTATGAAATTTTGGACGAGTGTCATATTGGCTTTGTCTCCGATGTCCCGGTGTCTGGCAAAACCACAACTGTTATCGAAACCGTGACTGAAACCGAGTCTGGCCCCGTTTACACAACCACCGGAATGTCGCGGGAGGAAGATCTGTCAATGGACACCGACTACAGCCAGGATTACAAGACCCACAAATTCCTAGACTTGAACAAGCCGCTTTTGATGCAGCTGTGGAACAGCAACTTCTCCAAGGAGTTCTACTTGGAGCAGATTCACCGGCCTCGTCACTACCGGGGAGGAGAGTCCGCTCCTCTGTTCGGCAACTTCCTCGAGCCTCTCAGCAAAACCGCGTGGTACGTGGTGCCAATTATTTGGTTGCCATTTGTTAGTTATGGAATTACGGTCGGAGCTGCCGGTCTAGGGAGTCCCACTGCAGCTGCCTCTTACTTTTTCGGCGGCGTGTGCCTCTGGACTCTGATCGAGTATCTGATGCACCGATTCCTCTTCCACATTGACCACTGGCTTCCGGACAACCGCGTCGGTCTGACCCTGCACTTCCTGCTCCACGGTATCCACCACTACCTTCCGATGGACAAGTACCGTCTTGTTATGCCACCGACTCTGTTTGTGGTTCTAGCTGCTCCTTTCTGGAAGCTGGCACACGCTGTCTTCTCTTACAACTGGTACGCGGCTACGTCGGTATTCTGTGGCGGCGTCTTCGGGTATATCTGCTATGATCTCACCCATTATTTCCTACACCACCGCAAGTAAGTTGAACTCTTGATTTTGATACAATGGAACTCACGCTAATATCAATCCAGCCTCCCTTCATACTACAAGGATCTCAAGAAGTATCACCTCCAGCATCATTTCGCCGATTTCGAGAATGGCTTTGGCGTGACCAGTCGATTCTGGGATCGAGTCTTTGGCACCGAGTTGGTATGCCCAACCCCGAAAGGCACCAAGGCTCAGTGAGGCCAATGAACCCAATCATTAGTATAGTGCTGTCACGATTTTAACGCCGAGTACGATCGAGTCCCTACTCTTCGGTACTCTTCAAGTACATTGGCTCCTGGAGTTTCTGGTTGGTCCTAGGTTCTGCTTCTTGTACAATAGACGCCGTCATGTCATCTCTTGTGATGATGCAAGGCGGAGTTTTCTTTTTTTACACATCACTTATCAGTGTATATGACCGTTAATCATAATGCAAGAAAATAATATCTATATCTCCATTGTATCCTATATCTGCTACATGCAGTCATTTTCACAGTTACTAGGTAAGGCTAGGTGAACCTTTATTATTCATTCATATGTAGACATCCATCCATGAATGGATACCTACCTATGTTGTACATGTGCCTAATCTTCTAAGTGGTCGTTTGTCATTACAGAACAGATTCTCTGAAAGAAACAGCAGCAGCAACTTTGTAGAGCGTTGGACGGACGGTAGAAGAAAAATAACTCTCTCAGAATAATTATTTTTATTATATGTATCTGCATATGGCCCAGGGAATGTCTTACAGAAAGGATAACTGCAGATATTAAAATTAAGGTTGGTTGGGCGTTATTTGCCTCAGGCCGCAAATATCCGCCTTGGATATAAGGCGCCTGGAAATCTTTTTCAAGCCTCGCACGTGATCATGTCTAACTCACCGCCCGGAGCCTTTTGGGCTATACGACCAACCAATTTAATTAAATACTTATACTATACCAACTCTCTCCTACTCAACACCCACACCCTCGAGAATTTGCTGCGTTCGTTGCCTTGAACCGAGGAATCAAAACGCGCGTCAACACCCCGGAAACCCAAGGAAGATTCCGTGAATTTTCGCATCATAAGGGTTCGAAAGCCAAGTCTTGTGTCTCTTTTCGCCATCTGACCCCTACAAAGTGACCATCTCTCTACCCTGATCATTTTTACCACATTAAACGGCAGACAACCTCTCAAAATGTCTGCAATCGACGTAGAGGCTCTGCTTGAGGCTACTGCTCCGGCTCCCGCCGCCCCAACCACTTCGGAAGCCCGTGACGACCAGTCGCGCGCGGACCCCGACGAGCGTCCTGATCGTTCCCGCGATAGTCGCCGTCGCCGCGACCACAGCCGTGACCGCCTCCCCGATCGAGACCTGGAAGGCGATGATGTCATGAAGAACGACCCCGCTACTGCTAATGGAGACCCTAGAAGCCGAAAGAGGATCGATGAGCAGCACCGCCCTCGCCGTGACCGTGACGGCTACCGCTCCGGTGACTTCTATCGTGGTGGAGGACGCCCTCGTTCCCGTTCCCGTTCGCCTTATGATGACCGTCATTACAGGCCCAATCGCCGCCAGCGCGAGCAAGGAAGACGCTCCCACCGTGACAACGATGCCCGTCGTGGATTTGGTGATACCCGTCGTGGATCTGGTGCTTCCCGTCGTGGATCTGATGCTTCCCGTCGTGGATCCGATGCTTCCCGTCGTGGATCTGATGCTTCCCGTCGTGGATCTCTTGATGACCGCAAGTCTCCCGAGCTTACTGAAGAAGAACGTGACAGACGTACTATCTTTGTGCAGCAACTTGCTGCTCGTCTGCGAACCCAAGACCTAGTCAAATTTTTCGAAAAGGCCGGCCCCGTTAAGGACGCTCAAATCGTCAAGGATCGTGTTAGCGGACGCTCTAAAGGGTATGTTTTCATATGTTACTTCATAGGATTACTTGCTAACATCTGTATAGTGTCGGTTACGTCGAGTTTAAAAGAGAGGAGTCTGTCGATGTTGCCCTCCGACTCACCGGACATATGCTACTAGGAATTCCCATCATTGCCCAACTGACTGAAGCGGAGAAGAACCGCCAAGCTCGAAATCCCGAGGCTACTGCAGGCAACCAACCCACTGCACCGTATCACAGACTCTATGTTGGTAATGTCCATTTCAGCATTACTGAAGAAGATCTCACGAATGTCTTCGAACCATTCGGCGAGCTCGAATTTGTTCAGTTGCAAAAGGATGAAACCGGCAGAAGCAAGGGTTTTGCTTTCGTTCAGTACATTGTCCCTCCAGCCATTTGTGTTCTTAGCACTCCCACTAACCGACTTAACCAGATTCGCGGATGACGTACAAGCCCGGAACGCTTTGGAAAAAATGAACGGATTTGAACTTGCTGGACGAGCTATTCGGGTTGGTCTCGGCAATGATAAGTCCGCCCCTGACACGCACGCCAATCGCCCCTCCGGTGATTCGTCCACCATTTTCCAGGGATCCTCGTTCTCCGGCCAGGGAGGCCGTGGCGTTCAAGCCGGAGGTTCCAACAACTTTGACCGTAACAAAGCCGAGAAGGGTGGTGTCGGTGCTAGTGCACTTGATGACACAGACGTTGCTGGTGTCAACTTCAACAACTACTCTAGGGATGCGTTGATGCGGAAACTTGCACGAACTGATGAGCCCCAGCCTACCGACGATCGTCAGCAGTTCCTCCGACCCAAGACCGAGACTAAGCCGCTTCCCATCAATGTCAACATGGCTAGCCGCTGTGTTTTGCTTCGCAACGTGTTCGACCCCGCCGAGTAGGTTTCCTTGACTTCATCATGAGTGAATAGATGCTAACTAATTTACAGAGAGACCGGCGAAGACTGGGTCAAGGAAATGGAAGAGGAAGTCCGCGCCGAGTGTGAGCGGAAATATGGCCATGTAGTTCACATTTCCCTAGATCTCAATTCGCCGGGAGATATCTACCTGAAGTTCGATCGCGTTCAAGGTGGCGAGAATGCTCTCAAGGGCCTCAATGGCCGATACTTCGGCGGACGACAGATCACCGCCCAACCCGTCGTGGATGCCGTCTACAGCAGTCTTTTCTCCCGGACTAAGGCTATCTAGATCAATACTCATCCCGAGTACATTCAACTTTCGACATACGATATTAACCTGGCAAACTTAACCTGGCAAACTATTTGAAGACAGATTCCCCTAACGTCTTCCCTGGACTTCTGGACGGCTCTACTACCCGGTAGGTGCCACTCTTTCAGCGAGTTCTTGTTTTTTTTTCAATTGTTCGGCACTCCCCGTGTGTCACTTGTCCCTTCTACCCACCCCTTTTGTGGGTAGAAGTGGACCTTGCTACCATATGATCGTTTTTAGCAGCGTGCTTGTGCATCTTGTTGCCCTGTTTGTGTAATTTCCCCAATGATGTCAATGGAGTTAAGTCAAATATTCAAGGTTTCACCCTGTAGTTCTCGTACTCGTACTCTGTAGACTTAAGTGGAGCTCAAGAAGCAAGATATCCACTTCTTTGTATAGATGCTTTCATCTTCTCTTTTACAAAGATCTTCGATATTCACAGGAATTGTTGAAAGGCCAAATTCCTATAGGTAGCATGCGTATATAGCTTCACTTAATTGGTAAATAATTAGATGTCCCCTATACAATTATAGCACTAAAAGAGCTATCCGCCGGAACGAATGTGCCGGTCCGAGTCTTCTTATCTGCCGACGCTCGGGCCAGATGTATTCTCCCCACAGTTCTTTCAACACTTTTCTTCCCTACTTGACTTCACTTCGATGGACCAATGACTCTCCTTTCAAGGCGAGTAACAGGCCGGGTCTGGACCTCGGCTGACTGTTACAGTGCGTGAGAGCTTATCTGCTGTGAAGGTCCTTGCTAACACAACTTAGGCTTCGCTTTCCTTCGAGCGCGATGCTACAGTACCGAGTCTGTGCCGCCTGGCCAGTTGACAGCTAAGAAGCAGCCACAGTTCCGCGATTATTTTGTCACCCACCTACCGTCGTCCTCGCTTCATCCGGACCCCCGTGGTCCATCCTCGTCATTCCATAAGCTTCCTCGCTCCGCCTCTATACCTCACACCGGAGATACTCCGCAATCACCAGCTGCCTTCCAAGCTTTAATAAACCGTGAGACAACGGTCGTCCGGATTCCACTCCGCAACGCGAAGCACCATTTCGGTGCCGTCACTTCCCGCGGAACCCGCCCGTCAAATGAAGACACATACCAAGCCGGCGTCATTGACATCCCCGCCTTTGCGAAGCGACCTCCAACTTCGCTAACGATTAGACGATCCAATAAACAAGATCCTTTAGCCCAACCGCGGGAGTCGCGCGGCGCGGAAACAGCTAGTGGAGACCCACAAGTCTTTTATTTCGGTGTCTTTGATGGCCATGGCGGATCCGAGTGTAGTTCATTCTTGAGGGACTATCTGCACGAGTATATCCAGAATGTGGCATTTGATATCGAACTACGGTCCAGCCTACGACCTGGTGCTGAAGTGCCACCTGCCACTAGCGAACTACCTGTGATGCAGGAGGGTGATCGACGCAGAATCGGAGACCTAGAGAAATACCTTGTGCAGACCTGGAGACGGGTAGTTGGTGGCTACTTCAAGAGATTCAAGCCGCCGCATTTCGCCTACAATGGCACGGAGGCTACGAACCCGAGTGTTGAAAATCACATCTCCATTGAGGAAGTCGTGGAGTACGCCTTCTTGCGCGCAGATCTAGACTTTGTCAACGCTCAAGCAGCCAAGCGAGACGACGATCTTGTCCGAGCGGAGAGACCTCTGAACGATGATGAAATCTTCTACAGGCCTAGCATGACCCGATCTCCCCAGATCGGCGGAAGCGCCCGGTTCAAGGGCGGCAGCACCGGAAGTGTCGCCATGATCTCGACCCCGACGCCCACCCCCTTCTGGCACCCCGTCGCCCCGTCAAGCCTTCTAGTTGCCCATGTCGGCGACACCCGTATGCTTCTCTGCTCAACAGAAACTGGCGAGGCCATCCCCATCACGTCAAACCACCACCCGTCCTCCCCGATCGAGGCATCCCGACTCCGACGGTACGCCACAACCTTTGTAACCGACTCTTTTGGCGAAGAACGTATGAGCGGACTAGCCAACACGCGCGCTTTCGGCGATGTTCAGTCCAAGCGCATTGGAGTCTCTGCTGAGCCCGAGCTCAAGCGTATAGAGCTTGGCCCGGCCGAGTTCTCATTCTTAGTTATGGTATCCGATGGCATCAGCGGGACACTGCTTGACCAGGAGGTCGTTGATATCGTTAAGGAATCTAAGACACCGGAGCAGGGGGCGCGAGATGTGGTCAATTTCTCGACGGAGGTCACTCGGGAAGGTGACAATGCCACTTGTCTTGTTATTCGACTTGGTGGTTGGGAGCGTCGTCTCGAGGGCGGCGTTGGTAGTATGGGTACTAAGGAATCTCGCGAGTGGCGTCGACAGGATGCCACTGATCCGCGCAGGTCACGGACGTGAATGGTTCTGTATATTTGGGAGTTTTGTCCTGTACATATTTTTTTTCGGCCTCTAGACTGGTCGTATATAATCAATGGTGTCTATAAACACCAACGTGATACAAGATTATATCCAAAATCATCAAGATGTAACAATGTAAGGGTATGTTTCAAGTTCAAGTCCAGTTTCAATCACGATCATCTCCAGGTGGACCGCGTGGGGAAAGCTCACTGGAGTCCCAAGGTTCCGCGTAATCCGCAGGACATTCCACAATTTCTCTCTTTCTTCCTTTTCCCTTTCATCCCTTCTTTTTTTCACTTCTCTCATTTAACGCCTCAAGGGTTTCAAGTGCGTAGCAACAAAGCGTGCTTATCTCCTCTTATCGTTGAAATTTCTCCTTGTTCCTTGGGCATCTCCTATCCTTATCCCGAGGGGAATTCCCTTATTCTTATCTGACACCGTGTGTTTTCTCTCCCGAGGCCTCTACCGCATTTGTACAACCCGTCTAAAGCTAACAGTACCTAGACTCTCCGCTATCCATACGTCCCTCCTTATCTACACGAGAACATTTCGCACACCCCTTTCACAATGAGCGCAAGAACACGACGACAAAAGGCTTCCCTCGCTGCTGAGGAGAGTGAAGACTCACTTGGCAATGGCTCCGTCTCTACACCTTCGAAGCGTGCCTCCTCCAAGAAGAGGGCCAGATCAGCCGCACGGGGAGAGAGCAAGGAAGAGAAGGAAAACATCTTCCTTTTCATTCCGAATCTTATCGGTAGAATGCCCCGCTGATGTGGCTTGAAGCTTCGAGTTGCTATATAGCTCAACAATTAACACGTTTTCAGGGTATTCCAGAGTCTTTTTGACCTTCGCCTCCCTATATTACATGCCCCTCCATCCCCGGACCTGCTCCTTCCTCTACACGGTGTCCTGTCTGCTGGACGGCCTGGACGGTTATGCAGCACGACACTTCCACCAATCTACCACCTTCGGTGCAGTGCTGGACATGGTGACCGACCGATGCACCACCGCGTGTCTTCTAGTCTTCCTGAGCTCCGCTTGGCCCCGATGGGCCATCCTGTTCCAGGGTCTCATCAGCTTGGACATGGCCAGTCACTACATGCACATGTACGCCACGCTAAGCATGGGCGGATCCGGCCAGAGCCATAAGAAGGTCGACCCTAGCCGTAGCTGGATTATGTACCAATACTACACCAGCAAGGTAAGACTCCGCAATGACCTGACTTTGCAGACCCCAAGCTTATCCGCAATTTTCTATTAGCTCGTTCTGTTCATCTGCTGTACCGCCAACGAAGCCTTCTTCATCGGCCTGTACCTCTTGTCTTTCTCCTCGCCAACCCTATCTCCCTCGCTCCTGCAGCCCATCTCCGACTCCCAGCTTTCCTCCGCCCAGCCCGGAAACCCGGCCCACCCTGAACCAGCCAGCCTCTTCGCCAGCCCCTGGAGTGCCGGTGCCCTCGAGATGGCGCGTGCGAATAAGCTCGAGAGCACATGGCCGTGGATCATCACCGGTATCTCGTTCCCCATCATGGCCTTCAAGCAGTTCGTCAACGTCGTCCAGATGGTGAATGCCAGCAAGTGGCTCGCCGAAGGCGATCTCGCTGCCCGCCGAGCCAACCGCAAGAAGTAAAAGGCTACAACTACGGCATCAAAGCTACACGGTAGCTAGTCGAAATTTCCGATTCCTTCCTACTTCTCATGCATGTCTTTGGAGCTATGGTCTGTGTTTTCGGGGATACGCAAGCAGACAGCGCTAGGAGCTGTCCCTTCCTCCCTAGGGGAGTGGTTGATCTGGTAGTTGGATCCTATTCATACGCGTCTTGGACAGGAATGGCCTTTGGCCAGACATGGTCCGGATCCTGGGGCCCTGTATAGTACACACGCGGGTTGTGTTTTTTCTTTTTCTTTTCTTGCCATTTGTTCTCTCTTCTTCTTCCCTTCTTCTTCCTTTCCATTTACCCTTTTCTTTCTCGCTTTCGGGCTCTGTCTCTACGGCCTGGTTCCTCAATCTTGTCTTCTCTTTACTCATTGCCTTTGCCGGTTCATCATTAACGTTTTACATCATTTAATGCATCTCTCTTGTATTTGACTCTACTTATGACTAGAAAGATCTAGTCAATGGTAGCCGTGGAATCTTGTTTCCGGATATCATCGATTTCTTGTTGGCTTACCCAAGTGAAACTGGTCCCTTTGATTTTGGTCCTTTTCGAGTACTTATTTGCTTCTAAAACCTCACATCGTACATAGGTATCTATTGAGTACTCAGTCCGCACTCAGTCTATACCCAAAGAAGCCCTTTGTCCCACAATTCTGTCTGCGAACTACTTTTTGATGGCTATCATTTCTTACCGGAAGCCATCCTACTAAGGGTGCACGATCTTCCGATCTCATTCCCCTCTCAAATAATAACGCACAAGAATACACATAAGCGGTCCTGTGATATCTTTCCAGTGGTCTTTCCAGCGGTCTTCCCAGCGGTCTGTTCAGTATTCTTTTCAGATATCATTCTTTCTATAAATATCGACAGCAAAAAAAAGGCAGAAAAAGGCTTTGTACAAACGACTTCTCTGAGTATAACCTCCGACTAAATTCGAAGTTCATCTATCATACTGACGGCGCAGTCTACACCTCCTATCCTCGTGGCTTCCCTTTCAGAAACCCTTATATTGCCTCAAAGAGCAGATAGAAATGTCTAATGACTCAGACTCCTCAGAAGTCGCGCACTCAGACATCGAGTGCTTCGAAGCACTACCCGACGACACAGTCGAAGCCATTGGGTCGACAGAGAACGCCATCCGGAAAATTATCAGAGAAAACAAAGAAATCGACATGAAAGATCTAAATTTCACAAACGTCCCACCAGCTATTGCGGACAGGTTTTCTTTACGCAATACTCGACAGATATATAACCACAGTACTGGTCAAGTGATCCTCAATCTCATAACAGGCGCCCATGAAACAGCTTCGCGCCGCCTAGGCGGTGCAGTGCAAAATGAGATATACAATATGGGACTGGGCAAGTCGATCCGTCCGTTAGGGTCTAAACCCATCTAAGGTGTGTTTTGCAGAAAGGAGGCTGACGAGGCGTATGGTCATGCCCAACCTGTTCCAGGTTGTGATCCAAAATGGCCGACTGTTGTGGTCGAAGTGGGAGTATCTGAGTCATATCGAAAGCTACGGGCAGGTGCGGATTGGTGGATCATGGACTCGAGGGATGATGTAAAGCTTGTGATTATCGTGTCTGTCAGTCGGAAGATACCCGATATCAAGTTTGAGACTGTTATTTTGGAGACCGACTCCTTACTACAGCGGCGCTACGAACTAAAGATACGACAGATTATTATGGTATCCTGCGACGCAAACTCACTGATTTCCATTAGGCCGGCAGTGCCTTTGACCATTGGGTTTGAAGAATTGTTTTGTCGTCAACCAGTCCCGCCTGAATATAATATTGAACTATTACCTGATCGGCTAGGACAAATCTTGGAACACGTGTGGGGGAAGCAAGGATTCTAGCTTATTATTACCTCTGTATCTCTGTTAGTGCTCTTAGGTAGCTTCTTCAATGATACAATTTTTGCTACAATAATCGTGGAGTGATTGTCAAAGTGCTGTGTAAATTCTTGAAGACAGAAGACAAGACAGAGAACGATGGTTGTATAAAGAAAAAAGAATGAAAGTCTGTGTTGGAACTTGTTCTTCTATTGATGGAATTGATAGCCTGGGCTTCATTCACTTCTCCCCCCTACAGGGCTCTATCTGGCTTGAGTACTCCCCGAGCAATATCCACGGTCTCCCACAACCAAAATAGAAACCGAGAGCATGTGGTATGTAGTGATTAGTTTTCCATCATGCGTTCATCCCTTCACATCCCCCTTCATGAAGCTCGACATTCCCATCAACAGGACCGCATATCCAAATCACCTAGACCAGACTCACTCCGGCACAAAGCATAGCCGCTCTGGGTATGTCTGCTTCTTTAGCAAGTGTGCTTTAGCAAGTGTGCTCAGCACAATCGCGCTAGTACAGAATCCCGGAGAGCATTTTGAAGCGACTCGGCGAATGATCACGAAAATGATCTCCGGACTGACATTGCCTGTTTGTTTACTAAGTGTTTAGCAATTGAAGGCCAATAGACTATCGGTTAGTAAACCATGCAGAGGAACTTACCTGGTTGGTTGTTCTCCGATTTGTTTCCCTTGCTCTCCGGGGGCGTTTTGAAGGCATGATGGATGGTGATGACCTGCAGTTGATTAGCAATAGAAACTTGGTAAAGGTTGATCTAGGACTTGCAAGCTCCATTCCTGGGAGGACATGGCTATTGTATTCTTGTTTCAAGAATTACGTGGGAAATCGTTCCTCTTCCCAGGCGTCCTGCAGTCGATTAGCAATAGAACAATAAAGGGAGAACTAGAAATTACAAGTCCACTCATGGGACGGACAGGGTTATCCTCTAGGCCTTCATATCCATCGCATTCGGCTCGAAGGCGCATAACTCAACTTGAGGAGGCCTTTTGGCGTGACAACGCATAGAGCGAAGAGGAGCTCGAAAAGCCATAGGGAATCCCTCATAGTTCCACGTCATGCATCATGCATCGCGCGTAACATCCTCATTCGCCTCGAAATCGGCATCGTTATCTCATCGTTGAGAACATAAGTTCGACTGTCTGGTCGGTATCGCTCTCGATGCTCATTGGTAGTAGGCGCTCGCGCTCGCAGACCATGTATTGCGGGCAAAAGAGAGACACTATGATGAGGATGGTTTGGTATGTGTTTCTAATGGAGAAGGAAGGAACAAAAACCTTTAGGATGAGTTGACTTCTGACAGAAGTCAACTCATTGACTTGGAGTGTTCTGGGGATCAGCCATAAGTAGGATTGGTGATCTAAACCGGGAATGACAGTAATCTGAGAAGAGGCCAGAAATGTCAAGCCGGACTCCCAGGATTTTAGTGGGTGACCGATTTGATGTCATTCATGGTGAATGTTCCCGTTCGAGTCGAAATCGATCGGTCAGTTTGCATCTCTAACTGGTATATATATATAAAGAGAGAGGAGGGAGATGGAGATGGAGATGGAAAGGGGGAGGGGAGAGGGAGAAGAGAAGATGAGGGAAGAAAGATGGATGGAGGAAAGATAAATAGAAAGAGGATGGTGCTGCTCAAGGCAGGAACCTAAACAATTCCACATCGGGAAAGAACAAGGCTTATAGAACAAAGTCGACCAATCCGCCTAATTCATTCGAGTTGCACGACTCGATTGTTTTCTTTTTCTGTCATTATTTGGGACTTGTATATACATCATCTGAAACTACTCGCTGAATTTCGACTGGCCTAATTTTACCATGTTCTACAATATATTATGGACCCGCTACAGGTCTTGTGTTAGTGAGACATTTAATGATAGTTTTCTAGTACACTGTAGGAAATATACTATAGACTGAGTGGCTATCTATATACCTCATTTTAAATATTCTTATCATAGACATCAATGACTATATATATTGACGTTATGATCCATAAGTTCTCGATAGACTAATAAACTACAACTACCAATAGAAGTTATAGAATGAGTGTTGTATAGAAACGGCAGACCCCATGGGCCGAGGATCTCTAGCTCGGGTCGTACTCGTATACATGCCTTGATTGAGCGTCAATTGACTTGGAAGCGAGGATAAAGCCCCTCTTAACCCCTAAATATACATAGTACACGGCGCTAATCCGCGTATATTCTCTGTTATGCACATTAATCGGATCTAAAGTCCCCCGACTGTCTTAATTGGCGGCTTGGCACCCTCCGCGACGTAGGTACATATAAGCCTCCCCCCAACTGTGGACCCGAGCATTGTTCTCTTTGGACGAATATATCAGTTCTCGCTTTCGATATTCATCCAATATGGAAGATCACACGAAATACACAGCCAAGCATGTCGACGCAGAGCTCCACTTCTGGAGACGCCCGGATGCCGACAACAGTGTCAAAGTTGACTCTACCAAGGGTAAACCGGAGGACATCAAGAAAACACACGTATCAAATGAGACGCATCGGGTGTTGGTGCATGATATCCGAGGACAAGAATCATCCTTCACACTCGACAAGAACGGATTCGTATACCTGTCACACGAAATGCCCGATCTCGACATGGTGTCAGACGAACAGCATGTTAAGGACACGATCATTCCGAAGACCGAAGAGTTAGTTCGCCAAATGTCGGTACCAATCCTACAATAAACACGTGCCTCGTGATTAGAGTAGCTGAACGATGTCACAGAACTGGTGCTACTAGAACAGTCACATTTGTACATCGGGTTCGATGTCTCGCTGTAGACACAGCCTTACTCGCTGACAACCGCGCCCCGGCATACCATGTGCACTCAGATTTCACGCCTACGGGTGCACTCCACTTCTTGCAGATGATTATTCCAGATGAGCTAGAGCGCAACCGTCTCCTTGCTGGCCGTGTTCTGATTATCAATGTGTGGCGGCCGTTGAAAACCATCCAGAGAGACCCCCTCGCAGTATGTGACTGGAGTTCCATTAGTGTTCAAGACAAGGGTAGTTCTACTCGTTTGAATCTGCCAATTGGGCGGCACGAACTCGGGCAGTATGCGTTTAGTCCGACTCAGAGATGGTGTTATCTCAGCGATCAACAACCCAATGAACCTCTTGTCTTCACTCAGTTTGATAGTTCCAAAGTGGATGAGGGAGGTTTTACAGTCCCGCATAGTGCATTTGTTGATCCGGAATATACCGAGTGTGCTGCAAGGGAGAGTCTAGAAATCAAGATGTTTGCATTTGTTTGAAGTTTGTTTAGTTTGTTCTGTTTGTCTCATACAAAGGAGAACCTTGGGCTATATTTAGTTTCCTCACAGATCAGGCATTTATTTTAATCTGAGTCAAAAGAATCCATTTTCTTTCAAGTTTCCCGAATACCCGCGGGAAAAAAAAATCATATCCTTAAATGACACAGTTCTTTATTCTGCCTTGTACGGAGTACCTAGGTAGGCATCTGAAAAATTTTCCACGTTGCACACGTGTTGTTCTATGCAAGGCGTAAGAATGTAAAAAATTCAATTTAAAAAAAACTTGTAACCCTTGCTACCCAAATTGCCTAAATCCTTCGGAGACTGACGAAGGCTCCGGGACCCTGCATGACTCGAAGGTTTAGGGTTCTTTTATAGGGTGGACTAGGGCGATTTAGGATCTTTTAGGATCTTTTTAGGGTAAAATCGGGAAACTCCCTTGTTGCCTGATGTGATCGCCATTCGGTCCGCACGGCACTGCATCAAGGAAATACGGCATTGGGCTTAGAACTTGTAAAACACATTATGGGGACCCTGTCGTCATTTGATGTTTCAATTTTTTTTTTTTTTTTTCCTTTGTTTCATTTTCAATTTTGTGCAATTTCCTAATATTATGAGAAATCAGAATATACTAAAGTCAAATGATTACTCATACTAGAAATAATTACTCATACTGCCTGGAATGAGTACAACATACTATCATTTGACGAGCTATATCACGCCTTTGGGGAAAAGATCCAATAAAAAAATAGCGTGGGACCTTGTGAGAGCTGGCGCCATTTTTTTAAGCCATAAGGTGATCACATCTCTCGGGATGGTCCCACATAAAGTGGGTCCAAAGATTTTCTCCTTTAAGTGACTCACTTGGTCTATAAAGGACCTTGCATTCCGGTTTTTTCACTCAGCACCTCATCTCATCCTTTTCGGAGGTGATGGTCTCTCCCCTCTATATAAAAAGTTGTTTCCCTTTCTTTCAAACCTTTGAGAATGGGCCAGAGGCATAACAGACGCCGTACTCGTCGTTCAAGCAATCGCACTATCCTCGCTCAACATCCGACCTTGCCATTGACATCTATTCAAACACCTCAGAATAGCTTTTGCAATCTTGCGTCTGTCGACAACTCTCCTGACGCATGCATTTCACGTGGATCTCCGGCAGCCGCCCTCGCCCCATCATGGCAATATGGGAATACAGCCTGGCAGATCCGTGACCGCCCATCGCGGCTGGAATCAGGCGGATTGGAAGAAGCGCAGTGTCGTCTATTCGGTGGAGAGCCGGGCGACGATGTGAGCCTTTGTTACCGAATGCTTGAGTACTTCGGCGGACTCGACTACATCGACTCGTGAGTACCTCGATTCCGATTCACCTGAAAAACATCAATCCTGACATTTCTTTCAGCACGAGTGGCCATGCCCTTGGAGATTGAATGTCTGAAGATTCCGTCTGGAGACTTAACTGGACGGTTGTTTCGCCACCCTTTTTTTTTTTCCTAGTCAACAAAAAACGACAAAACACCAAAACGATTTTAACGAATTTGCGACGCTTTATGGAACCGCATTCGACAAATAAAACAAAAACGCCATCGAAAACCGACAACGTGACGCCCTGCGTCTTCTGTCACCCGCTGCAAATGCGCCCACACCACACTATACCACAGTGGCACGAACGCCAGATCACATGGATTACCCCGGTTCCCCGACTTGTAGCAATGAAGATGCCTCTCAGGTATTGGATTGGTCCCTCTTGACCCGGGCCGTGTGGATTCTGGTCCACTGATACTATCGCACATATGAGAAAATGAGTCATAGGCATTTTCTGACTGATACTTTCTATCCATTTGTCTTGATTGGTTGAGTTTGCGTCCGACCTCGTGTTGTTGATGCTTGAATTCCCTTTCTGGGCGGACTGGGGAGGTCTTGGTTATCTTTGTTATGAGGGGAGAATTGTGTGCGATGGATCTGTTCTTGTCTATACTCCTAAAACTGAAGGAAATGGATACGGCTGCAGCATGTGGGTTCGATTGGATATTATGACTGTAGCTCTGATAGAGTGTATTTAATCAGTATATATGCAGCCTTGAGCGCATACCACAAAAATTATGAACATATTTCAAACTTGAGAAAATTTACCATGAATAACATAAAATAATATGCCTACTCCCGAGGTCCTTATGTAGTAATAGTACCCCGTATACTCCGTACATGTGATGTCTCACCGCCTGTGCCACTCAAGAGAAACTGCCACGTATTAAGTCCCACTTTAGGAAGGCGGTAAGTGGTCCCTGCTTGAGGACACGGTCATCACCAGATCAGGAAGTGCGATATTGATTCTCCCTTCATCACTCCTTTGTTTCTTGTGGGCCAGGCTTTTGGGCTCTTATTAACTTCTTATTCTATTTCTACAGCCCAAACGCGTTCACTTGACCGTTCAAACTGGCTACTGTTAACAGCCCTGTGCAACACGATCTTTAAATTCCGCGGCCAGCGGCCACCGCTGTCTGTACCATAAACCTGCCGCAGGATGTCGTCAGACTACACCTATGATGAGCAGGTAAGGATGGGACTTGATCCGATAGACATGCACCAATGCTAACTTTCGCTTTCAGGGACAATTCTTCCCCTTCTTCATCCTCACCTTGACCGGCCTGGTCACTCTCCCTCTCACCTATAACCTCCTACGACCTAGCAAAGGTGAGATTTGACACTATACCGGATGTATCTTCTATGATCTAACGGTGTTACGTGATCTACAGAGCTTGAGAATACCGCTCCCCGCATCAAATCCGATTTCAAACCTAAAGATGCGGACCTCATCGACGCGCAGAAGCGCAAGCGCCTGCGCAAAGAGCGCCGAATTAAGCGCATTATCACGGTCATCGTTGGATATGCCGTGATGGCATGGATGGTCTACTTAATCACCGTCACCGCGAGGACAACGGTGAAGGCATATGACCCTTATGATATTTTGGGTGTCTCGAGGGTAATTTAATCAGCTCCGCGCGTGCTCGCCAAATAAGCTCAGTGGATCTTAACTGACTCAATTCTCGGAAAATAGAGCGCAGATGAGAAAGCTATCTCCAGACACTACAAGCGCATGTCTTTGATCTACCACCCTGATAAAATCCGGCCCGACCCCTCCAAGAACGAGACCATGGAAACTCTCAACGAGCGCTTTGTGGAGCTTACCAAGGCCTATAAAGCTCTCACTGACGAGGAGGTGCGAAACAACTACCTCCAATTTGGCCATCCCGATGGCAAACAGAGTTTCAGCATCGGTATCGCCCTTCCCAAGTTCATTGTTATGGACGGCAATGGTAAATACGTTTTAATGGTTTATGGCGCCCTTTTGGGTGTTCTTCTGCCTTATATCGTCGGCAAGTGGTGGTATGGATCCCAGCGCTACACAAAGGAGCGTGTTCTTGTTGCCAGCGCCGGAAACATCTTCCGTGAGTACAAGGAAGATATCACCGAAGGTGGAATTATCAGCGCTTTGTCGTCTGGCGAGGAATTCAATGATATGCTCAAGGGTGCCCGAGCCGAGTCTGGCCTCGCCAAGCTCGAGAAGCGGGTGCTGGCAGATGATAACTCGTTCCTTACTGCCAAGGATCGTGCGGCGCTGAAGCAGTTGGATACCTCATCTCGCCGGAAGGCTTTGGCTTTGCTGTGGGCTTATCTTGGCCGAATTGATATTGGCGATGCCTCTCTGGATGCTGGTAAGAAAAATACCCCCGTGATTTTCTGAACGTACCACTAACCAAGCGTCCGCAGAAAAATACGAAGCCGCTCCTGTCGCCCTTGCTCTCGTTGAAGCTTTCACTGCTATTTCACTCGCATTTGGTAACCTTGGACCGATCGTCGGTGCTTTCAAAACTTCTCAGAACCTCATTCAGGCTGTGGCCCCGGGATCATCACCACTGCTGCAACTCCCCAACTTCACTGACGCCATTGTCAAGTCCGTGGAGGGCGAAGACTCTAAGGAGCATTTCACTGTTCAAAGGTACATGGAACTGCCAGAGGCTCAGCGACGCAGTCTTACTGTCGGTGCTGGTCTCCTCTCGGATAAGCAATACACTCACGCCGTGTCCGTTGCCAAGCAACTTCCCATGCTCCAACCTGATCGGATCTTCTTCAAGGTTATGGGAGAGAAGGTGATCACACCCAGCAGTCTGGTACAGCTGGTTGTCAAAGCCCGCTTCATCCCGCCAGGCAGCACATCCGTGCCGCCAGTGAACCCGCTTGACCTAGAGGACATCGACCCCGATGAGGACGACCTAGAAGCACTGATGGGTCGCAAGCCAGCCAAGAACACCGCCACCAAGATGGTGGATGGCAGGAATGTCGAGACTAAGATCGAAACTATCCAGCCGCCTCTTGCCCATGCACCATACCTAGCGCGCGACCACTCCCCGCGCTGGAACATCTTCCTTGCAGACGCCAAGCAGGGCAAGATGGCTGTGCCTCCGTTTACATTTACCACATTCGACAAGCCGATCTTCGACGAGGCCGGCAAGCCCACCTTCAACGTCCAAACTCTCAAGATGCAGTTCCAGGCTCCCCCGCAGGTCGGCGACTTCACCTTTATCCTCCACATGATCTGTGACAGCTACCTCGGCCTTGACAACATGGCTCAAATTACCCTGCACATTGATGATCCTGCCAAAGCAGCCGCCGTGGAAGAGGAAGACGACATCAGCGAGCCAGACGAGGGTAAGTTCTTCTCTGCTAGTACTATTTGTTTCTTTTATTAACACTTTTTTTCAGATTCCATCGCCGGTCAAATGCAAGCGATGAAGACAGGCCAAGCACCTAAGAAGAAGTCTAAGGATAAGGATTCTGATGACTCTAGCGAGAGTGATACCGACGGTGATGCTGCTGATACTAGCGACACCGACACAGAGACGGAAGACGAGGATTGATTTCCTTTTTCATGCATTTGATTTGATTGTACTCACATATTGTGAGATGTGTATGTGTGACACTGGTCTTGGATCTGAACCTTGGCCTTACCCTAGGCTTAGACCTACTGTTGCCACTAAGGCGTTATAGGGTTTTGTCAAATGAAACTCTTACTGGGTAGCTACGTACTTATATGTAATTCTTTCGAATTCATTGCTTTTCTGAGTAATGAGGTAGGAAGCTTAGATCCCCCCGATTATCGTGCAATAGGTTGGAATGGTTACAATAGAGTTGAATAAATGTATCATACCTTTCGCCTCATTAAGAAGAATAGTCGCCTGTATATAGTCTTTCCTTAACGAGGGCTTGAAGAGTAATTGACATGCTAGGATGCCAACTCAACTCTTGTATGATTTATGCATTACATGACCTACCCCATACTTGCTTCTATCCTAAGTTGAAAGACGCAGTAATAGAGCTTGATAATTTGTTATTGACTTGCCGAACATGTTCCTTACTATGGAGTATGTACATGTTCGGCGAGAAAGTACCCCCTGGGGCAACGCAGTCCCGAGCCAATGCATAAGCCCAATCTTCCACAATCCATTCCATGTCCTTCGTGTCTCCATGCCTCCTCCATGTTTGCTCCACACCTCCTTCACTCGTCCCCTGCGCCTCCTCTGTACTTGATCTGTGTCTCCTCCATGCCACCTCCATACCTCCCCATGCTTCTCCACGACTCCCCATACCTCCACTGTTCCTCCGCCGTACCTCATCCGCACCTCTTCCAAATATCCACAACTTCCACCCCCATTCATTCGTAGTAACCCTGTCCCCAAATGATTTGTTCCCTGGCCCCGCTTGATGCAGGACCAGGGAATGCACGCGTTAGGGTCGCTCCGGGACATCAGCCTGTCCTCTCAACGTACTCAGCACGGGATTTTTGTGAGCCCTGCGACGGAAGAAGACTCTCTTTCCCCATTTCCAGGCTTCGACACCCATAAAGAACAGAACAGCCTCGACCGCCACAATACCCCATTCCCAGGTGATAGGCTTATGTTTGAAGACAACGTCATTCAAAACAGGGATATAGAGGATAGGGAACATGGTGATCCATCCCGCCATGATAGACCAGAAAAGGAACTTATTCCGCCAGACATCGTACATCCACTGCGTGAAGTATTTCTTGGATTTCGGTTGCATGCGGAAGAACGACCGACGTAGGTTAACCATTTCCCAAGCTAGGAACAGCGCAAACCAAGTCAGACACACGAACGTCGTGGCACGTGCCTTGAAGACTAGCTCGCAGCCTTTGATATCCTCCGACCAAGCCTTGTTGCATCCGCTGGCGAGGTTTCCGTCGCCGAATCCCCACATGCGGATGGAGAATGCCGCTAAACAGAGCGCTGCGGTCCAGATACCATATACCAGAATGTCGATGATGACCTCCCAGGTGAAGATACCTTGTTTGCTCTGTGGAGGACGGTTCATGATATCGGGTGCAGCGACCTCCATTCCGAGACCCATGTCGGGCATGCCTGATGTGATCATGATAATCCAGAGAATTTCGACGGGTGATAGAGGGAACACGGATTGATTATCAGCGTCTTTGAAAGCTAATCCGATAAGTAGAGTGCAGGCCTGGGCGATGTTCTCTGACAATAGATGAAGCACGAATTTCTGGATATTGTCAAAGATACGACGGCCTTCTTCGACGGCATTGAGAATCGAGGCGAAGTTGTCATCAGTAAGGATAATATCGGATGCGTCTTTGGCGACATCCGAACCTGCCTGTCCCATGGCGATACCAACATCGGCGTGCTTAAGCGAAGGAGAATCATTCACTCCGTCGCCAGTCATAGCCGCGAAGCGACCACGGCGATGGAGGGCGTCAATCATACGCACCTTAGTCTGTGGCGCGCAGCGTGCAATAACCAGAGGGAGAGTAGGAAGTGCATCAACCTGCTCATCAGTGAGCTTATCGAATTGACTAGCAGTCATAACCATAGCGTCGGCGACATCAGCCGCCACTGCATCGAAATTGGTAGGAAGGATTCCGACTTGTTGAGCGATTGCTTTAGCAGTACCAGGGTGATCACCAGTGACCATGTGGACGACGATACCAGCGCGGTAGCAAGCCTCGATAGAGCCCGCAGTCTCAGGACGCGGGGGATCATACAAGCCGATCAGTCCTAGGAAGCACAGATCCTTTTCAATATCTTCACGATTCAGGTCTGCATCTTCGAGTAGCTGTGTCTGGGCCGTGTAGGGTCGGTGGGCGAGAGCCAAGACGCGAAGTCCTAGTTTAGCGAGTTCCTCCATGTTCTGGAGGATCTGTTCGCGATGAGAGTCGGTCATTGGTACGGGGGTAGACGAATCCTGGTCCCAGATAACAGTTGAGCATGAATCTATGATCCGCTCGACGGCACCCTTGGTGAACACCATTGTGCGGGTCTCCTGTGGTGTGATTTTGCTGAAAATCACAGACATCTTCTTGACAGTCGAATCGAATGGGAATTCAGCCTGTTGGTGCCACACTGTACCCTGACCCTTAGTCGTACCTTGACCCTTAGTCCAGCGGTCGCGGTTCCAGTTAAATCTCGATGCAAAGACATGAATAGCGATTTCCGTGGGTTCACCTCGTGCATTCCATTCGCCTTCTTCGGATTTGAACACGTGAGAGAGATTGGCCATCGAGGCCACGTCCAGAAAGTCTTCGAGCTGGCGGTTTCCTGAGACTAGGCCTTCAATGTTCTCCGCGGCGGTGCCCTTCTCTGCATGTTCTAATTGCGAAGGAGGTACAGGAAGGAAGGTGACGTCTCCGACGGTAGGGTTGAAAGGTTCGTTAGATGGACCAACGGAATATGTTCCTCGAGACGGAATCCATGCCTTTTGGACGACCATCTTTCCCTGCGTCAATGTACCAGTCTTATCGGAACAAATATCAGTGACAGCACCGAGCGCCTCCAGCGAGTCTAGCTTGCGAACAATGACGTTTCGCTCGACCATACGCTTAGTACCGACTGCCATGGTGATAGTAAGCACGACCACCAGACACGCTGGGATCATACTGATACCCGTTGCCACGGCGTACATAATGACTTCAGTGTTGCTGCTGAAAGAATTCGCACCCATGCAGACAATGGCGAAGACAACGGCAATTCCAAATAACAAACAAGCAAGCTTTGAAAGCTTCCTCTGCAAAGGTGTTCCGACATTGACACCGAGGAATCGACCCACGGCATCCGCCGATGTAAGACTCCAGGCCTGGACGTACCAACGCTTCTTGGTCTCACCATTGGGGCCACGCTTAACGGGACGACGCTTGCTACCGCTGCCGCGCAATGCGAGGGCAATAGATCCGATTTCAGTGTACATGCCTGTGCTGACAACCACACCACGACCACGACCGCGAGTGACGGTACTAGAGCTGTAGGCAATATTAAGACGATCTCCGGGGCCAGTATCCTCTTTGAATGTCGAGTCGCAATCCTTCTGGACGGGAAGAGACTCGCCAGTCAGGAGAGCCTCGTCGGTTTCGAAATTGACTGCTTCAACCAGGCTGGTATGTGTTAGTAAATTTGCCATTGGCCTTGGCTTCGAAGTCGTAGCTTGAACAGATAGGAATCTCACCGGATATCCGCTGGAACAGTATCACCAGTTCTAAGCTCGACCATGTCACCAGGCACGATATCTGACGAGGGCACTGAAAATGTCTGTCCACCTCTCGAAACAGTTCCCGTCGGGGATGATAGCGAGTGTAGCGATTCCATTGTTTTTTCCGCGGCGTATTCTTGGAAGAATCCGACGATGATGTTCAAGATAATGACGGCGCAGATTACTCCACCCTCGATCCATGATTGAATTCCGAAACTGACAGCCATGGCTAGAATCAACACCTTTAAGAAACAATTGTATTAGATTAGAGAGCTTTGGAGGAATTTCGCGGTATCAACAACGAAGGAGATTAGTGGGAACAGGGAACATACTAGCATCATTGCGTTGGCTACCTGTCGCACCAGGATATTGATAACCGACACGCCTTCACCCTCATCCAGTTTGTTCGGTCCATATTGCTGCAAACGACGACTTGCTTCATCAGGTGCTAGACCCTCATCCAACCCAGTATTGAGTTCCTTCACCACAGCTTGATAAGTAAGCGTGTGAGCCGGTTGACTGAGCGGACTACCACCCGACCCGGCGTCGGGGGCGTTATCATGCTTTTCATCCGTCATTGGAGATTGTTCTCTGGCGAGAAGAAAGCCTGATATGGTAACTACCGAGCTGAATGTTTGGTGCAATCAATTGCTAGATAGTTGAATTAAAAAAAAGTAGCTCGTGTGCGGGGGGGCGCAACCTACTTAGCTGATTAGGTTTCAAGCAAAAGCTCAGACTCTGCTCGTGTGAGACACCATGGATGCCCCAGATTATAGCCTTGGCTTTTTGGCATCCAAGTTTTGATCGCTGGGCACCGACGCACGTTGCACGGATCATTGGAAGAGAAAGAAAGAAGGTCTTGGCGCCGAGATATTGGGTCGTGTTTGATAACCATCCGAGACTTACTACATCTAGAATCTGCAAGCGCAGGCCAAGATTCGGAGCTTTGCGGAGTAAATGTTCCGGGCTTTGGCTGGATTAATGTGCGGTGAATTTATCTGAGCACGCGAGAAAAAGCCGGAATATGGCATTGACGTGACTGCATCGACAAATCAATTACATGGCTCCGAAACGCCCTCGTGGGAGTGGCATAACTCCGCTGCAGGGAAGAGATGGCTATTCTTGGCGCCAAGGCTTGGCGCCAATCTCTTGGCGATTAGGCGGTAGAGGCGGGGGCTGAAAATAATATAACTTGTCTACGATATCAGATTCTTCTAGACAATTAGCTAGATCCACTGTTGTGATACGATGGCTAATCAATTAGGTTCAGATTGGGTTGAATCAAAATAAATTTTCTAGCAAGATGACTCTTGTGCCACTTTCCCCAAATTCCACTTGACCGGGGTCTTATGTACCGTACCCACACTTACTTTATGACCGACCTGTCCCTTTTAAGTCTCAAAGTTAGCGAAGGTTACTAGTCACAGAATAAATATGGGTACCAAGACGCCCGGCTGTCTACTGCCGTTTAACTGGGTGCCCACTATTCCGTACTCCGTACGGAGTACGAGTATCCACATTCCACATAGTGAGTTATCCTCGGTGCCTGGCCTGGATTGTGACTTGCTTGGCTCTGGATATGGCACAAGAGACATTACTCCGTACGAGCGTGTCTTTGGTGGTATCTTTTGTGATATAGAAACCGTAGAATGGCGCACGCGACTACCTTGGATGGTATTTTCCCCATCTTCTCGGACTAAAATTCACATTAGTAACTGACATGCCAGTTCGATTATCCTTTTTAAAAACCGGCTGCTAAGTAAAATCAGGCTCAAGCATACTTCGTTCCCGAAAGAATCGATCCGCATGTAAATATTATGCAGAAGTACGAGATATCAGTTTATGACGACATCCAAACAGAAATTTTAAAAAAGAATACTCTTCGCAGAGACTATTACCTTCCTAACCTGTTTGAAAATCCGGGCCTACGGAGTACAGAACTCCACATTGGAGAATGCCCTTGGGGCCGCCCCTATATATTCAGCCGCACACTACGGACCACCACGGAGGGATCTGTTCGATATAATTCATACCCTCTGTGTTATACTCATTTTTCAAATCAGTTTCACTGTCATGGCTGCCTACTCAAACCCAATAGTGCAAGTCTAACATTGTTATATAATTGTGCTTTATCAACATTGTCACACAGCAACAGTCTACAAACCTTTCGAAAAAGTAGCCGGAACCAGAAATCAATTATCTATTTATCTCACTGCAGCCGTCTTCTTTTAGCCTCGTGCTCACACCCTTCAACACTCAATATACTCCACTGCCGACGATATATTATCGAAGGCAACTGTCGGGGCTGATGATCATAGATACTATATGAGGGTTGCGTACTTTTATTCCACATCATACGGGCCTATTCGTCAGCATCCTGCAAAGGTAGACGAGATACACAAGTTTTGTCTTCACGCTGGAGACGAGGGAGATTCAAAAGGACCGACGGCCCATCGATGACAACACCATCAATGGTAATAGTGGTTGGAATGGTGTTCTGCCTCAGTAATGCAGATCTTGGAGTGTCTTCAAAGTAGTAAAGGAGATCGAAACCCAATTCTCCGGTTCGAGGCGTGATGTTCACACCCCCGGCAGAAACACCGTCTCTCTCTTCGTTGTGTTCGAATAGCAAAGCCTCGGTCTAGGCATTGAAGCTTCCATTGTGGGATAGGAGGACTTGGGTCTTCTGGTGACACATTTCGAATGGATAATATTGAGTCAAGAATAACCAGGCGATTCAAATCACAACTCAAACAGACGGGAACCGCAAATCGATGGGGTGTTTCACTAAGGATTTCTGTAGCATGTCGAAGATCTGCTCCTCTGGCAGTCCCACATTAATATCCATGATTATCTCCTCATCGTGGACTCTTCTTCGCTGTAACCGGACTCTCCATCCGGCACGGCACATACGTGCAATTCTATCTCTCTCTGATTTGGAGAGAAAGGTCCATCCGCGTCCTCTTGAAACTCTTTTTGCTTCACCGGAAAGTGCGTCGGTCGCTAAAAGGTAGCTTCTGGGAATTAATTAGGAAACAAACCAGTTCGGAACTAGGAGCAATTGAAATTACTTTGAAGGAATCAGAATGACCACACCAAAGTCGATTCCAGAGGAGGAGAGCTGGGATTGGACTAGAATAGACCAATGAGCGCAGCCTTTTTGATATGAACCAGTTGCTTTCGCGGGCAGCATTGACGAGACAATCGTCTCTTCTGTTTGGTACCAATAAGAAGATGTAGAAAATGCTGTAAAACTAGGTCCCCAAATTGCTTGAGGATCGTTTTTAGAAGATGGTTCCATTCTGCTTCCAAATTGTCAAGATTGGAGGAAGCTTCACGCAGCATGGTCAATGCGATACTGCCTGTCTCTAAAGATGACTGGGATTCGGGTGGTATGATTTCTGAGCAGGCATCTGCCAGTGCGGCTAAAGACGGCTCTGACTGAAACAACCAGGATGTTTCAATCCAAGCTGTGACAGGTAGTGGATGGTTGAAAAACTTTGTCAGGATGCCAAATAGGTTGTCTTGTGCATGAATTTTTAATGCTGAGGTAGGCTTTGAAGCTTTGGCACGAAGTCCTTGAATCGCATGCTGAGGCCAATGGTGGGCGTAGGCAACGAAAGGGAATATTTGCGCGACATGATCTGCAACTGCGGAAGATGCCGCCTGACAGACAGAGCTAAAGGGAAGATCGTGTAGGATATAAGACAAAGAGATGGTGGAGAGAGCAAGGTGAGCTCTTCGCTGGTTCACAGTAAAAGGACTACCACTTTGCCGCTCATCATGACTCGTGATGAAATCACGGAACGACGAATGAGCGAATCTAACCCTCTTATCATAATCAACCTCCACTAAGCTGCAGAAAATGACAGGAAGTATTGTCTCAAAGTCGACAATGATGTTAGAAGCCTCCGTGACAGTTCCGGGAGTAATGGCTATAGCAAACTCGAGCTCTGAGACGGAGACAGGACGTAAAACAGCAGTAAGGATCTCGAATATCTTCAGTATTTGATCTTTCTCTTTCCGATACCCTCGTTCGAGAACCTTGAGGATTTTCCTCGAAGAACGGTTCCCAGGCAGATGCAAATCGTTCTATTACATGGCACAACTTGGATAGCTTTCGTCCATTGCGCACCTCTTTGCATTTCGTCTGTAGGTCGTGAAGCATATCTCTTGGGTTATGGAATTCTTTGAAAATGGTTTTCTCCTAGCTACTCAGAGAGTTCCGGAAGTTCTGGATGACATCTTCAAACACATTAGTTGCATCGAAGTCTGCTTTTTGGTTCGGTAGCGTCTGGTAGAACCTGACTGGAGTCTTGCGAGGATGACATTTCGGAAAGACATAGTACAATGAACACAGCTTGATCTGGGTAGAAAAGAGATCAAACTATCAAAGAGGGGAGAGATCTTGAATTGTCGGTGATTTGTGTTTTCTTGATCTGATTGGAGCAAAGTGTCGTGGCGGTGAAGTATAGAATGAGGAGGAGACTAAGACGAAAGAACATTCAATTTCATCTAGATTAGTTACTTGATCATTGATCTCCCAAGACCCTAGGAGTCCACCAATACGAAAACGTATATGTGCACGATAACATCCCATCCCAGCTGACCTACAATCAGCACACCCGAAAACTGCACCAGATCTGGATCTCGCAGGTTATACAGTAGTACGATACATGCACGACCTGACACAGATGCATCCAGCATCAACCCAGAAAGAAGACGGAGGTCTGAAAGGGTTAGGAGCTGGAATATTTGTAGCAAGTGCGTGTGCCATTCTGCCTGTTCGGGTTGGAGGCTGGGAAGGACTGGGGAGGGTTGTTTGTGGGACTTGAGGACATGCGCTTGGGGAGGGAGGTTTGTGTATCCTGGTGTACTTTGGTGGTACTGGGATCTATGGAGATGTAGATGTGGATGTAGATGGAGGTAGTAATCTATGTATACATAAAGATTAATGTAAAACCTTGTGTAGCTTAGTTGTGTTGGGATATACCATGCGAAGTATGACCGTTTTCAAATCAAGGTATTATAGATTCATCTGGTGTGATAATACCATGTTAATCTATATTCCACTGTAAGTAATCTAGATACTGTTATACAAAGGGTTTACCTCGACCTAACGCTAGTAAGAAAAGTCAAGCAAGGTATAAGAACTAGTACCTAAATTGATAGGATGATCTTTCAAACTAGATACCAGAATAGGAAATTCCAATAGATAATGCCAAAGGAACGACCTGGCTGAACCCGAGAAAAGAAACCGGTTAAGGATTAGGAATGTGCCAGACATCTTCCAATCTTAAATCCTACGTGTCATGTGTGCTCCGGAGGTAATCAAATTCAGAAGTGGGGGGTATAGAAAGAGGAAACAAGAAAAGTTGAGTATAACTCAAAAGACTCGAAAAAAGGGAAATGGTAAGAAATATAAATAAGAAGTGAAATGAAAGAAGCCGTTCAACAGCTTGCACCAAACACCCGAACCGAAACCATATATCTCAAGACGAGAAAAGTCCATTATAGACCTAAACCAGATTCAGCCAGACGGAAAATTCCAACCGGGCGTAAACCCAGGATAAAACGCCGAGTCGTGCGTCTGGAAATGGAACTCGCCCATCATCTCCGCTGAGAGATTCCCGGTTAAATGGATGGGGTGGGTATGAGATTCCGCCATGAGGCCCGGGGGTAATCTAGCCAGCACGGGCTTCACATCCTGCTGGGGCGTACCGGGATCGCAGCATCCATCCAGGACATACGGGAAGGACTCGTGGTGCGCATGTTGATGATGGTGCGAAGATGTAGAGGGCATATCAACATGGGGCGCGATATCAGGGCCCATGTCTGGCACGCTCATGGATGAGCGTTGCTGCAGCGCCACTAGGTCGTGGTACCCTGCGTCTGGGTAGCTGTAGCTTGTTTGCTGGACGGGCTGGAGATCCCACTGCCAGCTTGTTGTTGTACGGCTGGGCACGGATATGGGTGTTTGGATTGGACATGGTGGGCGGGAGAGGGTTGGGGATGGCTCTGGGGGTGTTGTTGGTTCTGGAGATGGCTCTGCTGTGACGCTGCATTCGGTGGAAGTTGATAGCAGTCGTAGGTAGCGCAGATCCTCTGAGTCTTCGTCTGGCTCGTCTGCGTTTTCTTCGGCTTGTTTGATTAGGCCTAGACGGTCGAGGATTGCGTGTGTTAAGGGGTGTCCGTCTGGGGCTTCGGCAAGTGGATCGCCCGGGAAGCCTTCGTTGTTGATGCAGAATTTGTATAGTTTCTGAAGGGCTTTTACGACCAGGGAATGGTGGGATTCGAGCATTTCGACGAATCTGTGCGTGGTATGTCTATGAGCCTTTGAGGATATGTGTGTATTTGGGCTTCTGCATGTACTCACCCTCGAGAATATACTTTGGTCTGAGTGGCCTTTCTTTCACGGAATAGACAAGGGTGGTTGTATACCGAGCAGCGGTTGCAAGGCTGTTTCCCATCACACTGAGATGGGTTAGTCAAATCGCAATCTCGCGATATCAGTTTGACATACCTTGGTCTTCTTCACGCGACAGCGATCACAGGCCTTCAAAACATGCTTACGCTTGACTCGGAAGACGCGCTGGTCGCGCTTGTCTTCGCCAGTCCGGGCCCGATGTTCCAGTTCTGACAATGAAGCTACAGCCGTAAAATCATCAATGCTATGTGGGAAACCTTTGGGACGAAGCTTTGGCTGCCACGACATGGTTGATTGTATCATATTGGAAACTCCACCAGAAACCAAGCAAGGGAGGTAGATATTTCAAAGAGTTGAGAGGGAGGAGAGAGATTTCAAGAAGAGGGGCAGAGCTTTGGCCATCAAAAGTAAAAGAACAGAAAAAGAAAGAAATCGAGCAGGTGGGGATGATAATGAAAGCTTCAGCCGCCCCCCGCGGAGAGAAGTGACGTGGAGAGAATGTTCAAAGCGTTCGAGGACATGTGGTAGATTCCCATGTAGCCAGGCAGGCACTTAGGCTGCTCAGGTAGAGATCACAATCGGTCCGAGCCGTGTAGATCCTAGTCATTTGGGCAGAAAGGAGGATCAAGCCCAGGTAACGTTCTTGTCACACGATTTTCCCCTCTTATGCTGACACTGCACGTCAGAAACACACGTGCCTGGAAGGACTCTGTGAAAGATCCAATCAGTTCTGCAGTGCGAGATAAAAATATCAAGTCGGTGAAAAGGACATCCTTGTTACCTGCACCGAAACGTGGTACAATGTGATATGTCAAGAGAATTATGTAGAATTGTCAGGTGCTTTGTTGAAGAAGTTGAAAAGAGAAGTACTTTTGATAGCGGGGTTTATTTGATAGAGGCCATCTACTTTTCTATTTCTTCGTACAATCATTATACCCTGGTACTGCCTGCATTCTCGCACAATGATCAGATCCCTAGCCCTAATCTGAACAAGTCTGTCTAGATCTTTGCATTGATTCCTTTTCTATTTCTATTCGTGTACCATGTGTAGAGTACTCAGCTGCTGCAATACCATCCAGTGTGTTACTGCTCTGTACTTCATTGATACAGAATCCTGAATCCCAGGTTTGCCACCGTCTAGACCAAATGCAATGAAATCCATCTGAACCTGTGCAATGCATCAATAGCTATTCCATCGCTCAGCTGTGACAAGGCAGGGAACAGGGAACAGTACAGACACACAGATTCTTTCTTCCCGATTCCACATGAATTCTATGTTGGTCATACAAGAACAGAATGGATGATCAAGTATTGATTGCTGTATGCATATTTTCAAAAGCAAACAAGGCAGACATATAAAGCTGGCCCTATGGAAAGGGCTTGATACTAGCACCTGCATCCAACATGCAGTTCACTCGTTCACCGACAGATTCCAATTTCAAGTAGAGAGCACGAGGTCATAAGAGTTCTCTGACTTGGCATTGACAAATGGAAAAGGGAGAAAAAGCAAAAGGATAAAAGCAGGGGAAATGCAATATGTAATATCAGACGGATCAAATATAGGAAGATCTAAACTTGAAGAAGTCAAGCCTAAACATCAGATATCAGACCCAATGTACGAAGTAATCCAACCCCAAATTTGCTTTAAAGGGGAAACGAAAACGAAACGAGAAAGTGATGCGGGAAATCAGATTTAGCCCTTAGAGCCAATAAGCACCAACACCAACACAGCCCTGAAATGGACCTGTCAGAACACCGATCAGCAGATAAAAAAGCAAAAGAATCAGGGCTCTCGCGAAAAAAGATTGTTTGCTTTCGAAATTTGCTCATCTCACACCCCCGGTCCGTCGGGGAGCAAAATGCTCGCTTCACCCTTAGCAAGCAAATCAAAGCTCTCCTCGCTGGTCGCCGTACTAGGCGAGTGATCTGGCGGTAACGGGTACACACTCTTTTCCATATCCACCGTATCAAACGAGTGTCGCTGAGCCTGATCCTGAACCTGCCATCGACGATCCCCTACCCATTCAACGCCATCTCCGACCCCACTCATGTCCGCCCTGCGACGTTCCTGCTCGCGCTCCAGGAGAGGCAGCTCAGCGCCAGGTGTTTCACTTTCCTGCCCGAGCTCTAGGGGCAGGTGTCGCCGATGCCATTCGCCCACGAACATCCCGTCCGGGTCGACCTCCGAACGCACCTTCATCCACGACTCCATATCGGGCCCGTAGGAAGCGCCTAGCTCGTGTGGACTTAGTGTGGTGAAATTCTTCGCCCAGTGCGGCTTCGCGCCCATCTCCCGCATCAACCACTCGAAGGCTTCGTAGTAGCGTTCTCTGCACGGCGGGTCACGGAGATAGGGACGATAAAGTGTTGCATTGAGGTAGAGCGTCGGGCCGTCACGACACGTCGGGTCGAGGAATGGACGGGGCTTGGTGTTCAGCGAGGTATCGGAGACCCGCACTTCAACTGGACAGTGCACGTACAGACCCTTTGGTGAAAAGGGGATGCGCGCGGTCTCAGTGTCACCGTTCAGCCAAGCCGAAAGCCGACCGATAGTCTCTGGGCCCTTTTCCAGCGGAAGCGCCCATTCATTCACGAACTGCGAATACAGACAATTCATCAACAATCCCTCGCGGGCGGGCTCAACGGCCTCGGTGACAGTCGATCCAGCCCGGAAACCATGCTGCATACCAAAGACGAACCATTCGACCCACGGCAGGATGCGCGGGAAGTACGAGGACAGCGCGAGGAGATTATGGTAGATATGGTAGCCTAGGGAGTCGCCGTAGAAGCTTTTCGGGGGCGCGCGCAGCGGGAGGTCTGTTTTATCAGCACGCCACACAATGGCGCTTTTCTCATAAGGCATCCACCAAACGCGCACGAACTCATGCGAAGTCCATAGACCGGTGGACCATTCGTCCAGCACGCGCGATAGCGAATAGCGCTCCTGGCGCCAGGCGATATCGAATGTGTGCGTCGCCTTGAAGGTGACTTCGACGACGATTCCGAGCGCTCCGAGCGATACCAGACCCGCGCGGAATAGATCCGGGTTGTTTGTCGGACTGCAGCGGACTAGCTGGCCATTGGCGAGTACCAGGCCGAGGGAGTCGATGCATTCCGATACCAGGCCGTGGCGTAGGGAGCTGCCGTGCGTACCAGTGGCGATGACGCCTGCTATGGACTGGCTGTCGATGCTACCCAGGTTTTCGAGTGTCAGGCCATGTTTTGCCAGTTGTTCGCCCAGATCCTTCAATCGGATGCCTGCTTCGACGGTCACGGAGCCGGTTGATGGGTCGACGTGGAGGATGCGGTTAAAGTCGTCGAGATTGACGAGCCAGGATGAGGTGCAGGTTAAATCGGAGGGTGAATGGCCGCTGCCAACTGTTACGATGCGACGGCGACATCGACGGGCGAGAGTTACCAGCTGCTGGATCTCTGGAATGGTTTGTGGGCGGATGTACAACTCTGGGCGCGAGAAGAATGTCTTGGCCCATGTATGATGTAGATGATCGGTCGATGAGCGGAACGGTACCGCGGGGTCGAGCTTCGAGAGCTCACGAAGAATGGAAGGGTCCATGGCTTTCTCTAATTACGCCATTGGGGAAGAGTAGAAAGGAAAAATTTAATGTGATGGCGACATCCTAGATCGGATGATTTTTTTTTATCTCCGTCGCTCTCCGTTCCCGTAAATCTTCTGGCCTATACTACCCTAAATTACCCTAAATATCCGAATATCTTGTTTTAATTTATACCCTTAGATTGATAACCTTATGAAACTTGAAATTGAAAAAAAGCCTAAATACACCCTCAAATGCGAATTCCACCTATCTACATCCCCAGATGCTCCAGTTCCCTCTATGGCGCAAATATGGCACAAGTACATAGGACTCCGTGCTTTGTAGACCCTGTACAAATCGCAATATGCACAAATTCAAAGCAGAAGCCCTTAAAAAAAATCAGATAAAAAAAAGACAAATCTCACTCATTCTCCTCTGGTGATCGAATCGCCTCGATAACAACATCGAGAGAGAACACGAAAGGCGCATTCTGGGTGCGAGGGTTCCATTTACGGAATGCGCTTTGGCAGCGGTCGGAGACGCCACCGATGGCTACGTAGCTTTTGGGGATGAATGGTCGATCCTGTAGGGATGTGGCCAGGATACCATATTCATGCGCGAAGACCACTGCCGAAGCGAATTCGGCAGACTTCTGTGAGGCTTGATCGCCGATAATACTGTAAAGAAATTAGTGTCTGTCGATTGAAGGGCATGTTGATTGGGTAGCACTTACACGTATATCTCAAAGAAGGTGTCCAGAACGTAAACGTCTTTATCGGTGATGTCCCGGTAGCAGAATGGCTCGATTTCCTGAATGCAATCGTTGGGTTTGACCACTGGCGAACCTGAGCCTGGACGGCGAAGATTCCAGAACCGAGTTGGCTGGTTGGGTTCGTGGTCGACCCGGAGGAGGCGCGTGCGGAAGTGGTTGTACTTCGGCTTGAGCTGCCAGTGATCTTGGCACATGTGTGGCGCGGCCTCCCTGGGGCCTGCGAAGACATCGAAGAATTCCTCCGGCTCTTCGCCCTCGGCGACTTCTTCAAATTCTCCAGTCAGACCTAGGTCCATGCCAATAAGTCGGGCTGCACCGGTTTCTTCGGGGCCACTACCTTTGCCCTTCCATAGGTAGAGCTTGCCAAAGGGTGCGGAGACAACATATGGGAAACCAGAGCAGAGATTGCGCAGTGAGTAGTCCACCTCGTCAAAGGTCATCTCGCCCAGGTGTTTCCGTCCACAAAGCATGTAGAGAGCCGATGAATTGTGGCGTGAGCTGGATCCACGACGCGTAATCATAATGCCACCAAGCGCTTGAATGAATCGCTTGGGTTCATTGCCTTGTCGAATGACTTGCAACTTGGAGCTATTATCACGGGCGACTTTGCGCGCGAATGGCAGTTCATCCTCCACCGAGGATTCCGGGACATCATCTCCACGCCAGAGGTATACTTCCGAAGTGCTGCTTCGTCCGGACTCGAATACGTGCACGCAGAGATACATGCTACCTTGGTATAGAATGTACTCCTGGTGGGAAGGAAGTTCCTGACGTCTCCCATCACCTGTGAGCTCCCAGATCTGTAGCCTCACGGTCCTGATCTTTGCATCGTCCGGTTTACGCATCAGCATCAGCTGCGGATCAATGTCCATCCGGTTTCGAGCATTGGGGAATGTTTTGAAGAAGCCCGCAATGACTTCACGTGCCTCACTAGCTTGAGCAACAAGTGATGGAGCAGACATCTTCCTTGAAAGTCTGCGCGGATCGGTTGGCTTGTGAAGCATAACATTACCGTCTTTAGGGGGCACTGGCGGGGAGGGATGGCTCATGGGCCGTGAGACGGAACTGCGTGCTGACTCGATGGTAACACCGACTGGGGGGATGCTCTTCTCCTGACTCATGCGTGAATCCATCTGGTTCTCTTTGTGACTTGTTCGGAGAGGGGATGGCGATGAGGACGCAAACCGGTTTTGCTGGCCCCATTGTGACTTGGGTGTTGCAGGCAAGGGGGACGTGGGCGATTCGGACTTCGGCGGGACGGGCGGTGCGCTTGATGAACTCACCTCTCCAGGGGTTTCGGGGTCTCTGGGTGTCGCCTCAAGATTGGGGGAGGGAAAAATGGTGAAATCCGTTGCCAGGGAACGGGTCTGAAGTGCTTGCGGGACTCCGCTTTGAGGCGTATCGCGTTCGAGGGTATCCTGGGGAGGAGTGGTCACCTCCGGAGGTTGCTCGGTGACTGGGCTGTCTGAACGGGAGTCTTTGATGTCAGGAAATGGGTCTTCATCAGGCTGTGACAAGTGCTCCGAATCGATTTCCAAGGATTCAACAGGGATTATAGGAGTTTGTGACGGGGTGGCTTCAAAGCATGAAATATCACCAACCTCCTTAGTATCATCCGTAGGGGACGGGGTCGAGACATCAATTGTCTGGGGCAGTCGTCTCTTTGGACCTCTGGCACGACCCTTTGTGATGTGCGTGAGAGGAGCAGACGGCGAAGCAGGGTCTTTCTGCGCGGTGACAGATGTTGGCAGCTGCTTCTTCGACACATCGCCGGCAGGCGCGCCACGAGAAAGTAGGCCAGCTAGCGCAGGGTTGATTCGGCCTGCCAATTTGTTTTTAGGTGCCATACTTGGAGTCACCGTAGCCTCTGCGGCAGGCGCCGGTGGCCATTGACGAACTGGGCGGAGTGTCTTGACTGAAGGCTCCTGCATTTTAACTACGCTGGGCTCGATTGGTGCAACGACTTCACGTGTTCCCTCTTTGTTTGCTGAAGATACCACCTCGGGAGTCTTGTTGTAGTCGTTCGCCGCCGGGGTTGCCTCTAGCTCCTCGTCAATAGGATCATCGGCAGGGAATGGCGACACTGGCTGCGATTCCTGAGATGCTCGCGAGGAACTGGTTCCCTTCAAGGGCCATCCCGGCTCATCATTGGCAGTAAATGGTGACGATGGCTGTGGTTCTTGGGAAATTCGCGATGGACTGGTGCCTTTGAAAGATGAACTCGGGGACGACAATACTGGTCTGTCCTGCGAAAGCCGAGAGCCCAAGCTTTTAACGGGCGATATCGGCTCACCCACAAGTGGTTGCTTGATGCTATTTGCCCGGGTCATATTCTGACGCATGGCAATTGCTTCTGGTATGACCTCGGCTGGTTTTGGTGCATCCCGCTCTCCAGCGGTGTTCCGTCTGATGGAGCCTCCGCCAGCTTTCATCTCATCTTTGCGTGACACAAGGCTCTTTCTAAATTCATCGACTCTCTCGGTCTTTTTGGGTCCACCGGTGGTGTTCAAAGCAGCTTTTCCTCGTAGTATATTGCCCTTGAGCTCGTCGGGAGCAACATAGTTGCGAGTTTCAGTCTTTTTGAGACGTCCAAATACGTTCTTAAATTCTGGTTCTTGGTTTTCCCCGCTATCTTTGACGACTTCTCGTTTCCGTAGGTTTGCCCGGAAGTCCACCACAGGAGATTGTGGCTTCACCTTGGGTGAAATGGGCCCCCGTGAGGAAGTAGAGACAGAAAAGTTTGGTTTGGGGCTCAGCGAGTCGGGAGGGGCCCTGCGAGTGGGAGTAGCTTGAGGCTCAGTGGTGACTTCGGACGCTTCAGATGCCGGTAATTCATTCCCTTTTTCAGCGGGGGAGGCAGATTTAGGTTCCTCTGTCGATGCACCGCCTGTTAGGGCATTCAGGGCTTCATCGACATGCGATGGAGCAGCCGGGGTTTCCTCTTCTGTTTGTCCGGCGTTAGGGCTACCGAGAACCAACGGAGATACCGGGACTATCTCCTTCAATTTTGCTTCGGGGGTGCCAGGGATCGAGGGACTCGAAATGCCCGGTCTCTTCGAAGGGGACTCCGACGGAGACTCAGGTACGGTCTCCTTGGCAAGGCTTCCAGAAACTGAGGGACCAGAGACACTTGGCCTCTTGAGTGGGAATTCCACTGGAGGCTCAGAGATAGAGTTCCGGTGGAGTGATGAGCCCGAGACACTTGGCTTTCTAAAAGGGAATGACGAGGGAGACTCGGGTACTGTTTCTATGAGCTTGGCTTCAGGGCTTCCGCCGACTGATTCTCCAGAGGTACCAGGCCTCTTGAAAGGGAATTCTGAAGGGGTTTCTGAGACAGAGTTCCTATGAAACGATGAACCCGAGACGCTTGGCTTCTTGAAGGGGAATCCAGATGGAGACTCAGGTATTGCCTCCTTTGCAGGGCTCGTCGGAAGTGATGGGCCAGAGACACCAACTTTTTTCAGAGAGAATCCAGATGGAGACTCAGGAACTGCCTCCTTCGTAGGGCTCGTAGGAAGTGATGGACCAGAGGCACCAACTTTCTTCAGAGGAAACCCTAATGGAGATTCGGGAACACCATCCTTAATAGGACTTGTAGGAAGGGATGGACCAGATCCAGGTAGTTTCGTTTGAGTTCCCGGCGGGGGTGTTCGCATCAAACCGAGAGGGGTGACTTCTTTGAAATTGTTGACTCGTCCAAAATCCACGCTACCTCGCGATTGTCGATCTTTAGCCCAATTAGGCTGCGACGGGGGTCTTGTTGTTTGTCGTGGTAGCTCTGGTCGGTTAAGGGCACTCTCCAACCAAGAAGCCTTATTGGGGCTCCAGCGTCTAGAATCCATGGTTTTCGAGACGAAACCACTTTCACTCCCATCTGCAGTTGCAGAACTAGCAGAACGCGAGTGAGTCGGTCGGAATGATTTTCCTGGACTTTCAAAATTCACACTGTCTCTATCAGGTCCAGAAGGTGTGGTTGGTCGTTCGGTTGTCTCAGTGTGTGCCTCACTGTGACTGGAGCCTGGTCGCAGGAGAGTTGAAGGATCACGAGCAACTCGCCCAAGAGTTGGAGGGGTCATTTCACCCAAACTTGGACCTGCCACACTGCTTCGATTTGACACAATGGAATTTGACCGCCCAAGTCCCTGCGGAATTTGCCCACTCCACCTTTTCGACACACTATCTGATCTTCTCATCATAGCACTCTGAACAAAGCCTCCTAAGCCCTTGGTGGGCGAGGTCGACCGGCTTCGCTCTGGTGACATCCGTCGCTGTGTTGGAGACGGCACAGATTCCTCAAAGGAATCATTCTGTCGAGGTTCGAGCTTCGTGGTCTCTGACAGATGCACTGGCGACCCCAACCCGGCTGAAACCGATGATACGGAGAAGCGATGGCTCATGTTGCTATCGCGAGACCCTGTTCTCGGAGGTGACGATGACCTCTCTTCTACTGCCTCAAGTTTATCTAGTTCAGTACTTGATTCTTCGCCCACTTCCGGCTCTTGGTGCCCCACGCCCACATTTGTGTGGTTATCCTTCTGTTCCTCCTTCCCACTGTATGCTACCGACCCAGCCCCACGGTCCGGTGATGGAGGGAGCACAGGGACATCCTTCGAGGGCCGCGGGAACCCAAATTGGAGTCGAGATAGTGTGTTCTCATCCGATGCCGTAGACAAGTTTCTCAGGTGGCTTGCGCGAGTTGGGGAACGAGTTGGGGATGTTGCAGGTGACATGCCGAAATCCCGTGAGGACGGGCGTTGCTGCCATGATAGAGTCCCCGCGCGGCTGCGGGCCAAAGGTGGTCGTGCCCTTGAGGGTGAATCCATTCCGAGGTCCGGGACCGATCCGCGCCGCTTGTCGGTATTAGAAACCTCCGTGTCTTGACTCAAATCCACGGCGCTCGGCATCGGGGGCTCGGGTCCTGATTCTTGTGGTGTTTGCGGTGTTGGTTCGAGGTGTTCCGGGGGATCGATCGACCGAGGACTAGTAGATGAAGTACTCAGTCGCGCGATATTCAGGGTAGAGGAATCGTCGGTAAGGGCCAGTGATCGTGCACGCTCTGTTTGAGTCATCCGGATATCAGCACATGCAAATGTTGTGACTGCGAATGCTGTGTCAAGGAGAAAAATGCTTACCAGCTCTCCGGGCTTGCCTTTCCTTCCTCCCCTGCATAATCTCTTCCTCCAGTTTCTTGGTGCGCTCATCATCTTCCTTGTCGCGGCGCTCACCTAGTTCCCGGATGCGCTGAAGGAAATCATTGACATCCTCGGAACTCTCATTAGGAACAGTCATGATCTAGGTTGTCATTCATGCAGGCCTAGAAAACAAATGAGGGGGGAAGAAGAAGAAGAGTTGTGTTCTCCGCCCTGTTTAAATTAAAAATCGGGACTTGCGATGATCAACAAAATCATTGGCTCACACACCTCACTTTTTTTTTCTTTCTTAGATCATTTTAACTTATATTTTACTATTATTACTATTGTTACAACTCAATGGATAGATGCATCTCTATACAGGCCAAACTTGAATTAACTTGGAATATTTGTTTACTTATGGAGTTTACATTTCGCCCCGCAGTTTGCCTTCGTTCCATGGTGCTCTTCAGCTTTCTTCCCGGTTTTCTTTTCAGGGGGGAAAAAAACACACTTGGACAGGTGGGATCATATGTGACTATCTAGGTGGATATATCAATTTGTGCCTTGCATATAATATCTAGTGAGAGACAAAATGAAACACAGAACTTTTCTTAGCTTCTTCCTATCGGATATAAGTAGCCTAGTTCCTTTGAATATTTAACTTAGAATATGTAACCAATATTATAAAGAATATGTATAAATTGTACAGCATTGATGGTTCTTAAAGGCTTAGTTTAAACTGGACTGTTCAAACTGGACTACACATTAGTTTATATATATATAATGGGACATAGTCTAATCGGAAGTAGATGAGTAGATCTGAAATTTAAATATAAGCATGGATATCAAGGAAAAAATATATATCAAAAAGGCCGATTTCCCCCCAATGTTCCCTTTAAAGGTCTAGTAAAGGAACAAGCGATCCTTGGCATCTTGTACCACCCATTCTAGACCTTCATTCAAATTCATACTCGTCATTGCACTGCATGGCAAGATAGTCCATTTGTGTGTTTTGATTGAATCCAAGCCAAGACGCTGCAAAAATATTAGCCAAATCCAAACGGCCTCGCCAAATTCCAGAACTTAGAACCTACTTCTCGAACCTCCTGTTCACTCATGCAATTTTCCACATCTGTCTTATTTAAAAATACCAGTAGACTAGCTCCCGTAAGACGCTGATGGAATTTAGTCAAGTTGTGCGGATTGCGGGTGGAAACGTCATCCGTACCTCTTCAAGAAGCAGACCCGAGAGCTCTTGTCGACAATCGTCAACCCGGAGTCGATCGGTGGCATCAACAACCCAGACTAATGTGTCAGTCTTTTCAAAATAATTTTTCCAGTAGGATCGAAGTGTTTTTTGTCCTCCAACATCCCCTTGTGCTGTCAGTATGGTGCATTCCTAGAGATCTGGGTTGGCTCACAGATGTTGAGTTTGTATCTGTGCCGAGTTAGCAGAGCTCGAGATATTAACAAGTAGTAAAATTTACCCCATAAAGTCAATTGTTTTGATAATAAATCCTAGAGTTGGGCTGACTGTTGTGACATCCTCCTTCATAATTCGCTTGACGATGGTCGTCTTGCCCGCATTATCAAGACCCCTGCAATCATTAGCATCTCGATCTGAACGACTGGTCGGAGTCCATACAGCATCAATATACGCATTTCTTTATCCTTTAAGCGGGCCTTTCGAAGTATGGACAACATGGTTGCGGAAATATCCTGCTTGAAATTTTTGTTGGGGGAGTTGGAAAGGGAAAAATGCTGTCTCGGGTTGACCGTCTCTATGGATCGTCTGATATTATATGTCTCCCCATTAATATAGCTTGAATTTCTATTAAAATATGTCTATTCAAATGTCATGTTGGTGTATTCTCTATATTTTGATAGCTTGAATTTCTAGAACTGTATCTAACTCGAGGCCAAGGCAATTGAGCAAATGACTGGTACCAAGTTATATGCCCAATACAAGTTTACAATCCCTGAAATTCAAGGATTTAGATCATTTTATCCAATTGCAAACATATAATATATATGCTGCAAGCAATAGACCGTAGCTTATGCTGTCATGTCAAGATTTTGTGTCATTTATATCGACTTCATCTCTAGACTCTCCTAAGTCTATTTGAACATCGACTTTTGCAACTACAAAGCAGTATTTAAATGAAGTCTTATTAAAAGCCTCAGTTCGCCGGGTGAGACGAAAGAGAAGATACAATGGGATAGCAGGAAGTCGCGAGGGTCAGCTGAAATTCGACTTTGACATAACATTAGAAGTTTCCCAGTCCCCCACCCTTTACGGTCCTCTCTGTCGCCTCCTCCCCTCTCTTCCTATCATCCTCTCTTTATCTCTCTTCTTCTCTCCCATCCCCTTCTATCCTTCCTTTTAACGACTTTTATCATTTCAATTTATTTTTTCAGTAAACGTGTTCGCAGAACGCGGTTAGCGGTCCAGTCTCACCCGGAGACTGATTGCAACGCATCCAATCATTCAGGTTTGATTGTCACAAACCCTTTGTATGCATCCTTTAAGCAACAAACACAAAGACACCTCCAAGTGACACATGTGTGGAACTGGCACAGTCGCAAGATCTACCCAAAAGGATTCATAGGTCTTCCCAACTGCTGCCTCATCCACCTTTATCACATTCTAGTGAAGAAACGCGAGAGGGGATGATCCATAACAGACCAAAAAAGCATCATGACGTTGATATTTGGGAGTCCCAGCTGACAGGAAATATCTACTAGCAACTCTGATTTAGTTCTACCTGACCCAAGCACATCAAAATGGCCGAAGAAGTCGAACGATCTGCGCCATTTCGTGGCAAGAAAGATACCACCCGAAGACCACCCAAGGATTTTGACAAGCCAAAATCAACGGTGCCAGAATCAACGGTGCCAGAACCGACGGTGTTCGCAAATAGCTCTAGTTCAGACATGCTTCGTGTTTTCCAATCCATGGGCGAGACGGAAAGGAACAAGTTGATACAGAGCATAGATAATCTGAGTTGGGCACAGACTTGGGATTTGACCAAACAGTTCGACAAACAGCGAAGAAAGAACAAGCCTGTGCAACAGCCTCTTTTTGGCATGGAAGACGACGGTCACTCCTGTCCCGAGAAGCTGCCCGCTGCGAGGGATGGACCTGGAGCAGATATCAGCAGTAAGGTCTATCAGTTGCTCGCAAAACCCAGGATTGCCGAAGGCGTTGAGGAGCCTGAGCCATGGGCATCTGACCCACCCGAGTTTATTCCTGACGATGCATGCAACGAAATCGCAAAGACGGCCAAAGCGCCCAACAATATGCAGTCTCGGAGCCATCGGGATTACCGACAAAAGATTCAAGTCAAGGCATACGGAAAATCTCGTCGTACCTTCCCAATCATCAAAAATGGAACCCTCACGTTCACATCGGAAAAGCACAGCGCTATTCACGAGCTCGAGCGATCTCTTCCTGATGATTACACTTTGGACATCCAAAATGGAGATGATCGGTGGGACGAACTCAAACACAGAATTTCGTCGTTTGATCTTCCCAACACGGTTGTCAGAAATCAGTTTCGTAAGTGGTGGGATCAGCTTCCACTAGGATGTCAAGTCGACATCTATCACGTTGCCTTCTTTGACGGAACCGCGATGCCGGACGGACAGTCTGCTATGTTTCTGCCTGATATCAAGCATATCCCTACCCCTCGGAACATGAAAGATGAACAGACACGCCTGCATTGGCATGAGACATCAGAAGGTTACGTGTACAACCTGGGAAAGGTCAACATAAGACGAAGGAAGAAGGAACAAGAAAAACAAGAGTACCTGCGTCGCACTGCCCCGTACCGTGCTTGGCTAGAATTACCACCAGATTCGAAAGTTGTCCCACCAGGGATCTATCTACGCCCTGTGGAATATTATGATTATACTTCTATTCTTGAAATCATGAACTGGTATGCAAAAAACTCGGCTTTGAGCAGTGAAACCGGATCGGTGGGTGTGAAGTACTTTGAGAAGCTTCTGAACTATTGCCGAGAAAACCATTTCCCCTTCATCGCTGCTGCTCGACGTCCGCCGGAGCCCTTGTGCCGCAATCCGATCGACCCTGTGGTCGGATACGCTTATGTCGAATTCCATCGACCCGGCAAGAAGGCTGATATGAACATGGGTGAGCTGCATGTCTTCATCCGAGAAGGCAACAAGAAACAGCACATTGGGAGGGCACTTGTCGATATGGTCCTTTCTTGCTTTGATGCCACCTCTGAAATGAGCACCGATTATGAGTTTGACCAAACTGGTACAGTGCAGTATGGACCGGGCTATGGCCGCCATCTCACCACAATGGTCTGTACCATTGCAACATCCCCAGAGACACAGGAGGATAATGCCTGGGTTAAGAAGTGGCTGGAGAAGGACTTTGACTTCGAATACAAGTGCGTATTTGAGAACGCGAGAGTGAAGACTGGCAAGAGGTAGTTTTCACTTTCATCTTGGGGTGTATTTACTGACGCATATTCTTAGTTTTGACCTTGGTTACATGGCTCGTCGTATCCGGGGTCCACACACGAGCGATGGGGTCGAGGGCCAGGGTCAAGCCCAGCCCCAGGGGAGCGGCACCCAGTCTGCCATACTGCGCTACCTCTGAGCCTGCGAATGAACGATGTGGAAACTATGGGAGGGGCTCATATTTGAAAAATCGATAGCACAACGGTCTGAAAGGAAACTAAAAAAAAAAAATCAAACGGAAAAAAAACTTGAAAAACAAAATGAGACTATTGTGACAGACAATTTGTCTGGATCCAGGATGTTTATCCTGGATGTCTCACCAGAAAAAAAAAGTTGATGTCTTACAGGGGCTTATGGGGGATACTGAGCATATGAGAAATTTGTACCTTGATAGTTAGCTGATTGAAATGTATGATTATGTTAATTCTTTCCTCATAATAACTTTGGAAGTAGAGCTCGACAATCATCTCTAGCCATGGGCCTCGAAGCGGATTGATTATGTCATCTGAAATTTTCCTGTCACCGCCCGGGGAACTTTTTTTTTGCATGTTGATCCATTTCTTCTCGGCGAGATTGAGTTGCTTGCACAGTGTTTGGGGGTCTTAAATTTTCTACTGAGACTGTTTGAGAGTGTGTGGACGATATCCAGCTACCAAATATACACTGGAATTTGCGCCAACCTCCAAAATGGCTCCTCAATCGGCGAAGCGGAGTTCCGCCAAAGACGATGATTTCGTATTTACGCTCTCCGACGACGAGAACGAAACCCGTTTCGAAGAAGAAGATGACGACAACGAGATGCAGGGCGATAATGCGCCAGCAGCAGACAACAAAAAGCGCAAGCGCGAGGTCGAAGGCGTCAAGCCCAAGAACAAGAAGCAGAAGCAACAGGAAAAGCAACAATTGAAAAACGCCAAGAAGAACAAGAAGAACGCCGAGCCCGCACCCGAACCTGAGTCGGAAGAGGAGGAGGACGATGAGGCTGCGGCAGCGGATGCAACAGAAGACGACGGCGTCTTGGACCCCGAGTTTGAGTTCGATGTCGGTGGTGTCGCGAACCAGGGTGTCACCGAAGGCTTCGATGGCTGGGGTATTGATGACAATGAGACGAAGCGCTCTGGCGACAAGAAGGCTGTTGACATTGACGATATCATTGAGCGGAGGCAGGCCAAGAAGGCTGAGGCTGCTGCTCGGAAGCAGAAGAAGAACCCCGTTGAGAAGGAAGAGAGCGTCAGCGGATCCGAAGACGACGATGCATCAGGCGACGAAATGCCCGTTGACTTCGAGGACGATGAGCTCATGGCTGACGACGCCTTCGGCATGGGCGCAAACGGCGAGGAGGAGAGTGATGCTGAGGGCCCCGAGCCTGGCTCTGGGGATGAAGACGAAGAGGACGATGAGGATAAGGATGAGGAGTCCGATGACGATGCTGCATCTGACAATGACTCTGTGGCTACACCTGTTGGTCACCCCGATGACAGGGCCTCAGACATGGAGTCTGATGTAGAGAGCGAGGTGGATGAGGAGGAAGCAGAGAAGCGCAAGGCGTTCTTTGCCCCCGAAGAAAAGGTCGACACCAAGGCCAGCATGGCCAAGATGACTTTCCAAGAATTCAACCTTTCCCGTCCCATCCTTCGAGGTCTCGCCGCAGTTGGATTCACAGACCCGACACCTATCCAGCGCAAGGCGATTCCTGTTGCTCTGTTGGGCAAGGATATCGTCGGTAGTGCCGTGACTGGTTCCGGAAAGACCGCTGCCTTCATTGTTCCTATCCTCGAGCGTCTCCTCTTCCGTCCCCGCAAGGTCCCTACAAGTCGTGTTGTGGTTCTGATGCCCACTCGTGAGTTGGCTGTTCAGTGTTACAACGTCTCCGTCAAGCTGGCCACATTCACAGACGTCACATTCTGTCAATTGGTTGGTGGTTTCAGTCTTCGCGAGCAGGAGAACGTGCTCAAGAAGCGCCCGGATGTCATCATCGCCACTCCTGGTCGTTTCATTGATCACATGCGCAACTCGCCCAGTTTCACAGTCGATACCCTTGAGATTCTGGTTCTTGATGAGGCTGATCGTATGCTTGAGGACGGTTTCGCCGATGAGTTGAACGAGATTCTCACCACGATTCCCAAATCTCGCCAGACTATGCTGTTCTCCGCGACCATGACAGACTCAATCGACAAGCTTATTCGTGTTGGCATGAATCGCCCAATGCGTTTGATGGTTGATGCCAAGAAGAATACTGTATCCACCCTTGTTCAAGAATTCGTGCGTCTCCGTCCCGGACGGGAGGACAAGCGTCTCGGTTACCTCCTGTACCTGTGCAAGGAAGCCTACACAAAGCGCGTTATTATCTTCTTCCGACAGAAGAAGGAAGCTCACCGCGTCCGTATCATTTTCGGCCTATTGGGCTTGAAGGCAGCAGAGCTACACGGTAGTCTGAGCCAAGAACAGGTACGTTCAAACAATTTACGTCCTATATTTACAACACTAACTTCCCATAGCGTATCAAATCCGTCGAAAACTTCCGAGATGGCAAGGTTGCCTTCCTTCTCGCCACCGACGTTGCGTCCCGTGGTCTTGATATCAAGGGTGTCGAAACCGTCATTAACTACGAAGCTCCCCAAAGCCACGAGATCTACCTGCATCGTGTTGGACGTACCGCCCGTGCCGGCCGCTCCGGTCGTGCATGCACGATTGCCGCCGAACCTGACCGCAAGATCGTCAAGCTTGCCGTACGCGCAGGCAAGGCTCAAGGCGCCAAGATCGTCAGTCGTGTCGTCGAGCAAGCGGTTGCAGACAGCTGGGCTCAAAAGGCCGAGGATTTGGCCGATGAAGTGGCTGAGATCTTGCAAGAGGAGAAGACCGAGAAGCAGTTCTCTCAAGCTGAGATGCAATTCACCAAGGGTGAGAACCTCATGAAGCACGGTAACGAGATCATGTCTCGGCCGAAGCGGACGTGGTTCGAGACTGAGAAGGACAAGAAGGTTGCTCGCAAGTTGGGTAATGTTGAGTTGAACGGTCCTAATACCAAGAAGAACAATGTCAAACTCAGCAACAAGGACAAGAAGCGTCTTGATGATGCGAAGATGAGACATGAGGGTAATATCGGGTGGAAGAAGGGTAAAGGTGATGCGGAATCTGCTAAGGATCCTAAGAAGGCTAAGGGGAAGGGTAAGGGCAAGTCGTTCAAGAAAGGGAACAAATAAGGGAATGTATATTGAATACCATGCAAATAGCAAGCACATCTAATTGCCTTTTACACACTTTTCTTTTTTATGTAGATTCTTGATTCTGAAAAATTGAACGACATGCTCTAGAATGGGGAAGTGGGGGAAAAGAAAGGGCAGACATTTCAATCTCTTTCTAATTGACCTCTCTCTCTCTCTCTCTCTCTCTCTCTCTCTTCATATCGAAAGTATTCCAAGTCCACTTACTACTGAATATCCAAAACCATCGGAATTATTTTCCTGAATTTGAATCTATAAAAATGGATTCTTAAGATCTCCAAATCTCCAAATATTCAACCAATGAGGTTCAGCCATTGCCCTACTCCAACTGGAGCTGATTCGACGTCAATGCGATCTCATTTTCTCAAAAGGCTTAATTCAAAAATCTTTCTCCCCTATTTTTATCTTCTCCTTTTGCATGTTACTTTGAAGAGAGGGGGGATATATCTCCACCTTGTGAAAAGGCACTGGAATGGAGCCTCCCAAGAGTCTCCCCCGGAAGAGTGCCTTCTCATGCGAGGCCTGTCGCAAACGCAAAGTGAGGATCCTCTTCGGATGATGACCGAGTACCCCGAGATCCGAAATTTCCGAGCTGACAGCGCAGGTTAAATGTAATGGAGCTAGTCCGTCGTGTTCGCGATGCGCCGCGCGCAACGAGGAGTGTGTGTATAGCTTGTAGGTCTACCCCCTCTTTATTCTATTCCCCTGTAGTCGCTGATACTCTTTCCCCCCCCTAAGAGCTCCGACATTATCGTACACAAAGCAGCTGGAGGCTAGAGTTGCGCAGTTGGAGGATGCGTTGTCGAAGCGGGGTGAGGCGGAAGAGGTGCGGAAGACAAGATCGCCCTCATCGACAGAGTCCAGTTCAAGCGGACCGAAGATAAAGACCGATCCCGATGCTGAAAACCTTTGTCGGGCGTTTGATGGTCTGAATGTGGAGAATGACGGTCGCGTCTCATTTCACGGGCCGACTAGTTTATTCCAGCTGCCTAGTGGGGTGGTGAGTGAAACCGCGTCGACTGCCCATTACGAGGAATTAGAGGGTCGCAAAGAGCGACTTGTTAATAGCGCATGGCGGGAAAGGGCATTCGAGCAAATGGCTGCTATGCCGGTATGTGTCCTGGTGGATTTGAGGGGTGTGGATGCTAATACACTCCAGGAGCCTTTTCAGTATCTTCTCGACTCGCATTGGTGCTGGATTCAGCCGCTGTGGAATTTCGTCTACCGTCCTGCATTTACACGTCGGTTCGACCTTGCCATTTCAAGTGTATAATACTAACCTCCAATAGGTGATATGAAAATTAATGGGGCTTATTACTCCGACGTCTTATTAAATGCCATTCTTTCGCACTCGGTACGCTGGTGCAAAGCAGAGCCTCAGATTGGTCCGCTTCTGGATTCCTATGACGGCGGTGCACAATTCTCTCATCGTGCATTGACTGGGGTATTCGACTCGCTCAAAGTTGGTTATGCAGGTATCCCTACCATTCAGACATTGCTTCTTCTCAGTGCCCAGGAATGCGGCCGTGGAAATCGGACGCAAGCTTGGTTATACAGTGGTATGGCCTTCCGGCTGCTGGACGACTTGGGTATCTCCATCGATAGCCGGAAATATTCAGGGTCTGCTCAACTGAGTGATGAGGATATTGAAATCCGGAACCGTCTATTTTGGAGCTGTTATTTCTGGGATAAGATGGTTTCATTGTACTTCGGCCGCGCGCCGACGATGCAGCACTCTCGCGTTAGCCCGCCACGCATGATTCTCGATGACACCGCTGAGATCGAAATATGGACACCTCATGGGGTGAGCTTCACTGATGGTGCTCACTATCCGCCGACGCAGGCACATTCGACCTCCTGTTTCATGAAGATGTGCGGGCTGGCGGAAGTTCTGAACCAGATTCTAATCCACATATATGACCCAATCCGCCGAAGCACAGACTCGGAATTCTTCGATTGTGTTCAGGAGCAGGCTAAGAACCTGAGTGACTGGTGGGACGAGTTACCGGGTTATTTGAAATTAACGGCGGTGGACCTTCCTCCATACTCACCACCCAGCCATATCGTGATTTTGAAGTACGTGCTTAATCCCGCATACATTTGAACAAAGTGCTAACTTGACTCTTTCTAGCTGTTTATATCATACTATCAATATCCTTCTCCACCGACCAATCCTCTGTTCTCGAGAGCCGGCCAAAGCCAATCCCGAGGCATACGATTCGACCCATCTTGTACAGTGCATGGCATCAGCAACCTCAATCCTATCTCTCTTCGATCTATACCGCCGTACATTCGGCGACAGTCACGTCGTCCTATCTCTCGCATACAGCATCTACACAGCAGCATCCATTTTCCTGCTCGAGATCCAAGCCCTGAAATACGCCGCACCCGGAACACTTGACAAACTCAAGTTCTGCATTTTTGCACTCGAGAGAGTCAAAGCCGCCAGCCCTGTTATTACAACAGCTCTCAACCTCATATCGCTGGAGCTTCAAAAACTCCAAATCAACATCCACGGACCAATTCCAGCACCCATTCCAAAGACTGAACAGGAACACCACCCCCAGAATCACCAATCACCGCCCCAAACCCATTCTCATACCCATACCCAACCCCAACCCCATCCTCATCCTCATCCTCACCCTCACCCTCATCCTCACCCCCATTCCCATGCCCATTCCCACGCCCATCCTCACCACCCCCACCATCAGCACAGCCAATCCCCATCAATAGGCAGCCCACCCCGCCACGTCTCCCCACCGCACCATCACCACCAACCCCCAGCATCGATAGCCACCCAAGTCCAAACAACCCGCCCTGAAAACCCGCCTCCGATGGGACCATACAATACCTACCATCTAGGAGCAGGTTTCAACGTCCCGCACTCAGGCGAAATGCCCCATATGCCGTCAACGCATTTATTAGGCGGCATGCCGAACGCCGTCATGACGATGGATGAGCCCGGATCCTACGAAATCACGCCTGAGGTATACGAGGCATTCTCGTATGCGCAGCCGATTACGACGAATATGACGCCTGTCTTTGAGCAGAGTTGGAGTGGACATTCTCAATGTTGATTAGCGTTGCTCAATCCTGGGATTTTCCCCCTCTCTGCTTGCCTGACTTCAATCTTGATTTGTTCTTATGATTCCCAATACATATACAATACAGCCTGTCAGAATCTGTGTTAGTCTGAGGTTGATATATCACTTCAGTGGGCAACGATGTAGCTACATGCACTCCATTCCTAGGTACATATCTTCGCATAGGCAACAATGCAAGCTTTGCCCGAGAAAAATGGACAAATATCGCGTTTCAATAATCCCCCAAAGGCGAGATATCGTGAGGAAAGAAGCTGTAGTTCAAATGCAAAACAGACTGGACATCTTGGTATCATGAAAATAAACAAAATCAAAACGCTAGAAAAGTCAAACACAGGCCAAATAATAACAAAATGGGGTATCATAAATGACAAGCCTATGCATATCAATGGGATGCCAAAAAACAAAATCACAAAACCAAACCATCCTTCAAGACCCGACCATCCTTCAACTCATGTCGCGCCATATCAGTCGAAACATCCCATTCCCTCGGCGTAGCCCGCCATCGCAGATACCACGGCCCATCAAACAAATCCCCCATCCGCTCAATAGGCACCCCCTTCGTCTCAGGCATCCAAACCCCAAGGATAATCAGCCCAGAAAAGCAAATAAGCGCCCAGAAGAGATAGGCACCCCAGACATCAAGCGAGACGAACATATTCGCTGTAACTCGCACAACGGCGAACTGGAAAAACCAGTGCAGTCCCATACTAATCGCATAACTGAGGTTTCGGATGCGTGTTGGGAAGATCTCCGTGCCGTACAGGTAGGGCACTGTACAGAGACCGATGGACCATCCGACAGCGTAAACAAACACTGAAGCGACGGCTGCATTGGAGGCGTCTTTGTTGTCTGCCGACTCTGGACGCAGACCCATGTATATACCCATGTAGATGTGGGCTCCAAGCTGCATACTTAGTCCGGCGAGTGTGCAGCGACGTCGACCGAGGAGGTCGATTAGACCCCATGTGAAGGCCATTGTGAAGATTAATTTGACGATCCCGTATGCGCCGGAGGATACGAGGGATGTTGCATCTCCGCGGACGCCGGCGTACTATTTCGAATTAGTATTTTGTTATCTGGCTATCTGAAATTATCGTACCTGGAATATGCTTGTTACGTAGTATGTGATACCGTTCCCGCCGGTCCACTGAGCAATAGTTTGCATAGTAAGTAGCAGCCAGAAGCGCTGTCTGTAGTTCGGGTTCGTTTGGGTCTCCTTGAATATAGTCCAATGAGAGACAGATGCTAAGTCTGTTCGTTCTCGCTCTCGTGCATCGATAGTTGTGAACTCCTTTGCGATTTCGGGATCATCGATCGCCCGGCCACGTAGCCGTGCTAGAGCCTCTAGTGCTTGCTGGTGAAGCTGTTTCGATACGAGATACCGTGGAGTCTCGGGACAAAGGTACGATAGACCATATGCGATCCCGACAGGGATTAAGGGCACAGCCTGAACTAGGCGGTATTGGGTTCGCGTGATCGCCATGTGGACCCTGGCGCCATAGTTGATAAAGAATCCTGAAACATAGAGTTAGCGGGCGGGGGCCGAGGATGTGTACAACATATGGATGATGTGTAGAGGGTCAAAGCTTACCCATGGCTAAGAAGGTCAGTAAGATTACCATGTATATCCCGACGACCAGGCCTCTTGTCTTAGCAGGGGCTATTTCGGCTAAATACATTGGTGCGGTCACAGTTAGAGCGCCCGCGCCTAACCCGCCCCATATTCGACTAAACAAGAGCAGTCCGTATATACCGGATGCGAATACCTGGATCAATGTCCCTATTGCCCAGACGATACATGATAGACGCCACGTCACCAAGCGTCCGAGTCGATCATTGAGATCGAGGGCTATTAGGGCTCCAAGTGCTGCGCCGAGGACGTTGAAGGAGGTGATGTTCGCTTTCCGGTTGGCTAGCTCCGTGTCGCTCAAGTGGTTGGCGAGATTGTACTCGGACGTGAAGGAGGGGAGGGAGACGCTAGCACTATAGCCACCCTCATCATAACCTATTGAGGACAATGCGTAATTAGCAAACGTCACTACCTATGTGGGTATAGCGTCGCAGATCGTTGTCTAACAAGCTGATCTAGTCTCAGGGGGGGCGAGTTCATACCCTTCGGAATCCCGCCACACGCAATGACAATAATGACCAAAGCGCAATAGGGATTGGTCGACCATCGTATGATCCATCGCATGGCCCCGAATATAAACGAGCTGTGGGGGCATAAAGCAATAAAATCCCGGGGAAATGAAGTCAGGGAGTGGACGGGGAGGAATGACCGGGTAATCGGCGTCCGCGCTAAATAGACGTTCGGTCAACGTCCGAGCTTTGTCTGTTGTCCTTCCTATACATTTCCCACATGTCTTACGGAACTTGAGCTCCAATTACTGCAATTCATGGATTTTTTTTTGCATATTTCTTTATTGCTTTCGGCTATTGTAATTGCTTCCAGCTAACACCATACTCCAATGTCGGATGGCGCCGCAGTTATCCACTTTCGGGCTCCGCTCGACGGCTCATTACCGCATTTAATATGGCTTAGAGATTGGAAGGGAGTCCTTGCGGACAACTTCCGAGCTCGATTTTTCCTGCACTTGGTCACAAGCGCGTGTGTGTTGGGGGCGGGTCGTACAAGGCTTGTACTTCGTGCTCCGTACTCCGGACTCTGTACATATTGTGCTATTCGGACGCGGCCGATGGGTGCTTTTGTTTGAAAAAAAAAAAAAAAAACCTGCATTGCAGGAAATGAGATCAGAATATACGGGCGTTGAGCGGTCAAACCGGCATGGTTCTTCCTAGGTCTTGTCTCAGGGTATCATCCTCTTGCTGGAGCTGCTTTTCTGTGAGTCTCTTCTTCCCAGGGCTTCATTTCGGCCTTTTACACCATAGCTTCCTAGTTTACTATCGTAAAACCCCGCGGTCTCTATTTCACTTACGATTTACTCGGGATGCTGACCGCAGCTCAGCCAAAACCCAATATACTGCGTGGGCCTCTGTCGATATCGTTTGATGCCCGTTCCATCCGTTTAGAGCAACGGCGTTCAACACATGCCTTGTCCCCGAGTATATCGCTGAAGCAGAGACTCCCTCCGAAATCCTGGGATAGTCACATGCATGTTGTGGAACCTGAGCGATTTCCTGTCTCTCCAACAGCGGTATATAAACCCTCCCCGCATACGTTACGCGAAGCTCTCGCCTTTGAATCCGGACTAGGCGTTGAGAATCTCGTCTTTGTACAACCGTCAGTTTACGGCACAGATAATTCATGTTTATTAGACGCCTTGCGAAGACTTGGACCCTTGCGTGGCCGGGGAGTGGTCGTGGTTGACCCTGCTACCGTTAAACCGGAGACTTTAGATGAATGGCATACCCTTGGAGTACGTGGATTGAGAATCAACCTTCAGTCTGTAGGGAAGGTTATGGATGAGACCCAGCTGGAAGAGACCTTGATCCAGCATGCTGAGCTTGCCCGGCCTCGCAACTGGATTATCGAGATATATCTTCCCCTCAAAATGGTCTCGATGGTTGAGTCGATTCTCCCACGGCTAGGTGTGCGCATCTGCGTCGACCATTTTGGCAGCCCCGAGCTCGCGTCTTGGGACAATGATGGTGCTGCTTTCAATCCCTACAACCTTCAAGGGTTCTCGTCCTTGATTTCTCTGCTTCGCGGTGGGAAAACATACGTCAAGGTTTCTGCGCCATATCGACTCAGCAAGGACCGTCAGATGCGTGATCTTCAGGCTATGGCACGCGAATTCTTGTCTGTTGCACCTAATCGGGTCATCTATGCTACTGATTGGCCGCACACTCGATTCTCCCGTGTCGATATCAGTCCGTTCACTGAATGTTGCTTGGAATTATGCGCGGCAAAGCCTGGGCTAGCGGAGCGTCTGTTTCGCAGGAATACTGAGGAGATGCTTGGGGTAGTATCCGATTGATTAGTTATCAAACGTTGGCTGTGTATAACATGTTCGGCGCCGGGAATATGGAGTTTGGTAGTCCCTCTTCTATCATTGCTTGATTCGTGCAGCTATTTCTACGGGTTGGCCGGTTTACTTCTGCTATTGTGTCCTAGGCCCAGTCTTTTAGTACACCATGATTCACCCAAACACCAGAATCGAAGTGTGATATATGTTCGATGTCTATTTACTTGAAAATATTGACATCAAAAGGGTCGAGGTTGAGCTAACTTCTCATACCGTCAAGTCATAACGCGATTGTATTCAACTGTGTCTTGTACCCCCACTCTAAATATCTTCTGCATTCTGGAAGATAACATGGGAGGTGCAGATCTTCTTTGCGCCCTGGGAGAAGTAAAAGAAACCAAGTTAGCAAAATCCTGAAGCCAAATTGACTGAAACAAATCTCACAATAGTATAGCAACAAGCCGGTCGAGACTGATCCTCACACAGCTGAGGCCGTGTCAGTAGATCACCTAGAAAATGTAGACCGTTAGATAGACATCCAGTGACTAAATTTCATTGAATTGTTACACATACAATCCAATGCCTGGTTTGCCTTCGAGTTTCCCCGTGCAGGCTCCATATCACGGCAGCAGTAGGGCTGCTGAATCATGCCGGTGTTGTCCTCGGCGAAGTTACAGTGCATGTTGATCTGTTTGGCCGAGACCAGGGACAAGACAGCAGTGAAGGCGAAGGCCGAAATGCGCATTATGGCGGTGATGGTATGGTTGCTGGTGGGAGATCGGTTGGCGTGATATCGAAGTAATGAGAACGTGGTTGGGTAGATCGGCTCATGTATACCCCAGGGGAGGACTATTCTAGGGCGAGATCTTGTCTAATGAATCAGGACTACGAAGGAGAACTCGAGCGGCCAGATACCTTGCTGGATTGGCCGGCAAGGCAGGTTCCAAGGCTGTGTTTTATTAGCCAGGTATGAAGAATGTTCACGGCTGCTTTCATTGGTGGATGGGAGGCGTGGTTGGTATCTCCTTGCATTCTTGATTCTTCGTGATTGTGGAGGTTTCGGAGTGTTATTATTCACGCTGAACAGGGGGGATAGTGAGAGTAAGTATAGCTAGGGGTAAGACAGTAATGTAGATCATTGCTGTTGAGGTCAGCTAGGTGCCTTCATGACGACCCTTCACACGAATGGGTACTGTCAAGGGATGTATGAGAAGTTGGGACACATGGACAGTGGAAATATTGTCTTATCAATATGATTTTCATTAAATTGTAACCCGTTAGGGCTATATTTAGATGAAAATCGCAATGACGAACTTGCACAACATAAATGTCCACTTTTTTAATGGGGCCGAGGCTTATGCAGGTACCACGTGGAAGGCTTGAATGTTCTCACTTGCTAGAGTCCACGGGGACTTAATGCTCAAATATGATATCCAGCGTATCTTAGAATATGGACTGTCCACGGGTGTGGGCATTCCCTTTCTTAAGTCCACGGGTTCCCTGGAACCTTGGAAGGCTGCAATGTTGAGTCAGGTGATGTTTTGTTGAGGGCCCAACACTGTTATCTAAGCATATGATATAACTAATGGCACACCGCCCTCTCTCATACTCTTGGACCCCCCTCACTTTCAGATCTTTAGACACATCGCCACTTCACTGTGCTATTCTACACCTCTGAAAATCATGAAACACAACTCCCAAACCCCCGCCGATATGGAGCGCTCTGTCTACATTCCTCTCTGCTTCTGCCTCATCTCTTTCGCCGTTATCGCCTATACCCACTAGGCCTCCCGCGATAGCATTCTGCCCCAGCAACCAAACGAAGATGAAAGGGTCCCCCGCCATGGTCCTGTACTCTGGAGTCTGGGATGCCTCTCCTCCTTTTTGAACCACTCTTACTTCGTCTCATCTCGTAACACAACATACGAGTCAATATTACCTCCTCACGCTACCTTCAACACTGAGCTGCCCCTCTATCGCAAGCAATGTGACCAGCAGGATCGCATGACCTTGTGGGGGTTGAATGATCTGCAAGACATCAGAAGATAACTTGTCGGTCTATCTCTGCGCATATTCAGAGACTTCCATTGCGCTATCCTTCATCCTTCCACGCCCCAATCTGTTATCTAGTCCTTCGCCCAAGAGACTGGCTATGTCATTCTGACTGCATGTCGTGACATGGAGTCAGGATATGCATACGCTTAGACTCAGTGGCTTCCTTTTTTCCATCCATCGCAATTTGATACCCTCTTCCCTGTACGCCGATCAACATCTTCGGATTGATAGGGCTGGTGCCCTTTCATATCTGAAACATCTTTCAACATTCATTGGCCTTCATTGGTTTCAACCAAATCTTGAGTTATTCCAGTGCTTCAACCCTGGCTTTTGAGTTATAAGTTGTCTGATGGATATTATTCTCTTTTGTGCTTCTTCGAGTTGGAGTGCCGGTCGCTCCCTGTCGCTCTTTCGTGAATTTCCTATACCCATATATATCATCTATGAATTCAATAATCTTACACATATTAACGCAGTAAGCACTTGCAGATCCCAAATGCAATACACCAAAAGTATCAAGTTTATATTGTGCCGGGGTCATCTAGATCGCCCGGGCGGCCCCCGGGGATCACGTAATCCTGCTGAGAAATCGCCCGCGGTGACGGAAGAACCAAGCATTAACAAACGCCGATACCACCAGCTTGTGTCTTGTCCCCTTCTCAGCCTGTATATAATTGCTCGCTCCCCTCTTCCCCTCCCTCCATGCTCTCCCGATCCATTCAATCATCCCGGATTAGCTTTCGAGCCTCTTCATCTCTCACCCGGTCTTCTGCCCGGCAAATCCGTACTGGTCGTTTGACCAATCGAACTCTGGCGACCATCAACTCTCCCCGCTTCACCCCTGCAGACTCAATTGCTCCCCACTCTCGTCTCTCTACAATCTCCCGACACTTTTCTTCGACCTCTGTTCCCAAGGATCAACAATCTTCCAGTATGCCTCCCATTGAAACAAAGCAGTATGACTACATCGTCCTCGGCGGTGGTAGTGGTGGCAGTGGAAGTGCCCGCCGCGCAGCGGGTTGGTATGGCAAGAAGACCCTAATCGTGGAAAGCGGACGGTTTGGCGGTACTTGCGTCAACGTGGGGTGAGTACAATATGTAACGCTCTTATACTCGGTCGCACACTTTTTCTGACATCATTTAGTTGTGTCCCAAAGAAGATGACATGGAACTTTGCGACCATCAACGAGACTCTGCACATTGCAAAGAACTACGGCTACGATATCCCCAATAATGTTACTAAGAACTACACACAGTTCAAGAACACCCGCGATGCCGTGATCAAGCGGTTGAATGGTGTCTATGAGAACAACTGGGGCCGCGAAGGAATCGACGTCGTCCAAGGTCGTGCTGGCTTCGTCGAGCCCCACACTATTGAGGTCAAGCTGGCCGACGGCTCTGGTACCGCCAGATACACCGCACCTCACATCCTGTTGGCGACCGGTGGCCGGCCCAGCGTCCCCTCTGTGCCCGGCGCCGAGCACGGTATCACCAGCGATGGATTCTTCGAGTTGGAGGAGCTTCCCCCGAAGATCGCCGTTGTCGGTGCTGGGTACATCGCCGTTGAGCTTGCTGGTGTCATGAACGCTGTGGATGTTGAGACTCACATGTTCATCCGCGGTGAGACCTTCCTGCGCAAGTTCGACCCTATGATCCAGAAGACTATGACCAATCGCTATGAGGCCTCCGGTGTTAACATTCACCGCAACCACGGCGGGTTCAAGGAGATCCAACTCATTCGCGATGGCAAAGGCAAGGATCGCCTGCTTAAGCTCATTGGCCATGATGGCTCTGAGATTGAGGTTAACGAGCTCCTCTGGGCTGTGGGCCGTGCCCCCGAGGTCGAAGACCTGAACTTGGATATCCCTGGTGTGAAGCTGAATGCTGGCGGCCACGTCGTGGTTGATGAGTACCAGAACACCGCGGTTGAGGGTATCTACGCTCTCGGTGATATTATCGGTAAAGCCGAGCTGACTCCTGGTAAGTCGAGATCTCCACTTTTCATCCAAAGAAATAAACTTACTCAATTCCGTAGTTGCCATTGCTGCCGGCCGCCAACTCGGCAACCGTCTCTTCGGCCCTCCCGAGCTCAAGCACTCCAAAATCTCCTACGAGAACATTCCTACAGTCGTCTTCTCGCACCCCGAGATCGGCTGCATCGGTCTTACCGAGCCCGAGGCTCGCCAACATTACGGTGATGACAAGATCAAGATCTACCACACTAAGTTCACTGCTATGTTCTACGATGTCGGCTTATCCCCCGAGGAGAAGGCCAAGAACCCCACTGAGATGAAGCTCATCTGTGCCGGTCCCCAGGAGAAGGTTGTTGGTCTGCACATCCTTGGTCTTGGCGTCGGTGAGATGCTCCAGGGCTTCGGTGTCGCTGTCAAGATGGGTGCTACTAAGCAGGACTTCGATAGCTGTGTTGCTATCCACCCTACTAGCGCCGAGGAGCTGGTGACTATGCGGTAATGCTGTTCGAGAATAGAAGAGATGTGTGAATAATAGTCCAGAAGGTTCCGATATTTCTACCTATGGAAAGTTTTTTGATTGTAATATTTCGTTGGGCTCGTATATCTCCAAGTCAACAGGCCTAACTATGTAGTGTCTATCCCTCTATATTTCTGCTCGACAAGTACAATGTCACATACAAAGGAAAGAGCTAGCTCTAGAAGCAACTCAAAATAAAGCAACAAAGAGATAGCACTCCATACTATGAACGGTTAACCTGTGATTAAAATAACCCCGCCGTGGGATGAGTAATCCCACACAAAAGCCCTAAGCCCCGCAGACCAGACAAGATTATAATGAATCTGACAATTTCTCTTCTCTTCATATCCCACTCTCTCCCATCTACACTACACCAATCATTCTACCATTACCGCTCACCTGGAGACAAGACCAAATTCACCGCCCCAAACAACCCAAACAACTTACACCAGGCACCCATCCAAACAAGTAGGCGGTACGATTCTGCCTCAGGCCGGCCGTTATCTGGAACTTTAAGGAAGTCCCTTCGCCCTTCGGGGCATATGGTCAAATGAAAATATACAGAGAAGATTAGCATGGCCCCTGCACTAAGGATGACACGCTCAATCAAAGAGAAGCTACCAATTTTTTTTCTTTCTTAGAGATCCTTCGTTATGGAGATAGAAGGTGTGAAATGTTTTAGTTGAAAATGTTAGTTGTTACTGCCCTATTTGGGCATAACGTATGCTGAGGGTCGTTGTTCAACCCGTGCTATGCGCGAATGGTAAACTTTTTTATGTTCCCTTTATTTTTCCTTGATTGGATTATACGCATAGAGTTGTATGCAAGAAATATCATCTGCTAAATTTATAGCGCATGTGGGGCTTTTTAGCTGCCGTTGAGGCGTTCGGGCGTAAGCCGATGTTTAGCCTTTAGGTTTGCATAATTATAGGAAGGTTTAGTATCTATACATCGAGTTAATAGCTGACTTCGTAGCGTTTGGTGTAGATTTAGAGCATTAGAGTGAAAAGTGAGCAGGCTACGTCTTACAAGATATGTTAAGACTGAAACCTACAACATAGGAAAGAGCCCCATCAGCCCCGCATAAAAATCCCCACATGGAGAAGCCCTGAGATGGGGAAGTCCTGAGGGGATATCCCCTTTAAGAAAGCTATTCCCCAGAATAATTCCTGCAAGCATCTCCCGTGACTTGAAAGAATACTTCTACCCATCATGGCAAAGAACCTCCATACCGCACCACCATTCCGAGCTGAGCACCTGGGCTCTCTACTACGCCCAGCCAACCTCCTCGATGTCCGTGCAAAGATATCCACCGGAATCTCCGCCGAAGCTGCCGGACTACCCTCCATTGAACAAGAAGCCGTGCGCGAGGTAGTTAAGATGCAACAAGACCTCGGATTCAAAGCAATTACATCTGGCGAGTACAACCGCACCCGATTCTGGGGGTTGATGTGGGATGAGTTTGAGGGTAAGTACCTGTTAGCAGCTGTACTATATATAAGAATAAAACTCACTAACAAAAACCCAGGAACAATCCGCCTCCAAAACGCCGAATCCTCAATGTTCAGACTCTACCACCCAGACGTGGTGAGTCTGATTGAAAAAGACAGAAAAGTCATGCCGGGCGACTCGGTGATTGCAGCTAGCAAGCTGTCGCACAGCCCTGCCTCTCAATCAAACCTACACGAGCTGCGTCTCGTACAGGCTTCTCTGCCTCAGAGTGAATGGAGTAATATCAAACTGACGATGATAACGCCTGCATGGTTCCACATGCGCTACAAACAAGGACGCGCATATACCCCAGACGCATATTCCAATGATGCAGAGTACTTTGCCGATGTGGCGAAGGTGTATCGCGCGGAGCTGGAATCACTGTACGCAGCCGGACTGCGGAACGTGCAGTTCGATGATCCGGGGATGGCGTATTTCTGCTCCAAATCCTTCCGGGAGGGATGGGATGCCGATCCCGATAATGAGGGATCCGTGGATGATTTGCTGGATGCTTATATCCGACTTTATAACGATATTCTTGTTGATTTGCCTATGCATACGGGGATTCATCTTTGTCGGGGGAATTTTATTGGTGGACGACATTTCTCGGAGGGGTCGTATGATGTTATTGCGAAGAAGTTGTTTGAGGATTTGGAGGTTGATACTTTCTATTTGGAGTATGATACTGAGCGGGCTGGGGGGTTTGAGCCGTTGAGGTTTTTGCCGAAGGGTAAGAATGTGGTTGTTGGGGTTATTAGTAGTAAGGTGCGGGAGTTGGAGGATAAGGAGGCTGTCAAGGAGCGGATTTATTTGGCTGCTGATTTTGTTGCGCAAGGGTCTAGGGAGACTAGGGAGGAGGCGCTTAAGAGGGTTTGTATCAGTCCTCAGTGTGGGTTTAGTACTCATGAGAGTGGTTATCCTCTTCTTGTTGAGCATCAGAAGAAGAAATTGGGGTTGGTGAGGGAGATTGCGGATGAGATTTGGGGAGAGCCTTGATATATTCTCTTTCAACAGTACGAACTAGATTATATCTATGTTCTGTATTGCGTTTTTCCAAACTACAGATATATTGAAGACATCAATTCTTATATTTCCTACCACTACCCTCCACCATTTACTAATATAACCAAGCAGAGCAAATAGCTAACCCAAAAACAAATTACCTCAAATCCGTATTCTTCCTCTCCAACATCTCCTTCCTCTTACCCTCCACAAACACCGCAAACTGATGCTCCGTAACCTTAGACTCCGGTACCTTCAGCCCCCTCTGCACAGTCTCCCTCGCAAGAATCAAATCATACCATTTCCGAATCGCCGGCCACTCATCCAGATCAAACCCAAGAATATTCGGCGATGCCCGCACCCAGCAAAAACTAGCAATATCCGCGATAGTGAACTTCTCACCCGCAACATAAGGCGATTCCCCAAGCCGGGTGTTCAGAACCATATAGAGTCGTTTTGTTTCATCGACATAGCGCTGGATACCCCAGTCAGAACGGACCGGAGCGAAGCCAGTAAAGTGGTGGGCTTGGCCTGATTTGTGTTATTGACTTCTTTTTCCAAGAATAGTAGAGTTCCAAGGATAGGAGGATTCATAATATGAAATACATACCCTGCATTAGACCCAGCCCCGCCATCTGCCACATTAACCAACTGAGCTGTTCCGAATACCCCGGGGTGTTGGGGGCATAACTGATCTTCCTGTTGGTATCATATTTCTCGACTAGGTAGAGCATGATGGCGCCGCTTTCAAAGACTCGGGTTTCTCCGTCGGTGATTGCGGGGAGACGGCGGTTGGGGTTGAACTTAAGAAACCATCTATATACTTAGTATAGTTTGCTGTGGTTTTATATTTGTCATACTCTTCTTTTTGTTCGTTAGACTGGAGATCAACGGGTCGTGTCTTGTAGGATAGGCCTAGCTCTTCGAGGGTGATGGAGATTTTGAAGCCATTGGGGGTGGCGGAGGTGTAGAGTGTGATTTCTGAGTGGGCCATGGTTACTTTTCTTTTGTTTTAAAAACTGATAGGAAGAATGAGGTGAGATACAATGAAAGAGGGGTTGTACTTTTATATTGAAGAGAGCTCCTACAGCGGGGGGCATGCAGGGGTATATAGTGGCTAAGGTTTCTTTCGGATTTAATGCATAGAATCGGGAATTTGAGCGAAGATGGTGAGGCGTCGTGAACCTTGCAGTTTAGTTCTAGCTGGAAAAATACGAGACTACGCGAGTTGTCACAAAATCAGAAAGCAATAAGGATCTAGCAAAGTCATTGTCCAAACCATATTCCACATTACATGTCAAGCCTAGCACTAAGGCGTTTAAAAAGTTCCTAGCTAAGGGTAAGGTAGACTTTACCATAAACCGTTGGGGCTAAACCCCTTATATGAAAATGTGTTCCTTGATATCAAAGGCCAGCAAATTATCACCAGTTCAGTTCAGAAAACCAAATGCTCGTAGATCCAGATGACTTTCAAAATAGTCTCAAATCACATGCGGGTAATGACCAGACAGTCTGACCTCCAATGGACCCCTGGCCAGAACATTGGCATATCAACCTGGTGGAATCAATAAGGATGCATGTCGTGACAAACGGCGCCTGCGCCGTGAAAGTGCCTCCGGAGAAAAGGAGGATGCAAAATTTGAAATAGCTCGATGGCAAGCTCAGTCATTTTGCGACGGAGCGAGAGGGTCACACTCGGATGGAGTCGTTCCGACCTTATCCAGGGCGACGGCGTGAAGTGCTGGTTTCTCGGAAACATGGAGCAGGCCATCTTCCTTAAGCTGCATTTGCTTTTGCACCCACTCAGCCACTTCTTTGTCCTCTGTAATTGCGGAAACGGCATCACCGGAGGCGGACTCTTCGGGTAGTGGGGCGTTGCCATCGGCAGACTCGGTAGGGGGCTGCATGAGAGGGGATAGCCAAGGGTGTCGGAGTAACATGTCGTAAGTTGGTCGGTTTTTCGGGTTTTTGTCGAGACAGGCCCGTACGAGTGCGTGTGCTTCTTCGGAGAATCCCTCGGGTAGTGTTGGAGGGTCTCCATGGACGATGGCCTAAAGTGGAGAATATTAGAATGTTGAACTTAAGAAAACTGTTCTCGGTGTACTCACGTGTAACTGGCTGAAAATGTTGTTAAATGTTTCTGGTGGGTATGGGTATCGGCCCATAGCGCATTCGATGATGGTCAATCCTAAACTCCAGACATCACTCTGCACGCTGTATGTACCGGCACTCGGCGCTCCCGACTGCTGCATTCCGCCTCCCGCGATTCGTTCGGGTGCCATATAACTCTGACAACCGATATTGGTCTTCGCAATACTAGAGACCAGATTCCCGCTAACGCCAAAGTCGCAGATCTTGACCTGTCCTTTGCTGTTGACAAGGATGTTGGTAGGTTTAACATCGCGGTGAATAATGTTGTGGTCCTCCTTCAGTGATTTCAGACCCATGATGGTGGACAGAGTCACCTTCCGCAGAATGTTCTCGGGAAGACCCCCTTCGTAGAGCTTGTCGATCGACCCGCCGTCCATGTACTCAACACACATATACACGGCACCTTCCTGGAAAAAGGCTCCGTAGAAATCGATGATGAATGGAGAGACACAGCGGTGTAGGATGTCCAACTCCATAATGATTTGTGCAAACTTGGCTTCGTCCAATTCCAAGCGAATCTCCTTCATGGCCATGACCACGCCTGAGAGTTGGTTCGCTCCGGGGTCCGGACTCGTTTCGTCCTGGCCTGGAGGCCGACTTACAATGCCACTCAACCCCAGACCTGGTTTCCGTAGATGCGGGCGAGTGTGTCGAACCTTATAGACCGTTCCATAATTACCTTTACCCAACTCTTCCAAGCGATCAACTTCATCCAGAGAGATCTTGAAGCTGTGGCCTGACGAAAACTCGACACCACCTCCGTGTAGGACAGCTTTGTTTTTGAAGTTCAGAGTGCCCTCTTTCGTATCGATAAACTCAGAGTATTTGCTGAAGGCAGAGTCCCCATTTTGTTCGCCCTGCTTTTGATCCGTACCTGCTGCGGGAGCGGACGGACCAGTGACATCCGATAGCTTGAGACCCGGCTTCATGCGCTTCGCTGCCAGTCCTCCCGGACGAGGCGACAAAGGACTAGAGCCAGTGGCGGGAACGGCAGGGGAAGATGACCAATTCGTAGGATTGGGCCTTGTAGGACCCTGAGGTGCTCCACCAGCAAGTGCGCCGCCTGCGCCTCCCTGAGCCATAGGGATCTGCCCCGTCGAAGAGGCAGGTTGTGCCACCGGAGCACCTTGACGGGATAACGAGAATGCCTTCATTTTCGCCATGATGTCTTGGTTTAATACGCCGGTTCCTTGTGAGCTCATCGACGGGTGTGGGTGTGGTGAAGGCCCACCACGCCGCGCAGCATTGATTTGGCCCAGATGTGTGGATGAGGCAGATAAGCCAGGTCCTGAAGATTCGCGGGAGGGAAGAACGATTGGGCTTGACGTATGTCGGGGAAACGGAGGAGTCGCTGGGTCGCTGGGAGACAGAGCATCGGATTCAGGCGCGACTGCCTCAGAGGCGAAATCTCGTTTATCAGCCATGGCGATATGAAGAATATCGAGGAAAGATGAGCCGACACCAATGGCCGGTGTGGTTTGCTGTAGTTATGCCGTTTTGGACTTGACTGCACCAAATGGGCGCTATGTTAAACAGAAGCAAAAGCAAGCGAAAACAAAAAAAAAAAGGTGAAGGGGAGAAAGGAGGGGCAGAACTGGTGAAATCGCAAGGTGAAGTCACTTTCTGTGATATGAGAACGTGGGGAAACCCAATTTCAATACGTATTTTGTATGTTTCTGGTAATTTCTGGTAATTTCTGTCTTTCCCGATGTTCTATTGATATTTCCCAAATAGTTTCAATCTTCAATGCTTTTTTTCTTCTATTCAAATAATCTCTTTCTATCCTATATACATACAATTTCACACACTCTCTTTTTACTACAACATATTGTGTGTATTGAGGGAATTGAATCTCCAACCGGGCCGCTACACCAGCCAATCACATGACGCCAATCAACCAAAAGCAGGTTTTCTCCGTGTTATCCCCTTCGTCTGCCGTGTTTCGATTAGAAAAAGTGGCTTCCATCACTTGATATGATAGCTGACGACGACCTACATTTGATTAGCCTGTTATCTATTTTGATGCCTATTCAATAATCACGCCAAGATGTTGCCCGAGGAGTTATGATATTGGAGACAAAAGTACCTATACCCGGTTCTCTCGGCCTCTTGCTAATCCCGCACCTCATTATGAGTCGTTGACTCATGATACTCCACTGTTCTCCTAGGCATGGCCCGTTGTTGGCTCGGATAGCCGGTCCTATCCCCGACAAAATTCGGGGACATCTTTCCAAGTTGGGGAAACTTAACTTCTGAGCACGATCTGGCCGATAAGGTTCAATTGGTCGATTCTTGCTATATATAGTGCACTGCTCTCTATACTATACATTTCGATTGAAAGGTATCAAAATTGTACCTGAAAAAAAAGACCCTTGACATAGCGGGGCAAAAACGCCTTCGGGCGCAGAGGGTCTTTGAGCCCGATATTGAAATTGCCCTGCTAATTTGCTATGTCGTCATCTAAATTGCGTCCACATTTCCTTAGATTTCCATTGCAAATTTGATTTAAACCTGAATATATGCCTTTATGGCAAGACATAACCCCCGTCGATAAGTACATCACTTCCGGTCATAAAGGTAGATGCATCACTGGCCAGGTACAGGTACAATCCCTTGATTTCCTTCACGTGGCCTTGTCTTCCAAGTGACGACATGCGATACGCCTCCTGGAGGGCTGACGGGCCAGCTCCCATCTTTGTATCGAAGAAACCTGGCGAGACGATGTTGACTCGCGCGAACTCCCGCCACTCGCGGGCAAGCGATTTTCCAAAGTGAGTGACATACGCTTTGGTCGCATTGTAGACAGGCTGGTCAGTAGGAACATTAACAATGTGTCCACTCATACTCGAGGTAATGATGAGATTGCCATGACCTTGCCGTGCGAATACCTCGCCAGCATATTTAGCGCAATATACAATGCCGTCAACTAATTCTCGGTTAATATCCCCCTTTTTTTATCGAAGGAACATATTCATACCATTCACGGACATCTGCTTCCGGTACTCATCTAGAGTCTGTTCCAAGATAGGCTTCGAGATCGCCATACCTTTTGAAATCAGCTGTCTGCTATATATCAAGTTATCAAGTTGCAGGAAACTAACCGGCATTGGCAATGAACACATCTATCTTGCCGAAATCTGCCACCACCTTTGCAATCGTCTCGGATACTTGGGTGGACTCCGAAACTGCAAATCAAGGTTAGAAATCTGTCGTCTTATTTGTGGGCATCATCTGTTTACTTACCGTCAACCTTGTAAGCTAAAGCCTTTACACCATGCTCATTGGCTAGGACCTGGGCTTTCTCGATTGCAATGTCGTTTCTGTTAACTTGGTTAATACCGATTACATATAAGAGAGGCATGAAGAAAACCTACGAATTATACCACAGAGCAACATGAGCGCCAGCTTCGGCCATGGCCTGTGCTATCGCATGGCCCAGCCCATCGGCAGCCCCCGTAACAGCCACCACCTTCCCGTTCATTTTGAACTGTTCTAAAACATTTGAAGGTGTATCCGGGAATGGACGAGGAAAGCCCTCCCGGCTTTGAGCGCAGTCTTCAATACTCATAGACATCTTGTATATGTGTTGTGGTTGATGTTTCGAAAGAATTATGGGACCAACCCCTCTTTATAGTCCCCGTTGACCCACTGTCGGCGTAGTGTTGGCCGAAACTATGAACTTCTCCTTTTAATATCCCGTGATCTATAAAGGAAAAGAAGAGAAAGCTGATTGAACATTCTAATGATTCTATATAAGATAAGAAGGTGGGGAGATGCGGGGATCTCCAAAATCTCGAGACTTCATGTGCTCTTCATAGTCGGCCGTTTATGAGGTCTTGCGCTGTCACTTTGGTCTCCTCGGTGGTCAACTCACTCCGTTTAGATGTCTTGAATATTTTTCCCTTTGTCAGTTTTATAGGTATATGGCAAAAAGATGGCGGGAAAAAACTTCCCAACCCTTGTAACACTCTACCAACATACTACCTAGTCAGATCTTCTGTGAACCATGGCCTCCAACAAGCCCGCGTTTCAGGCGATCCTGTTACAACCTGGCCCTGGACTGGCGAGTTACACACTAGGCCAAAAAGACCACTTTCGCTGAGGCTGTACACCCTTTGCTGGTCTATTTGAGGATTCGTGCTCCTCACCAAACCTGGGGACAGCGCTTGCTCCGTCTGCTATGGCGTCATAGCTCTGATATACATAGCGCGACTCTCCTGGGGAAGATGGACGCGCGGGAGCTTAGATCTCCAATCAGGAGACTCTGCATTGATTAGCCCGCGGCGTACCTACTTACCCAGGAGAGTCACGCTATGTATATCAGAGCTATGACGCCATAGCAGACGGAGCAAGCGCTGTCCCCAGGCTTTTCACTCGGTCACGGGCTTGAGGCGATATGATGTATCTTAGGGAAGCCCATACCTCCACCTCGTGGTTGTGTACCGCGGGTCTTCTGTATCTGTCTGCCGGACTTTGCGAGAGCAAGATCTATCGGTCAACTTCGGATCCTCGCGGAACGCAGAGTGCCCGCAAGCACCCTAGTACTTGAAGCCCCTTGTCATACAATCACTAGGTGGAAGTATGGGCTTCCCTAAGATACATCATATCGCCTCAAGCCCGTGACCGAGTGAAAAGCCTGGGACGCCACGATCAAGCAATTCTTGAACACTGAAACTCTGGGCGGATACCATACGCGGCATAGTGCGTAAGGAGCCCTTTTTTTCCACAATCCCGCAGAGAATGGTCCCCACTGAAATACCGAAGTGTCCGAAGAACCCAAAGAGAATATCCACCCGTCGGATCGAGGCTGGAAAGGAGTGGCACAAAAAGAAGGAGTGGAAGCGGATTCAAAGATCCGAGGTAAAGCAGCGTAAAGCCAAGAATGAGGCCAGAAAGGCGATGAGACGTAAGAAGAAAAGGAGAAGGTTCGTTGTCACAGAAGTGGATTGTGTAATTGGACTAATCTGGAAACCGATTAGAAAAGAAAGTGGCACAATCATACTGTGAAAAAGAGCAAGGAAGCCTATTCAGGGCAGAGGTGGTTTCGATTTGTTAAGCATCCAGGTAGTTATGACTGCTGGGATCCTAATCTTCTGTCATGAGGAGACAGTCACTTACAACATTGCCCCTCATGCCGGAACTACACTTACAGTCTAAGCCTCTCTGGCTGGCTTCCTTTTCCTGGAAGGTCAGAGTGCCTTTCTTCTTTTTGTGTTCTTTTTTAATTCCAATCTGATCATCAGCGAGAGTATGAGAGAACTGATCGATCGTGAGGAGGCACCAACCTTCAAGCAGCTCCTAGAAGAATGCCGGGTGCGCCTCGGGTTATCAGAAGTTGTGCGTCAACTCTGGAATTCTCGGATGCCTGACCTCGCGCTCGCCACCGACGTGGGATATTCTCCACGCGTTCTTCGCTGCAGACTACCATAGGGCGGTCCATACTGAGGCGACATCTGGCGAGGAAGAAGATGCGTAACTGGGGTGGAAGCTTAGCCATTCGTTACAATGGCTTGAGAGATAAACAGATAATCAAGAAGAAAGTAAAGAGAAAGACAATACTCCTAGATCAGTACTTGACATTCCCACTCGCATCCATACAGGTCTAGCCAAAGTGAATATCTTGCCATGGCCGCACTCGCAAATAAGTCTGAATGATGGAATATTCATCGATATGTTTGTCTCTTACCAGCCTCACCTTTGCAGATGTAAAACCTCATACTAAAGGGAAATGATGTATAAAGTCAATAACATAAATTCTAGTGCCGATGGGCTTATTCCAACTTCAATGACTTCTACCTAGATCATAGATGCCTGTTTGCCTCAAACTCTCTAGCTAATGTCAGACCATATCTGGGTTGTAAAGACGTATTTTGTTCTTGAGTAGGAGCAGAAGTTTTTCCCTAGATCCTCCTCCTCCTTTCCCTCCTTCCCCCTTTTCTTCATACTCCCCTTCGTTGCCCAAAAGCCTCGATAACTTCACACCTGTGGCAAGTTAGCCAGATAATAATCAACCATTAGACATGGATGATCTCTCACTTCCCACCGATGATGACCTCCTCCCGATCCTGCGTCAGATTTGCGCCAGTAATCCTGATCTCGGCCGTACCAAGATCCTCAACCGTCTCCGTAACGAGCATCAATGGCGCATCTCCGAAACGCGGCTGAAGAACCTCCTAGAGAATCATGGGTTGCAACAAATCGAACAAGAGCCCATAAAGCCAAAGGAATCCGATCTCCCACCAATCTCCTATCCACAAGATGCACTGGCCGTGCAGCAGAAGTACAAGGATGAGAGCATCCGGTGCTTCAAGATCTACTCCAGGGGCCCTTATGATTTTGGCGTGTCCCCAAACTCAGACATGGCGATCAGAGTCGACATTGCACACAATAGGGTGAAGAATGCCGGGCGTCCGAAAACTGAGGGGGACCGTATTACAATGGCGACGAGCTGGCCGATGAGGTGCTTATTTGACTACAATTGGGCTGCCGCAGAAATCGCAGGGGTTAGCAAGGAGGATATCGGACGACAGCTGGAAGCGGAGTGAGACGTTTCATTGCAACCTTGGAAAGGTTGACTGTTCACTAATCGGTACTAGATATGGGGTTAATCCGGTTCCATTTCTACCACCTGCCCCCACGCTTGCAGAAATTATGGATCGAAAGATAAAATTCAAGATAGCAAGCATGGAGAAGTTACGGCAAATGCTTAAGCATCCGGAAATACGAAAGCTGATTCCCGTTGATGCGCGCGGGGAGCCTATTTGGGACGAAGCGAAGCATGGCGAGTTCTGTGTTCTGGTCGTGAAGATTGATAAAGGACGTGGATTGGAGGAGTTTGGCCCAGCTTGAAGTTGTTCATGTGCAAAGATGGTCTTTTACCTAGATTAACATCTCCAAGCCAATTCTATTGACAAGTTACAGAACATATAGCGCCCCTAGAGTCGACACCAGCTATTACTCCATCTTAGACTTAAAGTAGAAACATCGGAGTCTGATCATTCTACTACGTTAAGCCAGTAATCTAGAATTAGCCTTTACAAGAATAAGCGGCCGTATAAGCGGCCTTGTGATGTCTTTTCAGTGGTCTTTTCAGTGATCTCCTCAGATATCATTCTAGTTTTATAGATCGACGGCAAAAAGCGGGAAAAGGCTACATTTGTGCGATGGACCTTTCTATATATAACATTTGATGATGAGAATAAGATCTATAAAACGATTACAAAGATTACCTATTTCAACTACATACTGACCGCAAGTTGATTTAAAGCTTATAGAACAAGTGCGTAATCTTAATATGGTAACTAAAGTGAAATTTAATACCTTGTTCACATTGCGGAACTTTCTCGTGCATAATCTTTGCTTGGTCAGTTGATGATTCGTACGCAATCTGGTTACGAATATCGCTCGCGACCTCCGGACGCATATCTCTAGCAATACTCCTTGTTACTCAGCATACAACATGTATGTAATGAGAGTTTGTGCAACATGCTGAACAGATAACTGACAAGGCCCACTCAGAGGCCCATACAACTGGAGCATACAAGCACGAATCCCAATGTGGAAGGATAATAAGCAGAATGAATCTTGGATTCTCAAAATTTATCCACATCTAGATCTATTACGCCACAGGCCGGTTTCTTTGTCGATTCCATGGGGTAGGACAGTTGTGCCGATCTTGCGCAAATGTCTCCTTCGGGTAATACTTTCGCACACTGTGGGTGTGCTAAGAACTTCACAGCCACATCAAGGCTACTGTTTTCTTGCGCTTTAAAGTTTTACTGGATATGAAGCAATGGAGAAATAGTCCAATTGGGGCGATATCGAGTTGAAGTAGAAACATGATGGTGAGTGTGATTTAGGTCCACGGGTGTGGCTGACGAGGATAATATAAAAACCTTGAACAAACCACATCTGGGAAGCATTCTATCTACTACAGCAGTTTGGAATCTTTCCTTCAAACAATCTTACCATCGAAAAAATCTCGGACATCTTCGACGTCACTATGCATCTTGCCGAGGTACAGTATAAAAGTTTAAAGCGACAACTTTATTCATCGGTGGCTAACAAATTTACTTATAGTATCTGTTCCGTCGCCTTCACCAACTTGGAATTCGATCCATCTTTGGTTGTCCCGGCGATTTTAATCTAGCCTCTCTTGACTATATTGTTCCATGTGGTCTCAACTGGGTCGGCAATGTGAACGAACTCAACGGCGGTAAGTCATAGACATACTTTCCACTTGACCGAAACATATAAGCCTAATTATTATATACATATAGGCTATGCCGCCGATGGTTATGCTCGCATCAGAGGAATAGGAGCAATCATGACTACACTAGGTGTTGGGGAGCTTTCGGCCATCAATGCCCTAGCAGGCTCATGCGCCGAGCATGTACCAGTCATCCACATTGTCGGATATCCCTCGACAAGTGTGCAGGAAAAGAAAATACCATTGCACCATACTCTGGGAGATGGCAACTTTGAGCGATTTGCTAAAATGAGTGCCCAGGTCTCAAGCGCCGTAGTCATCCTGAAAGACAAGTCAGATGCGACTAAGCTCATCGACGAAACAATTCGCGAGTGCTGGCGTTCCAGTAAGCCTGTATACATTGGCTTCCCAGCGGATCTTGTCAATGTAGAGATAGATCCATCTCCGCTGGAATGTCCCCTCATCGAAGAACCAACCCCCAATATCACGGAGAATGAAGAGCGTGCTGTGGGTTTGATCCTCGACCGTATTCGGGCGGCTCAGAACCCGGTCATCATTGTTGATAGTCTGGCGGGAAAGTCGTACAGTCTGGATTCGACAAGGCTATTTGCCCAAAGCTCAGGATTCCCTTGCTTCACTACGCCAATGGCCAAGGGCATCGTTAACGAGAGTTTAACAAACTTTCGCGGGCTATACGCAGGAGAAGCCTCCGATACTAATATTTTGGAGGAGGTCGAATCCTCCGATTTGATCCTATCAATCGGGCCGCGTCCAACAGATTACAACTCAGCTGGGTTCAAGCCTGATTTGTCTCATATTGAGACCATCAAATTCGAACGTCATAGAATCCAAATGCCATTTCAACAGAGTCTGGGGCTCGGTATGAGCGGTGTGCTGGAAAAGCTCAGCAATGCTCTTGATAAAGAACGATCAGGATCTATCTCCACGGCCTCCACGCCATCCCGCCAGCCTAGTGGTACCCCCGATGTACACGGAAGCATCTCACCCCCCTCAAGCCCATTGAAAGAAAATGAGGATCGCGATGTGATTATGAACTTCGAGGGTAACACTGTTGACAAGTCTCAACCATTAACTCAAGATTGGATCTGGCAGCGGATTTCTTCCTGGCTTGAAGAAGACGACATCATATCTGCAGACGTTGGAACCTCCGCTTTTGGCACAGTGTGGTCTCGATACCCGCGCGGGGCAGTTCCACTAGTGCAGTTCCTTTGGTCTTCAATTGGATATGCTGTCGGCGCAGCAGTTGGAGCTGCCCTTGCCGCGCGCGAAGACGAGAATCAATCAAATGGTACTCGCCGCCGACGAACTATCTGCCTTACTGGTGACGGTAGCCTTCAAATGACCGCACAGGAAGCGAGCACCATGGTCCGCCGCAAGCTCGGCATTATCATGTTCATTGTCTGCAATGAGGGCTACACGGTAGAACGAATCATTCACGGCATGGACGCCGAGTATAACGACATCCAGCCCTGGGACCACAAGCTTATGCCGGCTCTTTTCGGGGCCGCTCCGAATACCGCTCGCACTTACGCTATTCGGACTCGTGCTGAGCTGAATATGCTGCTCGACGACCCATCGTTTGGCCCTGCTGATCTTTATGATGAGAACAACCCGCCCCCTTTACGCATAGTTGAGTTGTATATGGGCAAGTATGATGTGCCAGAAGGCTTGCTTGGGACTGCTAATTCGGTTTCGAGGTGAGGATGACTCCTCGTTCGGCTTTCGGGTATTTGGGTTTTTATTTGAATGTGCTTTTGTTGAATTTGAACTTGAATTCCACCTAGATAATAGATAAAGTTATAAAAATACAAAAATAAATATTTGAGCGTTATAAGTACAGATACCAGGGCTATGCTACCCAACGTCATAAAATAGGGCTGAAAGGGAAAAGGTGCCAAGATCTCACAAAGCTTAACTAAAAGCTTGGTGTCTCCATTCCCAGGCTCAATTTCACGTGGACTTCCAACATTTCCCACATGGCTTTTTTGTTTCAATGCATGTGAATATTATAAAAGAATATAATCAAGTCACCGAGGTCATATCTTTTTACTTAACTCCCCTAAATATAGCCTTGTCTGAGAGAGTCAAGCTGATAATACCTCATGTCCCGACCTCAGCCCCACAATCTGACCTGGGCATAATATGGCTGCCTGGGTGATAATAGCTGCTGACCAGTATAGTTTCGGCTGTACTAAAAAAAAGTTTTAATATTACATAGTACTAAAAATACTGGAGTACTTTTCATTACAATAGAAACACGGGCTGACCCCGGCTTATCTACTTTCCCTTTATATTTCACTCCCCCTCTCTTCCCGTAAATTTTCTTCATCCATCCCCCTTTTTGTTCAAAAGTACATATCGTCCGCCAAAATGTTCGGCTGGTTCAAGTCTTCCAACGAGTCCAAGCCAGCCCAGGAGCCTACCTGGGATGCGGCCACTATGACCATGGAACAGCCCTCCAACACAGAAGCCATGTCTTCCAACAACGTCGTCGCCCAGCAGCCTGTATGCTTTCCGCTTATTATTTGCTAGAACTACAACTAACTAATTCTCAGAGCTCCGAGTCCATGAAGATGGAACTCCGCGGTGGCGGTGAAGGTGGTGATATTTGCTGCGGAATGTAAGTCTTCCAAGTTACTTCGGAGCCAAAGCAGAATAAGAAGTATTGGCTGACAATTGATAATAGCTGCGCTGGTATCGCTTGCTTCGAGTGCTGTGAGTGCTGCTGCTAGATATGCCGCTTTACTACGAAATGCTACACCGGTAGATGAACCATGTTGGAATGGTGCTCGGCACCTATGATAACGCGAGTCATAACGGATACACTCTACCACAATAATATACTACCTTGGGTTATCTTCTTTTATAATCTGTGTCGTATCATGATGCCTAGTTGGTTATCAAATGGGGTAGACGACTAGACTAGTTGTGGACTTCCTAGAGGACCCAGCCATGTCACCTGCGAGGTCTGGGTTGCACGGTGCAGATGGTAGTAAAAAATGAAGCGAAAGCAGATGCATTACAATTTTTTTTCTTTGCCCTTATAGAATTGATTGGGCTGGAGATTATTCTCATCAACCAAGACCGGGTCGGAGAAACCATGAAATTGGCCACTAGCGTTAGAGGCGGTTGAATAAAAAAGAGTTATCTGTTTATGTATACATGCAGTCTCCATGTGTTGATAGTCTACCAACTCATCACTTAGTTCCTTTTGATGTGTGCGGATGTCATATGAACTTCTCACTGTCTCAAAGGCACCGCTGGGGGTAGATGAATTGAAGAATCCCTGCGGTAATTGGTGGATGGTCTTCTTCTCATTGATTCTATGGCTTACTACATAAGCCTACAAGCTACTTAAGTAGTACACTATCAAAAAATATAATGCATTTGAATGCATAGACGCTGAAAGAAGCAGGCTAAACCTTGGAAGTGCAAAGTGCAAGTAAGGCAATATTGGCACCGCGATTTCACTAACGGCACCGCGCTAAAAATCAGGTACTCATAGCATTGATTTTTTCTGTACAAGTACCATTTGGTATAGTTTCACCAGAGTAAAAAACATAGCCCCTGACCAACTCCAGCTACATAGTACTTCCCTATATTTCTATATCTCCATTAAATCACATAAGCTGGTAGTAAAAGGTTGTACATAGCAAAATAGTTTACGCAAATTGAGCCTTTTTCCGCCTTTTTCCGCTGTCAACCTATTTAAACAGAATGATATCTAAGGAGGCTACTAAATATACTACCAGAAAGATCACCGGAAAGACTACTAAAAAGATATCTATCATATGGCTGTGTGAGAGCCGTATAAGCGGCCCTATATTCTTATAGCAGTATATTTAAAAGGTAGGCGGTAATTATAAAGGAAAGACGTTATAAAGGGCGTAGTTTAGCCCAATATTTCGGAGGTCCTACTATATGTAGCTGGAGTTGTTCAGGGCTGTGTTTTTACTATGACAATATCTATAATAAATGACACTCCTATTAGGGACCAGGAGCCAAATACGGACTATAACTAATTCGGCATTAGAGCGGTGCCAATAGTGCCTTAGAAGTGCAAATATTTGCCCCGGTGCTATTGTTTGGAGGGATATATTGGGAAAGAGCAGTTGAAGACTCCTGCGGGACGCATGAAGTTAGCGCTCCTGTATACTTAGTATTTTTTAGACATACTAGCTCAGTAAATCCCCGATTTTTGGTCTTCGTTCAGAGCAGTTCATGGGTATAGTGGCGTCTGGAAGCTGCAATGGGTTAATTTCTAAATTCGTGATGCATATAATGTGGTGGCATATGTTATGCAATGCTGCACAGTATATTTTGCCTCGTCTAGGAGTATTCAAACTATTAAACAGATTAAATATGCTGGTACGTGATTTGCCCTAAATTGCGATAGTATCTCCCTTTCAAATGGCGCTAACCGTAAAAGGAAATGGAGCTCCCCTCGATCTGCGCGTAAACATCAACTCCTGCAACTTATGGAACAACCATGCCTCACTTGCGCAGACAACCAAATCCACGCGACCTAAGACCCAACCAAGAGGGCAATGCCTCAGGAAATCTTCGAGCACAATTCCAGACCCCGCCAACGCGTCACACTCCCACCAACCCAACCCATCACCACCTACCCCCCTCCACCGGTCCAAATGCTGTCACGCCCGACCAAGTTGCTGTGGCGGGACATCCAGCGGCACCCATAAATCCCTTTACCATATTTGGAAGACCAAGGGTAGAGCAACGACCACCGCAAATGATGGATGACGACGATTTTGACGATGATTTCGACCCACGCAGGCAAAGCATGCAAGAGCTTGGGAACGACGGGCCACTCGACTACGACGATTCCTTCGATGATGGTCAGGCTATGGAAGGGCAATTTGATGACTCCGACATTGATGGCGAGGAACTGGAGGAAGAAGTCGAGGACCAATTCGAAGACGAAGAAGACCCCGACCACGAAATGCACGATCGAGGTATTGCTCCCCCCGCTCTCATCCTTTCCTCATGGTATACGCTTCAAGAATGCAAGCTAATATCCTCGCGAAACAGACAAATCACCCTCCCCCTTACCAGCCAACTTGCGCGAAATCTCATCACTCGCTTCCTGGACCGTCTCCACCTCTAAGCCAGGCTGCGGCGTCGCGGCCCTCCGTAATCCTTCCCCGGCACAATACTGGCAATCAGACGGACCACAACCGCACACCTTGACCCTCCACTTCTTCAAACTGGTAGCTGTCGTGCGCATCCGCGTGTATCTCGATTTCGAGCTCGACGAAAGCTACACGCCCACGAAGATGGTTTTCGCAGCCGGAATGGGCGGCAACGACCTCGTCGAGTTCGCTACTTGGGAAGGCGACGGTCCATGCGGCTGGGTCGACGTACCACTGGAGGGCGTCGGTGGTAGAAACGGTGGGTGGGTGCGCAATGAGACTGGCAAGTCGAAACGCCGATCCACGAGTATGCGTCGACGGACAATTGTGTACCGGAACTGTGATGACCCTGACCATGAGCATGATGATGAGTGTGATCCATTCTATGAGGTTGACGAACCTGATAGCCAGGATGATGAGGATGATCCCTATTCTGGGAATGTACTCAAGGCTATGGTTATCCAGATGCGTATCATGGAGAATCATCAGAATGGCAAGGATACTCATGTTCGTGGGTTCCAGGTGTTTGCTTGTGATGATAGTCGTCGGATGACAGCCGCTCCGTCAGCTTCTGCTGATGCGCGCCGCCGTCGTCCGTCCCTGCGTGGAGCTCATGATCTTCGCGGACGTACTGCAAGTGAAGATGCTGATACTAGATTTACCGCCACCGGTCTAGACGAGCCAGATTGGATGGGTGAGCCAGTGATTCGATGAGCAGGAGCTTACAAGGACCAACAAAAATACCGGCGTTGATTGGCTTGTCAAGATGCCAATGGAGGTTTTATTATCGGAGTTTAAATGTTTTCATGATACCCAGTTCCATATTTTTTTGCGTGGGTTTGGGTCAGCGAGTGAATATCATTAGCCATTTCTGCGCCAGTGAAATACATGTTGCATCTTAAACCGGGTATTCAAATTTTTAGTTCTCTATGCTAGTCATATCTCATATAGAAACATCGAAGAGGCTGCGTTATATCTACTTAAGCAGCTTCTCCAGCTCGGCGGCGACAGCATCACCGACCTCAGTGGTCTTGGCTGTGCCGCCAATGTCGCCGGTGCGGACACCAGCCTCGATGACGTTGCTCACAGCCTGCTCAATGATGCGAGCCACGTCGATCATGTTGAAGGAGTATTGCATCATCATGGCCACAGACAGGATAGTAGCAATGGGGTTAACAACACCCTTGCCAGCAATATCGGGGGCAGAGCCTATGAGTACGAATTAGTCATGACCAAGACCAAGAATTGCTGAAAGCAATAAAAAGGACTGAGTACATACCGTGAATAGGCTCGTAGATACCGTTGACACGGCTCTTGCCATCAGGAATACCAGTCAAACTGGCACTGGGAAGCAGACCCAGAGAACCAGGGATAACACTAGCCTCATCGCTAATGATATCACCGAACAAGTTGCTAGTAACAACAATACCGTTCAGCTTACGGGGGTCCTTGATCATCAGCATAGCAGCCGAGTCAATGAGGTGGTGACCAATGGAGACCTGGGGGTACTCCTTCTCCATAATCTCGGTAACGACCTTACGCCACAGACGGCTGGTAGCGAGGACATTGGCCTTGTCCAAACTCCAGACGGGGAGGGGCGGGTTGTGCTGCAGAGCGAGGTTGGCGGCAAGACGGATGATGCGCTCAATCTCGTGGCGGGAGTAGGGCTCAGTGTCCATGGCGTATCCGGAACCGTCGTCCTCCACGCGGTCGCCGAAGTAGATACCGCCCGTCAGCTCACGGATGATGTTGAAGTCGACTCCGCGGCAGATATCGGCCTTTAGCGGGGAGCTGTCGACCAGCGAGGGGGCCGCGAAGTTGCATGGTCGCAGGTTGCCGAATGTGCCCATCTCCTTGCGAAGCTTGAGGATACCCTGTTCTGGGCGCACGGCGCCAGTGCCCCATTTCTGTTGAACGCAATGTGTGAGTAGGCTTGTTGGTGTTTGTGCGGGGAGGGGCTGGAAATGTACGTACGGGACCTCCAATGGCACCGAGGAGAACGGCATCGGCATTCTTGGCGGCGTTCAAGGCTTCATCGGTCAAGGGGGAACCGGTAGCATCGATTGAGGCCTGCAATTGTTAGCCATTGGGCTTTTTGTCGCGTGGGGTATACTCACACCACCGAGCAGGTGATCCTGCAAGTTAAAAGTGATACCACGGGACTTCTCGATAACGCGAAGGATCTTAAATTCAATCAGTATGTCTATTCCATGCAATTCCAGCGTGCAATGTTACCTTCACAGCCTCAGCAGTCACCTATTCCCTTAAATGTTAGTGTATTCAATTTCCCCACAAGAGCTCCCAACGACATACCTCAGGACCACAGTGGTCACCACCAAAGACAACGATATTGAAGGAAGACATTGTACAGCGATATGAAGAGAAATTATTGACTCAATTAACCAGGTCAGCAGCTTTCGAATATAAAGGCGGGTGAATTGCAGTGTTCGACCCCACCAACTCCGACATCGGCTCCGATGACATAAACCCAGTCATCGGCGTCGCTTATTCACGGTTCGCCGAACCCGGCAGCATCGATGTATACAGCATGCCTCAAATCAACGTACAGTATTATTGACAGAGGGTGAAATCTCACAGCTCCCATTTGGTAGCTTCTAGTCTGAAGCAGTTTAGAAAGAATATTGCTGTTTTTGCTGACTCAATTCTAGATTGGACTAACATGGTTGTTGGAAGTGTATTGACTACATCGTCATTTTCCAGGAATGCATGCAGGAACATTTAACTTTTTGACTTTTATATTAAACTCCAACTGAGGTTCTTGGCTAAACCTCGTAGTCAATTTATTTGGTAGCAACGCAGCGTTCATTCAAACGGCGCAACTTCACACTTGTTAGTAGTCGGCATGGTATCATCCCGCTAGAATGGTTATTTACGCTTGCCTTGGTTTTTCCAACAGCGCCATGTCAAAATCGAGGATTATTTCTGTAAGATCATCTTAAATCGTGCATTCAATCCTACACTTGACCCGGCTGGCTACAACCACTTCCATATTTTCGCTGATTTCGACTCACTAGGACCCCTTAAAAGATAGTTTACCTAATTATATAGGTGTTGCTTAACCACTCATCCAGGTGAATGTTTCACAACTTCCTCATAAGGTATACCTTGCAATCCAGCAAATTAATGAACTATGAGAGGCCCAGTCAGAAATTTTGAACACCCTTTCTACTTTCATTTTTCATCCCCTATGATTGATGGGCTGAAAGGATCAATGGCAGAGCCGCTTCGTATACTTAGGGGGTAGTTAGTAGTGGAAGATTGGAAGCATGCAAAAAGTGATCAATAATAAGACGGAATAAACACAAAGTATGAGGTCTCGTTCATTATATTTAATATGGTTCTAGCGTCGTTTCTCCCTTGCACGCAAGGCATTATTCTCTGTCTTTTCTTCCTAGTTGTTAACGCCTTCAAGCTGACGAAAGGGACAGGACAAAATCTGAGGTTTCTGGATTTTGAATGGTAGGTCTAACTATATCTCGTTAGTTACATAAACAGTTGTCTTCGCGGCACCTTATAAAGAGCCCGCGTATATTTTCCTCCCTAATTCATTTAGTAACACCCTTATGTCCGAATAGTTGGATTTTTCTTACTCCTATACTGCTCTGATTTTGAAGATCTCATTTCGGTAAGATAAACATACCGGTTTTGTTTTCGGTATCAATTAGCCACTTATATATACCTTCGAATCTTCGTTAAGTTCAAAGGTTAATGGTACTTATTAAGGGTTTGATGTTCCTTAGCACGGAACAGGTGTACTTGTTTGAAAGAAGGTGGACTTGACAGGTAGATGGTGTCCTAGCGAGTCAGTGTTCATTTTTTAACTTCCTTTCATGCCGAGAGCCGCCAAGTTATATTCATCCTTCCAATTGCTAGCAAGAATCTATACCCCAACCGGTCTATAATCTATTTAGGCTGTAATGTACATACATAACAACATCCCTATATCTTCCCCATCTCTATCGAATGATAGCCCTCGAAATCCCTGGCCTTAGTTCTCTGCATCGAACTTCTTGGCAGCTTCCTTCCGCGAGAGCGATACAGATCATGGCCTTCGTCGGTCTGACATGTCCAATGCAGCCAATGAAACGATGACAGCCAGCGTCAGACCCTGGGCATACACACGAGCCTGCACAAGCTTTTGTTTACCCGTCAGGTACGGGTTGCGGCCGACCAGAATAAAGGAACCGACCATGCTGGCAGCAAACGTGGCACCAGCAAGCTTGTATTTCTGTTCCCTTACCCAACCGAGCAACTGCTGCGGTTTACTCTGTGTGTAATTCGATTCCATTGGATGTATTTGGAGGGTATCTTGAGGTAGAAAGGTGATCTATGAAAGCAGTTAGTACATCTAGTATTCCCGAGGAAGATGGAATTACTCACTATGTTGTATGCCTTTCCTTTTGGTCAGGGGGATGTTCAGGTACAGAAAATTTAAAGTTTCATGTGTTGACAACCCTGGCAAGTTCAATGTTGGGGCTGAAAGGACCCTTGGAAAGTGCTCTTATCGCTTCGGATCCGACAGATACGATCCATCTCCGAACGATAAGCTAGTTCACGGGTCCGAGGTACATTTCTCCAAACTACGACATCGATTCGGTATTGATTCGCAGTTCCTGCCCGAAATTGAAACCTTTTTATAGCCGTGTCAGATTTGATTTCGAGTTCTCCCCTCTTACATATATTCTCTTCACCCCTGTTTACACTCATCCCAGGTGTGTTATACCCTCTCTCCGGACCCTAATAATAATATAGAATCTTTGTCCTCAGGTCACCGTGAGTCCTTTCTTTATTCCTTCGTTTTATGCATACTGATCAGTTAGTCTTCGCCATGTGGATCACGCGCGGGATCTCGTTCATCAACTTCGGCGTTGCCTCTTCAGCACTGGCATTTCAAGTCTTCGTCCTATACCCATGGCATCATCAATTAGATGACGAGTTCAAATCCTTGAAAAAGGAACACCTCCGAGTACTGCAACAGCTCGATCTACGAAAACCTCTTCGGACAGAACAAGGGGCGAATTGAAAATTGAAACCGATAATCTGGGTGGGGTGTATATACATGGTGGCGACAAAAGACGGTTCATTCACTTTTTGTTTTCCAGTCTCGGCTGTAGTTATGGGATTGTTCATGAGCGTTTCCTTTATCAAAAACTTCGAAGTGACTCGCTTTTTAATGTTAAGTTCTTGAATAGACAAAAGACATTTTCAATTCATATCAAAATGTATCCATCCCCAGTACTCACATATAACAGGTCTCTTTGATAATGACTGTAGATCGCTCTTGGGTCCGAAAAGTTGCCGGGATACGAGCCGATAAAAGTAGGGGAATTCGGTCATAATACAGATTATTATTCTTTAACAATATACAGTCTCAGGGTGCTTGGAATCGCACAAAGTAGTGTTAGATTGAATGCCAGGCAAGTTGTTTGAGCGCGTAAAGGCGGGATTCCCGAGATCCAAATTAACAATCCCTGGTTTTGATGCATATCTGGACGATCTTTTCTAGCTGGCTTTGCTATTGGTCTGGTATGTTGCAGGATCTGATACAAATAGATAGTAGCTCCATGTCGTTATTATCATTCTAAATTCTACACTATGCAGATCCTCTAATAATGGCAAGCATTTCCTCACCCTTTGGTGCAGTGGTGAGATTCTCATACCCAGTAGCAGTGACGAGAATATCATCTTCAATGCGCACTCCACCAATATGCACATATTTTTCCGCAACATCGAAATCAATGTACTTGGCATACGGCTGTTGGCGTGCGTTAGCCATAGCCAGAGGAGAGAAATAGAGTCCTGGTTCAACAGTCACAACCATTCCCTCTTCCAGCAGCGGAGCGGAAAGAGTGCACGGCGAAAGACAGGTAGAGTTCAAGATCGGGCGATACTGAAGCTGATCGAAACCCTGGTGAAGAGCCATGATTGATCGCTCTGATACATCGTGGACTTCAAGGCCGACATGATGACCCAGACCGTGCGGGAAAAAGACTTTAGATGCGCCAGATTGACGGATCTCGAGATTCGTGCCGTTCTTGAACACACCCAGGGCCAGGAGACCCTCGATAGCAATGTCATGGGCTAGATCGTGGAGAGCCAGATAGCGCACCCCTTTCCGGATCAACCGGATGCACTCCTCTTGCATGCGCTCTACTAGCTTATAGATATCCCGCACGTAGTCGCTGGGCCACTCGCCGGTAAGCGGAAAGGTCCGCGTCACGTCGCTTGCATAGCAGTTCCACTCTGCGCCGGCATCGAGACAGACGAGGGGTTTCTTGTCGAGAGTTTCGTTGTTTCGGGCATAGTGCAGGACAGCCGCGTTAGGCCCTGATGCTGCGATAATCTGGTATGCCTGGTTCCGGGCGCCGTTCGAGACGCAGGTGTTTAAAAATGATCCTTCAATCTGCGACTCGTTGGACATAGTCTGGATACTCTCTAGGATTTTCCGATGGGCAAGCCCCGAGACTTTGTTGGCCTGGCGGATCATACGGATTTCATATTCGTCCTTGACGCCTCGGGCTGTGTCCATAGCAGGCCCGAGCTGTTCCAGGTCCACAGGCAGGTCTTTTGGTAGATGCTCAGGCTTCTCCGAGTCATGGATTAGGTACAGCTCGCTGCCTTGCTTTCGCTCGTCCAGCCACACCTGCAGCTCATATTTCAGAGAGGCGTGATACCGCACATGGTCTACATCATATCGGTCTTGTGCATCCTCCCGTGAGAGGGTTGGTCCCATCCAAATAGCACGATGGAGGTCGAAATCCGGGACATAAAGAGTTAACAGGTCTTTTTCAATATCGTAAGTCAGGGAGCAGTCAGGCTCGTCGACTCCGCTTAGGTAGTAGAAGTATCGTCGTTGTCGGAATGGACGCGATTGGTCAGAATCGCGCAGATTAATTGTCGGCTGCCCAGAAAGGAAGATCAAGCCAGTTGAAGCTCCAAGCTTCCGGGCGACGTTGCGCGCATGTTGCTTGGCTGGTAAGGGCGGTCAGCGCGAGTCTCACGCGATCACCGTGCCCAGGTGGTTCAGTGGGGTTACAAACAGGTAGGGCAAATGAAGACATTCCCGACCATACAATGTCCATAGGGAAAATTTACTGACCTGGGTATTTATCGCAGGAGGTAGGCGTCACCACGCGGATATTATAAGAGTCGAGGGAGTTTATCATGAAGTCCTGAGCTGCAGCCCCCTTGGTACCTCTATTTGCACGCATATCTCAAGAAGCTTGAAAGAGAGACTCCTTTATCAAATAATACGCCTGATTATGTACCAAGCTAGTCACGCTTGGATCTCAATTGGGGTTGAAGATGACACCATCTCAATTCCCCGGACCTGGGACGGAGTTGCGGGTAGTCCCGACCTCGGGAGGTCAGGTGAGCTCTGCTTACCAACCAGCCCTTATCGGGGGTGTTTTTCCCTTAAAAGCTCTAGGGCTGTCCAGGTTTAGTGCATGACAAAAGGTTTGAAATATGATTTGTATGGCAAATTCAATGATATGTAAATCTCTAACTAATATACCCCTAGATGTTGATAAGTTAGTCAACGCTTATACGGTAGAACTTAGTAAATCACCGTATCTCGACCGTGAGGGCCGATCCTATGCAAGATGATCTTGTTGATATCTGTCTTAGACTAATCGAGATCATGAAACCGACAATGGTTATAGACGAATGATCTCCATGGCTCGCATCGCTCATTTCTCTCTTCAAGAGTATCTTTAATCAGACGGTTCAGACCGTAGCTACTTTGGATTCACACTCTTCTTGGCAGGGATAAAAATAGTATCATTATTGTGCTAGTACAGAACTTTCTGGCTAGTCTGGCACTACGATCTTGTTTCGCCTTTTATATTCCTCAAAATCTTTGACACCGAGATTCCAATATTCCCACCACAATGGCTCCGAATTGCCTGACCGGCGCTTGCCTCTGCAAGAACATAGTATACCGCATTATGTTGCCCACGGAATCATTCCCTAAGGTATAATTCTATCTCTACTTTCATTCAATCAGAAGATAGCATTTACTGATAGTGTTATTAGGTGATCATCTGCCATTGCACCAACTGCAAACGCTATACGGGCTCTAGCTTTTCCGCCAACATCATCGTGCCCAAATCCAGTCTAGAGTACACCAAGGGGTCACCCAAGATGTACTTGGACCGTGGCGACAGAGGTGGACAAGTAATGCGCGAGTTCTGTCCTGATTGCGGTACGCCATTCACATCATCAAGCGATGATCAGGAAGTTGCTGTGAAGTCGGGAACGCTCGATGAAGAACACCGACTTAATTGTGCGGAATTGGCAGCGGAAATATACTATCATCGGAAGGATAAGTGGGTGGATGATATGGGGAATGAGGATGTTCAGAGGATCAATGGTAGCATGGGTTAGGGATTGATTTTGAATATCAGAATATCCACATCATATAGAGAATCTAAATCTTAGAATAGGAGCTGTGTGGGACCTTGGAGTACATACAATCTTTATCCTTATTTTGTATATTCCAAGCGAATAGACTGAGGTCATGATGATCGCTCTATGTGGAATATTTATAGATCCTCGATCCTACATCTTTCGAACATCGTATTCTCTCTAAATTCCAATAGGTTTATAGTTTTTCGCGATGAGCCTCGTTAAAGAACTCACTGATTTTTCAAATTACTGCGTATCTTGTGCAACATTCCTTTGCCTCGATGCTCCTTGGATGACAAGGTACCGGGTATGTGAGTTTGATCTCCACGTCAAAACTAATCTGCTTTGGACTCATGCGCACTAGTATATTGGACCCGATGCGGAACTCAGCTGTCGGATGTTAACACAACCAAGTTTGACTGGGATGACGAAGCAGAGAAAGAGTATTGTGATGAGAGAAAACTTGCCAACAAGCTTGGCCCTTGGTATGTCATGCACAAGAAAAAGCCCCCCAAGGCTTTCTTGTTCCACGAGATCTGCTGGTCCCTCCTGATCCAACACTTCGAAGGGGAGGAGGTTGATTTGGACAGGCTTTTCGAAGTCTGTAAGGACATTCCTCCTTCGGGAAGACCAGATCTTACGTGTAAGTGAGCATGACTATATTGAGGCCAGCTCCTTAACAGACCTAGTGGGAAATGGTATCTATCTCTCGGTGGTTAACCGATTTTACCCTTCAAAGCGACCCATTATCAAGGGGCTTCGAGATGCCTCGAAACAATTTCCGAAGATCCCTAAAGCAAACCCTTCTAGTTCTAAAAGCAGTGTTGTGTTTCACTCTGACTGCTTTGATATCCTCCCGGTCGAGATACGGGTCCAAATCGCAAGTTACCTTCCTACTGTTGACTTCCTAAGTCTACGACAGTCATCCCGGGCAATGGTAGTTGTCTTCGAGGTTCTCAGTGAATGGAGACCGTGGGTTTCTGAACTGCCTAGTAGAGGATCCCAGAAGCTATGAAAGCAAAGACTGGCGACGTATATACCGCTGCACAGCAAAGATTGACCTGTCTTCCGAGCACCTCTGGACGAAGCGCCGACGCTGGAGAAATAATCGGTGGCTAAGAGAAAGATGTTCAATGATTGGAGCATCAAAGGAGCAAGTCGCTTCCAACCAGAAATTACGTGGTGAATTATCCTGGAAGGAGGTTTCTACTAGAGTTCGATGCGATCGAGACGGCAGACATGGCAAGAAATGGAGGAAATGTCGGACTTGCCATGCAAAGCATAACATTTTTTCTCAATTCGCTTTATTGGAAAGTTCTATCACCGGCCTGGCTATCTCTGTCATACGCGAAGGAGCAGAAACCTATCTCACTGGTGTTGACCTGCTGTATACAGATCGGCAGAACCTGATTCTTGGGCATCGATTACCAGGGCACTCCGTGACAATCGATCTCGACGAACAACTGAGAGGATTTGTGGTTATCGAGGGCGAAGCTGGAATCCATGCAATACGCCCCATTTTCAACAAATCTTCCACGGCCAATTGGATAGGTATACCAGAGGGCAGCGGTATGTGCAAGTCTACGGAACTAGTCCTTGAGCGAAACGTTAAAGCCGTTTCGGGAAGGTTTGATGTAAGTCACTTTATACCTCCATCTGTATAGCATAAGGTAACCTTGAGTTAGCATTGCAAGATGGTTGAACTATCTATAGCATAGATAGAATTTAGGCACGAAAGAACTTCCGCTACGGTTGCTCGTGATCTTGTAGATAGCAGGATTGACAGGTTGGATATAGAAGACCCATCGCTGTATCAAGTTGACCCCCACCCTTGAAGGGAAATAGAGCCAACCCCGGAATCCTCCTGCGTCTTTTTCCCTACGCTGACAATAAGAAGCGTGCCATCACGACACTTACGCCATATCAACATATTGGGTTATGGCTGATGCAGATGACTCGTTTCGTGGTGCGTGGGGATCGACAGTAGAAATATCCGAGGGAGAGAAAAGAAGCATTCTGCTAGCAAACTACATGGTTAGCTATTTGTGTCGTTAAAGTGGAAGGCACAGCCTTGAAACCTGCCACATATTCCATTCTATATACAGTGTATGTGTACGCATCAATCAATGACACTTTTTTTATCCGCCCAACTAGGCTGAATAGACCGGCAAACAGCCTCATAATCCTGGAAGCGCTGAGTATCCTCCACCAGTCCGGGTGTCGTCCAGAACATAGTCCAGTTACTATCAGCCAACTTCCAGGTACCCAACGAGCGCTCGAAGTACCATTTATTAACCGGGTTGTCCATGCGGCTACGCCAGCAGACCCCGTTGGGAAAACATGTGCGCACCATGGCATTGAACACAATGTCCGCGACGCCGCCGGCACCCTGGCTACGCTTAAGCACAGCAAACTTATCCAGATACGGCACCATGCGGGCGGCACTAGCTTCGCTTCCGTCGTCTGGTACTCCCGGCGGCGTTTCCCAGGTCAGGATCGCGCCGCCTTCATACTCGCCAGCGACGATGACACCGGCGATGCGGCTGTTCACTCGGTCGAGGTAGTTTTGGACATCGAGTTTGCGGTCAAAGGAGTCTTCGATCAGGGTGACTAAACGGGGTAGATCGATGGAGGGGTCGTGAAGTCCGAGTCGAGGTTGGATATGGGCTGTCCAGGGTTTTGTGTAAGGGTTCGGGAGGATTGTGAGAGGCATTCCACGTTTGACAAAGGTCGTATGGGAGACGGGGGGCCTTAATGCACTATATTTATTGCCTTTAGAAACACCGCGTCGACCTGGGGGTAGAGAGGATGATAATAGAGGCTTGTCGGTGAGGAGGTGGTGGATCAATGGGTTGCGCTGTCGACGGGTTCCGACGGCTGATAGGTCTGAAGCAGCCTCTTGCGGTGAACGGGCTGAGTGGGAGACTTCTTGTGGGGAGGTGATAATTCCTGAGGAGGCTGATGGTAGCATTGTTAATGCTTGTTGGGCTAATCGGAGATTCTCTAGATGCCCATCTAGCACCTCCGTCATCGCCTCAGCACCCGGTGATTTGCCGGGTGCAGTAGGTTGAGCAGGCGAAACAAGCTCACGATTGACAAACTTCGAGAACGGATTGCTTTCCGATATTGGGTAAGTGGACTCGGTAGTTGACTGTTCTGAGAAATCGTTGTTTTCAGAAACAGAGCTCCGTGCCTCGGAAAGCTCATCTTCGATTTGATCAAACTCTTGTTCCATGTTAATGAAAACGTGCGATGATTGGGGGCCCTTGAAAGCCGGAATTCCCCCAAGCGGATCGAGAACAATGACACGGTCCAGTGAGACTTCCCTTTGTAGAGCATTGATTCTCTCCACGGTGACTACGGGATCCTCGTCCGGGTCAGGATTCACAGACAATCCAGCAAATTCTTTCGTCAGCGCAATAGCAGCATCGTTGGCCGAAACTGTGATAGCTCGTGGATTCTCCTCCATATAAGCTATCGGTGGAACAAGTACCACATGACCATCCCGAAGGGCGCTCAAGAGCACTTTTCGCGATAGAACCGAGAGTTGACCCGATCGCTCAGATATAGATAACGTCGAGTCTAATCTAAAAGACTTCGAGTCTGGCAGGTCATCAACTGCGGCCGATATCCGATTCGCCTGCTCAATGGCTGTTTGTCGCGCGGCAGAGCCGTCCATCTTTCCGGGATCGACAACCACGCAGCATGCCATGCCCAGGCGGACGAGCTGCGACAGGGTCTTAGCCACTCCATTAATCACAGAATCATCGAGTAATTGCGGCGTGGCAATTTTGATCAGGGCCAAGTGCAGTCTTTCGGGTATATCCTGCGCGCGTGGAGTAGGAGTTGTATCTTGGCGGAAGACAGGACTGTCATACACCGCCCTGGAGGCACCATGGAACGAGCCCAGATTGACACCAGACGGCAGAGATGCTGATATGGACTCCTTCGGGGTCTCCGAAGTAGATTCTTGGCTCGATTTGGCGGGGCTGGCCTTGAGCCGAGCTAGGTATGACTTGGCTTCGCGCTTAGTTGACGCAGAATTCAAAAGGCTTAGAAAGAACTCCTAGATTAAATACGCGGTTAGCATATGACACGGCAAAAAATTTCATCTGCCACCTACCCGATCGAGCAACTTCTCCTTTGCGCGGTGGCCGAGGCGATCTCGGTTTTCGCTGCTGCCCGAGAACTCGGCGACTTGCTGGGTTCGGACATTGAGCGCCTGTGCCGGGCGCGCCGCAATGGGGTCATTAGGACGAACTAGATGTTGCTTCAAAATTCTAGTCAGTAAATACACATTAGCGGGGTATATAGGGTTTAGTTACCTTCACCAATGAGGATTTGGCCGTTCGAGACCAGTTCAGCGTTCGAGAGCTCATGGTTAGGCGTATATTTCGCGATCAATTGCTCGCCCCAGCAGTTGACGCCAATGCAAGAGCCTCGAACAAGCAATCTCACCACTGATCTACAGTAATCAATACAATATAGGAGGAAAGAAGACAATGAGTGGGATTAAACAAAAAAAGAAAATAATATGACGCATCCTCGGTTATAGCTCACCGCCTGTAGATCCCGAGATTGATAAGAGAGGCATTTAAGGTGCCCACTACTATATAACTCACCTGCATGATTTGTATATAACTTGTCCGATGTTAATCCTTAAGTTTAAGTAAATACCTCATCTGAGCGCAATTCCGCTTCTTTCCATCTGATTTGCCGGAGATAAAATAGTGCACTTCTTTGATTCTTTCATTCGCTGCTCCAACGGCCACCTATTATAAGCGAAACCTATACAATCTATACCTTACCAGACAACCTATATCCATTTTGCAGCTCATTACATGCCAAGTAAGTCCCCGTGTGATTCGGACTCACCCACCCAACTATCTACTCTGGCCAGGTGTCTGGCCGATATCTATAACTTAACCATTTTTACCCAACACTTCGTACAGGGATGTTGGTGGAGGCCGGATCCAAATGAACTACAACATTGAATTTTATATTAAGAAAAGTCGTCTGCACAAATTAAGCCTTTTTCGGCCTTATCCTATCGACCTACAAACTTGACAAAGCATCTACATAGAATGATACCTGAGAAGACCACTCGAAAGACCACTGAAAAGACATCACAGGGCCGTATATGCGGCCCAGTATTCTCGTAGATTATTATGTGTTAAATACAGCTAGGACCAAAATACTAGGTGGGAAAATCCACCAAGCCTACGCAGTATATAGTCAACCATTACCTGGTTGTAAATAGTAAAATTGAGACGTCCATACAGCCCACCAACTTCTTGGTTTTCTCTCCAAGCATAATCGTGGAGAACCCACTAAAACCTACATATGTATGCAGGTACGGAGTACACACCCGGTGTTCGTAGGCCTGACCGGATAATAAATTGTAAAGATTAGGTATCTTTTGTATAGCAACTTCATACAAAAGGTACATAAACACAAGATGTTGCAATATCTGTTTTCTTATCCCTTAAAATAGCTAAATATGTATATAGGAAGATATTTATATTGTGAATAAAGTCTTGAATCCTTCCAAGTATTAACCTTGGTAATAATTATTAAAGGTTGTCTCGGCCACATTGTTAAGAAATATATAATTACACATGTTTCAATATTTCATCTCGCGATCAATGGCTTACAGCCAACATTAGAGGGTCTGGGGCTCCCAGTTCCTCAAGAATTATGGAACTATAATAGATCATATTACACCTTGGAACAATATAGCATGAATCTACAAATCATACCATGTAGCGTTCAGAATATATATAGTACAATTGCTAACTTAATATTCTATACTTAAATTCAAAAGGAACCCAAGACTATAGAGTAAAGCTCTACCTCTCTAGCCTTACTCCCAAAGGAAAGCCAAGAAGATGATGTTGTAGCTGCATACACTCGTTCTTCCAAGGGTTCTAGAATTCAGCCCTAGAGGAAATTCACTTAGACCGCTTTGGGGCAAAAGTAACGGTACCGGCAAATACATTGTAATATACGGCGAGTGCGGGCGAGAACGGGGTATTGATAAGTCTCTGTACTTTATCGGCTGGACTCCCCCGCCACTGCAAAAGTCCCTCCTCCATCTCCACGTCTAAGAAGAATGGTTTGTGTGAAACACATTTCTGACCACTGAAGAATCCCTAAATATTCGCAAACATTGAATTGAGTAAGTGCGCCCGCTCCCCCCTTCAACCCAATCCCGCAATGCCCCCTCCTTGCGCACAGTGTCACAAATTCTTATTACCAACATTTCCCAATCTTGGAAGGCTGGAAGCACTTTTGATTCCCTTGACCAGGAACAGCTATCAATTTATTTATGTACTGTCAAAATTGGCATTGTCCGACTGGATATTAGTCCCAATCACCTGCATGAGATTAATCCCCACTGTTCTAGATTCACATCCCTCATCTACGCCACCAAGCCGGGCCCCCCCTGCAGTCCAATTGATCGTGGCACCCTAGCCTGGTTTCACCCCAGAAATTTCCAACCTAGCCGCTCTGACCCTCGATACCCCAGTACACTTCCTCAATTTCTTACAATGTCCGATCGGAGTGAATACCTTTCTGATTCAATGCCTGGTCAAGACAATGGGCTGAGGCCGCTGTCCAATGCGGATGACTTTTCTCTCGGAAACCCTAACAACAGCGACTTGTCTCGTATTATGAACCGCGCTGGAATTGCACTAGCCAATGGCTTTCCGATTGAGGATGACGATGATGACGACGACGAGGTGGATGAGGACTATGCTGCGGCTGAGCAGGATGACGATGCAAACGATTTCCCATACTGGTTCCGCCGCGCCCCCTCCCACAGCCGCACAAAGCTGGATGAGCTGCATCCTTTCGTCCAATTGCTCTCTGCGTCTAATGTGGAAGATTGCGTGAAAGTAGAGGAAGCTTTCCCCGAGCAGGAGCGTTGCTCTCATGATAAGGTATGACTACCCGGATCCTGTTAAGAGATCCATCACATCAAAATAGGGTACCAATTCGCTAACTTTAATAGTTCATTTACCGTCTTACCAGATGCCCCGAGCTCAGTCTGGGCCTCTTCACTCTTCCTCTGCTCGCAGATGGAGAAACCAAACCCCGCCCCACCCTCGTTGGACACATCGTTGCCACACGCACCTCAGAGCCACTTGTGACAGACCGGTCGATGCGACTTCCGGTCAATTGGAAAAACGAGCGTTGGTCCATGGAGGACGGCCAGGCCGTTGGTCACGAAGAAGGTGGCAGCACCATTGCCATTCATTCGCTTGCCGTGGACCCAGAACACCAGGGCAAGCAGGTCGGAAGCACATTGATGAAGTCATATATCCAGCGTATTAGAGAGGCACAAATTGCTGAACGCATCGCAATCATTGTACACGATCACTTGATTCCCTTCTACGAGTCATTTGGCTTCGAGTCCCATGGCCCTAGCAAGTGCCAGTTCGGTGGTGGTGGTTGGGTTGACATGGTATGTTCCTTTTTGACTGTCATCAAATATATACTGACCCCAACTAGATCTTGGAGTTTGGCCCCGAGCCTGTTGAGGAGTAAAGAAGTTTTTCGTATATCATTCTCTTTTCTTTTTTTTTTGCATCTTTTCGGCTTGGAGCATGTTAAGCCACTGAACGGTTTCAACGTGTCTTTATTACGCACATCCTGATTTTTGTCTCATCTCAAGGGTTTATCCTAGACGGGCTTTTAAGAGAAAAGCAATGGAGTTTCTTCGGGTGGCGGGATTACTTTTATGAATTCTGGGCAGAAACGGCTTGGGCTTCCCAAATCGGTCACAAAGGTTTGTGTACCATAGTTGACGACAATTCAATATATATGAGAATTACGTTGAATTATGGCAAATCAAGATAAATATACAAATATGACATAGGAATTCTCGAAGCTGCATGAAGTATTCAATTCTTTTGTTCTATAATAGATCACGTGACTCGCCTATATCACGGGTTACCCAATAGTGGTCCCCGCATCTATCCTCCGCCCGGCAGAAAAAAAGGACTGCCAACGATTTTTTCGTGGAGAAAAACCCACTCTATCAACACCCTTCACTCACGGCATTACTTCAAGAGTCATTACTTATTTGACTCCTGACTTGTGCCCATCATGAAGACAACGTGGAAGGATGTGAGTTAATTCCCCGACTGCGCTTTTGTTCTTCGACTGAGGAGATTGCTAATATGTTTTTCACCGCTTGATAGATTGCGCCTGTGCCCACACACCAGGAATTCCTGGATATTGTCCTGAGTCGTACTCAGAGACAGCTTCCCACACAGATTCGTGCTGGTTTCAAGATCAGCCGTATTAGAGGTATGATTGCCAATCGTTCTGCTCGATCCGACATGGTGGCACAATGAAAAAAAGTTATCGCGGTTATCGATAAAGCACAATCGCTGATCAAAATTTTTTTCATTAGGATTCTACACCAGAAAGGTCAAATATACACAGGAGACTTTCGGCGAGAAGTTCCAGCACATCCTCGATGGATTCCCTCGCCTGCAGGATATCCATCCTTTCCGTAAGTTTTACTCCCATGGCGATTATGGTTGTTTGGGTGGGGTCTAATATCCACCAGACAAGGATTTGATGAACACTCTTTACGATGCCGACCACTTCCGTATCGCTCTTGGTCAAGTTTCAACCGCTAAGCACCTGATTGAAACCGTCTCTCGCGATTACGTCCGTCTCATCAAGTATGCGCAGTCTCTGTTCCAGTGTAAGCAGCTCAAGCGCGCTGCCCTCGGTCGCATGGCAACCATCACCCGCCGTCTGAAGGATCCCCTCGTCTACTTGGAGCAGGTCCGCCAGCACTTGGGTCGTCTGCCTTCGATCGACCCCAACACTCGTACTCTCCTGATCTGTGGATACCCCAACGTCGGAAAGTCGAGCTTCCTGCGCAATATCACCCGCGCAGATGTCGATGTTCAGCCCTACGCTTTCACCACGAAGAGTTTGTTCGTCGGCCATTTCGATTACAAATACCTCCGTTTCCAGGCCATTGATACCCCCGGAATTCTCGACCACCCTCTGGAGGAGATGAACACCATTGAAATGCAATCTATCACCGCTGTTGCTCACTTGCGGTCCGCTATTCTCTACTTCATGGATCTTTCCGAGCAGTGTGGATACTCTGTGGGTGATCAGATCAAGCTCTTCCACAGCATTAAGCCCTTGTTCGCCAACAAGATTGTGTTCATTGTCGTTAACAAGATTGATGTACGCCGTCCCGAGGACCTGGAGCCTGAATACCAGGAGCAACTGCAGGAGATCCTCAAGGCCGAGGATGTCGAGTTGTTGCAGGTTTCCTGCACCACCACTGAGGGTGTGACCGCCGTCAAGAACGCTGCCTGTGACAAACTCCTCGCTGAGCGAG